GCGGCGGGCGGCGCCGAGGGCGAGGGCGACGCGGCCGCCAGCGCCGCCGCCGCGGCGGCGGCGGCCGCCACCGACCCCTCGTTTGCGGCAGGGGCGGCGGCGCAGCAGCAGCTGATGCAGCTGATGATGCAGGTGTCGGGCATGGGCATGCACCCCTTCCTGCAGGGCATGGGGTCGCTGGGCGACGTCCCCCTGGCGCTGCCCGGCATGGAGGCCGCCGCGGCGCAGGCCGGGGCCGACGCCGCGCACGCCGTGGCCGCGGGCGAGCGCGGCGGCCCGGCCCCCGCGGGCGAGGCCGAGGCGGGGTCGGGACCTGCGCCGCCGCTGCAGCAGCTGATGCACATGCTGGACGGGGCGGGGGAGGCGGGGCTGGAAGCGCCCGCGGAGCAAGACCTCGGCCAGCTCAAGCGCGCGCGGCTGGAGCTGGGGGATGGGGCCTCGCCCGCGCAGACCTGACGCCGGGCCCTCGGTCCATCTGTGGGGCCAGGTGCCCCCGCGCCATGGCATGCACCCCTCACCCAGACGCTGCCCCTGGGGATGCCACTCCCGACCCCTTCATGTTGCCGCATTTTCCATTGCAGCCTGACCGTGCCTGACCATGACCCCGATGTACCTGCACCGCAGTACAGCCCCAGTCACACGAGGGGGCGACACCCGCGTTCAAATCAGGGCGCGACAGCCATTCCCGGCAGGTGGTACATGTCGCGGCCCGCACCGGCATGGTCCCATCATTTCGTCATGGAGTTTATCATTCCGACCGAAGCCAAGGAGCTGTGGGGGGAGGGGGCAGGCACTACCGGCCTGTCCGTCTCCCGGGTGGTCGACCTGTCGGGAGCCAGCCAGGGCGAGCTCGAGGAAGTGGCAGAACGTGCGTATGACTGGGCGATGCGGTTATCAACTGGATAAGAAATGCACTCTTGCCACTTCCTGCGTCGGCTCCTCGCCCGGCGATGATGTGGGTGCCACGGGGACGGCCAAAAGTACCCACCCATCCTCGCCCCCCTCCCTCCCAGGCATCACATTCCAGCTCTACGACCGCGACCCCCTAGGGGTGGTGGACCAGGCCTTCTTCGATGACCTGGTGGGCCTCGTGCGGGCCTTCCCCCTGCTGTCCGAGTCCCGGAGGGGCCTGCTGGTGGACGGCCTGGCCTCTAGCCTGACCTGCCTCACCAGCTGGACTGACCGGGCGCTGGCGTCGCGGGAGCAGGACGCAGCGGGCACGGCACAGCACCGTTCCGCCCTCCGCGCCCACGTCTTCTTCCTCTCCTGGCTGGTGCGGCAGTGGCTCAGCCTCAGGGAGGGTGACGCCGCGTCGCAGCCCGCTGCCTTGCAGGCGGCCAAGCCCGGCCCCAGGAAGCGGACAGTGGAGGGGGCTGCGGCCGGGTCGGAGGCCATCCTCCCCACGGCCGTCAAGGCGGCGGCTGCCTCCCTGAACACCGACCTCTGGGCCCTGTTCAGGCCGGCGGGACCCGATGAGCAGCTGCTCCTGTGCTACAGCCTGCTGGTGAGGCTGGTGACGTGTTCCTGATGCAAGCCTCTGGGCCTGGCTTGCTGGCGGTTTGAGCCTGACACCCATGATCTTGACGCAGGATCCACTTTTGCAACTGCATACAGAGACCCCTGGCCCCTTGCACAGCCCTGTGTGCAGCGCCCAGGCACATGCATTCCATCTGCCTGCCCCACTCACAGGCCACCTCGCTCCTGGACCGCCCCGCCGCATGCCGGGATGGTGTGGCGGTGGGCAACGCCGGGCACGTGCTGTCGGCCCTGGCCCTCAAGTACGGCCGGGAGGAAAGCGTGGCCGCGGGCCTGGTGGAGCTCATCAGCACGCGCGAGCACAGCCCGGGCCCAGTGGCAGATCTCCTCCGCGACTCGGTCGCCAAGTGGGGCAGCGCCAGCCTGGTGAGGGTTGGACAGGGGGAGGCGGGGGAACCTGGATGGAGGGTGCTTGGGTTTGCTCAGCAGGCAGGACCTGACTTATGGTCCCTGGATGCCAGGCTTACTGGCAGTGGGCTTGGAACACCTAGAGATCGTACCCCCTGATGTGATTCATGGCCAGTCACAGCATCCCATCTCACCCCACCCCTACCTCCACTCAGGCCTCGGCGGTGGTGGGGGGCCTGGCCGCGGTCGACCCCGCAGAGTACGCTCGCCAGCAGTCTGCCACCGGCGAGAAGGCGGGCGTGCGCTCGGTGGCGGTGTTCTTCGAGGAGCTGGCCGCCAGGCTGCCCAAGTAGGGTTAGGGTCTGGGAGTGGAGGGATTGTGAGGGCCATGAGAAGAAGGCCTGCACTTGGTGCAAAACACGTGACGCCTTCCCTGCCCTCACCTGGATGCAGCGCATGAAGCCTTTCTCCTGATCTCCTCCCCCACCCCTTCCTCCTTTGGCAGGCTGCTGGCGAGACACGTGAGCCTGCTGCTGTCACACCTAGGCGGCGCGGCCCACACCCTGAGGTCCAGCATCGTGACTGCTTCGGGCCTGCTCCTGCAGCGCGCCTTTGAGCGCGAGGACGAGGAGGAAAGCGCGACGGGTGCGTGCCGCTCTGGGGGGTGGGAGGAAGGTTCTGGTGGGTGGAATGTCGGGGCCTGCAGTGCTGGCCCTGGCCGGGCGGCAGGCCGGGGATGGCATGCCACATCCGGCGCGCTGTCCTCTCTGCATGCAGCTGCTCCCCGGGCAAGCTACTTTGTATCCTGGAGATAGGGCTAATCCTGTGCAAATTTACACCTCTGAACTCACCTCAACACCCCCCACCCTGTTGCCAGCCACTGCCGCCCGCCTGCGTGGAAAGCAGCACCTGCTGGATGTGCTGACTCAGCGCGTTCGCGACACCAGCTCCTACACCCGCCGCGCCTGCCTGGCCGCCTGGCAGGGCCTGGCGGAGACCCGGACGCTGCCGCTGGGCCACTGGGCGGCCGTCACGGACATCGCCGTCGGTGCGCACTGGGTTTTGGAAGTGGGGGGGGTGGAGAGGACACCAGTGCTTGTCTGGGCACCAGAACATCATTCCCTTGTGGGTGTAAGTGGCAGATAAGTGTGACCGAGGCCCGCCAGTGCAGCCTGGGATGATGACGCGTAGGGCTCCGTCGCCCTGCACTGGTCTGAAGCGGAGCGTCCCTCCTTGGGAAACATTTTCCCCAAAGGGAGCCGAGCCGTGGACTTGGCATTGCCAGGTTTGTAAGCCTGACAGCCGACCTTTCCTTCTCACTTTCCACCACCCAGGGCGACTGGAGGACAAGAGCTCGCTGGTGAGGCGGGAGGCCCTGCGCCTCCTGCAGTGCCTCTTGCTGCACAACCCCTTTGGCCCCGCCTTGCCGGTAGGGGCTTTCGCGGCCTCCCTGGCTTCCCACCGTGCCGCTCTGGAGGTGTGTGATTGGTCATTTGGAGTGTGTTCGTGGTGGGGTGGAAACTGGGGACCCGGACGGCGTGCTACTATGATTAGGATGTCGACGGTGCCTTTTTGACAAATGCTGGGATGCATCCAGGTGTGCAGGGGCGCCACAAGTTGTCATTCCTTGGCCAATTGCATCAGCAACCATTGTGCCTGTCCATGCAATAGGTGTTGGCCCCTGACCATGCCGAGGACGAGTTCCAGGGCCTGAAGCTGGAGGGCGGGCGGGACGGCGCCACGGAGCCGGGTCAGGAAGGCGAGCAGGGGGGTGCGGAGGCCCCTCGAATCAAGCCCGAGCCCGGCACGGGGGAGGTGCCACTGCCTTCACAACCCGCACCTTCTTCGCAGCGCCGTGCGTCAGCCTCCGAGGTCGCGCCGGCGGCGTGGGAGGGCAGCCTGGAGGAGCTGAAGGCCCTGGTGGCCTCGCTGGAGCTGGCCACGAGATTCGCAAGGACCCTGGCGCATACCATGCCCCTGCTGGCCCAGCTCCTGGCTTCCGCCTCCGTCTCTGATGTCCAGGCAAGAGTGGGGCTTTTGGAGGGGGGTTCTCCTTGGGGTGCATCTTCAACTGGCCATGAGCGCTGGGGAACAGGTAGACCCTGTCGTTAGGTATGAGGAGCAGCCTCAGCTGGTGCCATCTCTTTCCCTCTCCTCGCACTAGCACAGGAGACGGTGGCCTTCCTGCTGACCTGCAAGCAGTTTGGGGTGGACGGCGTTGAAGCCACCACCCGGCGCGCGCTGCCGCTGGTCTTCTCCAGGGACCCTGCCATCCGCACGCGGCTGGTGGAAGCCGCCGACCAGCTTTTTGTGACGGGGTGGGCGGGGAACCTGTTCACCCCTGCGGCGGCTGCCAGGAACCTGATGGACCTGGCCAGCGACGCCACCCTGGGTGAGACGGTGGCGGCGGAGCTGTTGAATGAGGGGGAGCAGGGTGTGGGGAGTGGCGCTTACTCTGAGGTCAAAAGTGCATTGGGAAGAAAGAGGTGCGACAAGGATGGCAGGCGGCTAGGGTGATCGGTGATATGCTGTCCAGCATGCGGCTACTCCCCGCGGTCATGCCGTCGAGGGCTTGGGGCAGAGAATATCTATCCGCCTAGCAACGATGCAGCCGCCGAGTCGCCCAACATCACCCTTCCTACTCAGATCCCCCCCCCCCCGCCGCTCCGTGCCAGGCGAGCTGAGCTCCCTGGCGGCGCTGGTCAAGGAGTTTGTGGACCGCGACTTCCTCTCCCCTGCCGTCGTGCTGGAGCTGTGGGCCACCCTGGACCGCGCCTCGGGCCCCTCCAAGAACCCAGCGGCCCAGGGGCATGAGACGTGCGCTGTTTCTTTTTAATTTTGCTGGGGGAGGGGGGGAGGAACCCTGCATCAGATGGAGCGTGTGTGGATGACGAGCAGGGACCCCTCGCATGCCCCCCAATTCCTGCGCCCCCCCACATACTTCTACTATCAACGTGCAGGGCTGTGCGCCACCTGCGGTCCGCGCTGACCCTGCTTTCCTACGTCGTGGCAGCGGCCCCCGAGGGCGTCACAAGCGGCCAGCTGGACCTGCTCCTCGGCGCGGGCCTGGGCTCGGCCGACGCGCTGGCGGTGCGTGCGGCCTGCGCCTGCCTCCGCGCGCTGGGCCCGGGCCTGGCGAGTGGGCCTCTGGCGCCGCGCCGCGCCGCGGCCCTGGCTGCCCTCACGCGTGCTCTGCTCTCCGACGGCGCGGTCCCACGGCAGCAGTGGTACTGCGCGGCAGGGCCGGCCGTGGACGCGCTGTTCGCGCTGCACCCGGAGCCGGGCCGGGTGGTGGCCGCCGCGCTGCGCGCACTGAGCTCGCGTGCCGCCGCCGGCGACGGCCGCGACCTGGGGCCCTTCTTCTTCCTCCTGGGCCACGCGGCCCTGGCACAGCTGGTGAGATGACGTGGGTGGAAAGGGGAAAAGGGAGGGGGGGAGAGATGGGCTGGGGGTTGAAGGGGCACATGGGGGTGACGAGCGGGTGCCTTGCATGGAGCAGCATGGCCGGAGAAGCGAGGGGAAGATCCATTTTGGCTGCCGCACCAGAGTGACCGCCCGCTGAGTTCCTGGGCGTCTGCATCCCCGGCTGCCCTGGCAGCGGCATAGTGAGCAGATACTCCGCGTGGCAGGCAAGCCCAGTATGTTTCCCACCCACTCCATCATCCCTGTGCCAGGTGTACGTGGACGGCCAGGCAAAGCGTGCACGTCGCGTGCTGGCTGGCGTGGGCCGTCCGGCCGGCCAGGCAAAGGGTCAGGAGGCAGATGCAGAGGACATCAACGCGGAGCTGGGCGTGGGCTCCGTAGCTGCCGACGCTGAGCTGGAGGGGCAGCGCGAGCGGGCCGAGGCTGAGATCCTGGGGCCGGCGAGCCCCTTAGCCCCCCACGCCCGCCTCGTCTCGGCGGGTGAGAGTGGATTGGAGTGTTTGCAAGGAGAGGGGGAGGGGATATGAAGGGCGAATCTGGCCGCTGGACCTGGCCCTCAGGGCTGCCGACGGCAGATGCACCAGCCGATGAGCCCGCCCAGCTGGTCGGTCCCACCAGCAGCGGCACATCATCGCACCACCATCACCGACGTCGACTCTCGCTCACCTCCTAGCTCACCCAAATCTCCGCAGTGTGTCACAGCCGGGCCCTGCTGACGGGGGACCCGGGGCTCAGGGCCTCGGCCCTGCTCTGCCTCGTCAAGCTGATGGCGGTGGACGGCGCCTTCTGCTCCGCCCACCTCCAGCTGCTCTTCACACTGCTCCAGAACCGGTGGGCAAGCTGGTGCTGGGGTGATGGTGGTGTGTTCCCTTGGGGGAAGGAGGGCCAGAGGAAGGGTGGGCTGTTGGAGTATGAGCGGGGGGCATCAGGGGAATCCGAGGAGGGAGACTGTATGTCTTCGAGATGCTGGCCAGAGACCTGGCGTGAGGGGTGCTTGGTGGTCCTTCCCAATCGCGCCCTCAGTATCTCACTGGGCACGCACCATGCCCAGCCTCCCGCCCACCACCACCATCGCCAATTTTCCGGACTCTACTCCACGCAGGGGCGTGGAGCCGGGGCTGAGGTCCACGCTTGCCGTGGCACTGGGCGACCTGGCCCTGCGATTCCCAAACATGCTGGAGGGCTGGACGGAGCGCATGTACCGCCCGCTGCAAGACGCCGACACCATGGTGGGGTCGATTGCGGTGGGGGACTTTGTGCAGGGATGACTGTCGGTGATGCCAAGCTTGGGAGGTGGGGTGCATGCTGCGGGATGTTCATGTGAACCAGGCTGCACAGCCGAGTGCACCTCTCCCTCGCCCAGCTCCGCGCCTCACCCCCGGCCCCCAACAGGTTCGCAAGAATGCGCTCATGGTGCTGTCCCACCTCATCCTGAACGACATGATGAAGGTGTGGAACGGAGTGTGAGGGGCCCGAGTGTTTGTGGGGCACTCAGCGGCGGTCCTCAGGGGACTAGGCGAGATTGCCTGGCGAGGCCTGGCAGGGAGTGCCAAGTAGCACTAGCCATTCACAGCCCAAACCAGGTGCCCCTGGCTCTTCCCCGTTGTCACGCCTCTCCCCAGGCCCCTCTCATTTCGCCTGTCCCCTGCCTCTCCGCAGGTCAAGGGGCACATTGCCCAGCTGGCGGTCTGCCTGGTGGACCCCGAACCCCGCATCCGCGCGCTCGCCGAGCTCTTCTTTCACGAGCTGGCCAAGAAGGAGGTCAAGGGCACCTCGCCCATCTACAACCTGCTCCCCGACATCCTTTCTAATCTGTCGGCCGACAGTCGGCTGGGCAAGGCCGACTTCCAGAGCATCATGCAAGCAGTGAGCAGTGGTGGGAGGAGGGGTCGTCGGAGGGTTCTGTGCGGCAAATCGGCTGACGCCCTCGAAAAGGGAAGGGGGGGCGCAAAGCGCTGCAGCCAGAGTGCTGTTCTGCAGGGCGCCCGCCTGCCTGCCTCCCTGCGACGCCCCCCTGTACTGTTCCCACTGGTGGTGCTCCACGCGCGCGTGCAGCTGCTGGGGTACATCAAGAAAGACAAGCAAGGCGACGCACTGGTGGAGAAGCTGTGCCAGCGCTTTGCGGCAAGCGAGAGCCTGACGCAGTGGCACAACGTCGCCTTCTGCCTCACCCAGGCGAGTGTCGGGGTTGCGGTGGAGGGGTTGGTGAGTCTTGAGGTTCCACATGCCGTGGTGCTGCTCCGCATGTCCCCGCCCTCCACACAACCCCCCACCCCCCCCTTCCCTCGCACCTTCGACAGCTGCCCATCAGCGACAAGGGGCTGCGCCGGCTGAGCGAGTCATTCAAGATGTACCGGCGCACGCTGGGGGATGCCGAGGTGGCGGCCGCCTTTGCCAGCATTCTCGCCAAGGCGAAGCGATCCGCCGCCAAGGGCGACGTGAAGGTGATGCTGCTCGGGAGGGAGGCCCATCGGGGCTTGCGGGAGTCAGCTTTGGGCGTGCCAAGTGTCAGGCACAAGGGATCTGCTCGGATCTGGACATTGGCGCAATGTCCTGCCCATCATCGACACCTGCTCAGATGCGAGGCAGCCATGGCACCCGATGCCTCCTCCACTCTCCTCTCCCCTGATTCCAAACGCTTTCTTCCATGCACCTACTCAATCCCAGGCGCTGGTGGAGGAGCTGGAAGCGAGGATGGCCCAGGCCGCCGAGGAAAGGGCGGAGCAAGGCGAAGACCCGGCAGCTGGAGATGCGGTGAAGTCCGAGCCCTGCGAGGCCGCCGTGTCGTCGCTGGCGGGACAGGTGTGTCGGATTGATGGCGCTGTGCTCAGCCCTGTGCATTGCCGTACCGGAGCGTCGCCTCTCCCTGGGGCACCCTTTCACTTTGCCCTCTGCTCCTGCCGACAGATGGACGGCTTGAAGGTGGAGACTGGACAAGGCGATCCCACTTTAGACGAGGACAGATCCTCGCCAACCCCAGGCGCCCCCACCATCAAGCCCGATCCTGAAGCAGCACAGGAGGGGGTTGGTGTCCAGGATCTGGTGGCCAAATTCGGCGGCGGACTGACCCTGAGACCCTCCCGCAGCAGGCAAGGCAATGCAGAGGGGTGAGGGTCTGGATGCACATGGTGGCATGTCGGGCAGGGGGCCGGGAATGCAATAATAGGCTCTCACCTGTTTCCCACTTTCCTCCCCGACAGGATCAAGGCGCAACCATTCGCCAATGTGGAGGAGGATGGCAGCAGTTCCATCCCTGCTCTGCACTGACCCAGGCAGTCCCGGACCCTTGGTGCGACACATGGGTGGTCCTCAATTGCAATGCGCAAGCGGTGGATCCTTACGATCCTGTGATGGCACTTGCCTGTCTCCCCTCATCCCATGCATGTTCAGTGTGAGCTTACAGGAGGGTGGTAGCCGCGAGCACCTGGGGAAAAGGCAGAACATGCATTTTCCCTGCAACATTCAAGTGGACAGACAGATATGGGGTGAGGCCGGGTGGACTCAGGCACGGGTGTCGGAGTACAACGACTTGACCGGGAATTCGTAGTACAGTCGGACGAACTCCAGCTTGGCCTTGGCCTCGGGGGTGCCCTGCAAGATGGCACGGGCATTCTTTGATCGTGATGTGCGAAATGGGAGGGAATCTCTGCAGGTTGGAGGAAAAGACACAAGACCGCATTCCACTTGGCATGCAGACGCCCGTGCAACCACCCACCCTTCCCCCACACACCTTGAGCGCCGCCCAAGCATCCCAGCGTGCACGGCCCTCGAAGTCGAGCCCGCCCTTCTCTGCCCACATGGGGCGCTCAGTGGCGTTGTCCCCCTGCAACGCTTGCATGTGGTACCTGCAGTACCGCGAATATACACTGGGGATCAGGGGTGCCAGGATGCAAGGCGCTCTGAGCTCATGTCCCTTCCCCTGTGTCATGAAAGCAGTCCCTGTGCTTGGAGGCGTGACACTGCGCGCACCCGTACAGAGTGTAAAACTCATCAGGCTTGACCGTTGCACCGCCGGGCTTGGAGATGATGCGCCAGTTCAGCTTCTCATACTTCTCCACCAGGCTCCCGAACTCGGAGGCGTCGTAGCTCTGTGCGAGATTGGCAGGAGGGGATGTTGTCGGACCATGACATCATCCCAGGGATCCGTCGGAAACAGTTCCGGCCACCTTCACGCACCTCCTTGGCATGGGGTGACTTCTCAGCAGGCTTGGCAGTCGCACTGGCAGCCCCTCCCTTGGCCGCCTGCTCGGTCTTGAGCTTCCTCAGCTTGGCCTTGCCAGCTGCGAGCAGGGAGGACTGAAGCGTGCGCGAGCCGGGCCGAATACAGGTGTGCAGGCAGGTGGGGTCAACTACGTGCCCTGTGCGCGGCCGGTGCAGTCTTGCGAGGGCCCTCACGATCCGAGCAAGAAACCCCAGCGCACCCCTGTACTTTTGGCGATCATCTCCTGGCGTAGCGTCGATGAACGAAGCATCCTGGAGTGCCTTCTCCAGCGTGTCCACATCATTCGCAGCGGCGATGGCCGCGAGGGCAGTTCCAGCGTCGATGGTCATTATCGTCGAGCTTCGTCTGCCTTGTGCTTGCTGACGAGCTTACAATGTGTGCAACGGTAAACTGAGCAGAACTTGAATGCGCTGGAAGCGACATACGGACTTGCGCGACCCAACGCCTTCGTCCGGCTGCATGGTTGGGCACGAAGCTGCGGTGCATGCGATGGTCAACGGTCTCGAAATCGGCCGGTCGACGTGCATGACCCTCCAGCCAGCTCGCCAGGCCTCGTGCTGCATCACCCTGAGCAAAACAGGCCGATCAAAGCAAGTCCAAGACCGAGCCGCGCGTGAGCTCGCGAAGTGGGACCTTCCGTGCCAGCAGCTCCGGTTTAGCTGGCAGCTGTTTTCTCACGGCAACCCAGGCCGGGCAGCCGCAGGTAGCCACTTGCGGCTCCGAGGCCTCCGTCAGCTGTCCTTCGGACGCACAGGGGACCCGCTCCGCTCCTCTATTTGCCTGAGGATTGCCTCTGCCACCGAAACGTACGCCCTGGCGGAGGCTGAGCTGGGCGCAGAGCTCACCACTGGGTCACCCCCATCGGCCCCTTCCCGGATGTCTATGTTCAGAGGCACCTGGAGAGGAGAGGGTTTTCGTAGGTGCCGAAGGGGAGGCGTGGCAAATGGCAGGAGACGATGTGTCATGGGACGCAAGAGGTGGGCCACTCGTAACGGCGACACAGGATCGACACAGTAGTGTACCTCTCACAACCCTCGTCACCCTGTGGTGTCTCCCCTCTAACTGCGACGGAAGGGCCTACTCTCTGGTGCTGTCATGAATCCCCTTTCTCTCAGGCCGACCGCAGCCCACTCACCTGCCCCAAGAGTGGCATGTGCAGGTCGGCCGCCGCCTTCTGCACGCCGCCCTGGCCAAAGATGTGCGACTCGCCGCCGCAGTGCCCGCACACAAAGTAGGACATGTTTTCCACGATGCCCAGCACTGGCACGCCCACCTGGCGGAACATGAGGGCCCCCCTCCTGGCGTCCAGGAGCGCGATGTCCTGCATGTGAAATGCTGGAGGGCATTGCGACAGGGCATGCGGTCTGTGAGTGATATCCCAGGCAGGCAGGAGGCCCGCAACATCACGTGAGCTCCAGAAACTCTGTGCGGCGCTCGCGGCTCGCGCTGTCCATCGCGTGTGCGGCCTACCTTCTCCTTCCCCCTTGCGTTCCCCAGACCCCGCCCGCCCCACCTCCCACTCCCCCCCTTCTTGCCTGGGGCGTGGACACGATGACGGCCCCCGACAGGTGCAGGCGCTGGGTGACGGTGAGCTGCGCGTCCCCCGTCCCCGGCGGCAGGTCCAGGAGTAGCACGTCCAGTGGCGCCCAGAGCACCTTGGACATGAGGGTCTCCAGGGCCCCCATGACCATCGGCCCGCGCCAGATGGCGGGCGCGTCCTGCGCCAGCAGGAAGGCCATGCTCATGCATCGCACGCCGTGCGCGCTGCGCGGCACCATGAGCCCGCCTGGCATTGTTGACGAGGGCGGGAGCTAGGATTGGGAAGGGACTTCCTCTGGATACAAAGCCGATCCAAGGACCCACCCTGGCCCCCTGTCAGGAATCCTCGGCCACAAGCACACCCACCTGCGCCGATCTCAGGCTTCCCGCTCAGGCCCAGCATGTGCCCCACGCTGGGACCGAAGACGTCAGCATCCAGCAGGCCAACCCTCAGACCCAGGGACTGAGACATGGCCACCGCGAGGTTCACTGCAGGGAGGCGGGGGAAGGGAGGGGTGTGCCCCCTGGCCGGGTGCTGGTTGATGCCTGGGAATGACCACTGGCAGGACACCCCCCAGAACCTCCTACCTGCGGTGGTGGACTTGCCCACACCGCCCTTCCCGGAGGCAACGGCCACGATGTGCTTGATACCGGGGAGCACGAACTTGGGAGGGGGCGGGGGTGGACCTCTGCGTGGCATGGCGGAGAATGCCCGCCACAGGCCTCGTCGCCCCGACATCCCCTGGGAGCCCGGTGTCACCGAGTCGCGAGGGGGAATGCGCCTGTCGCATCTACTTGTCGGTGCATCACATTATTTATACACACCAGTGCCATCGATGATCACTGTGTAGCACTGGGATCACCCACACGACAGAGGAACTGGGGTTTGCCAGGGCGCGCGGGCGCCGACACCCTCCTTTCGAAGCCCATGTCGACAGCACTGGGATCACTTTTGTGAACATCTACACGAAGAAAAGAAGAGGTTCAAAGACCCAAATTGCCTGGCTTGAAGGTCTTCAAACAAGAGTTCCCTGGCAGCATGGCCCTCGTCGCTCCTCCATACCGGTTCGATGCCCGTCAGGCCGCCAGCTTCTTGATTACGCCAGCAACGTACTTGCCCTGGTGCTCGGCATGGTCCAGCTCCTGATCGATGGGCTGGCGGCTCCCGTCAGACCCGGCAAAGGTGGAGGCGCCGTAGGCGGTGCCACCGTGGACATGGCCCAGGTCGGTTTGGGGGGGGAAGGTGTACCCCACAGGGATGAAGACGATGCCGTGGTGCACCAGGTTGGGCAGGCTGGTCAGCACAGTGGACTCAAGCCCGCCTCCCTGTCATGGGTGCGGGGAGGGAGGGCCGGGAACAGATGTAGATGCGGGAGCAGCTGCACCGAGCATTGCAGCATCTTGAAGTTAATTCCTGCCACAATTGCTCCCTGGCCACAACATCATTAGGTAATCTCCAGGCATTGGGTCAACCTCATGTAACCCATGTGCACCTGGGTGCCCGAGGATGTGAAGATTGAGGCGCCCTTCCCAACCAGACTGCCTTTGACCCAGAGGCCTCCAGTGGCGTCGAAGAAGCTCTTCATCTGGGCGGGCATGGTGCCAAACCTGTGAGCGCAGAGGAGAGAAGAGGGGGAGGGGAGCATGGGGATCATTCATGCCATGATGGCAGCGAGCAGCCATGCCAGATCTGTTGTGTACCACGGCAACCAAACAGTACCCAGATCTCATGAAGTCCGTCAGACCTGGTGGGGAACCCAAAGATGTAGCCGTCAAAGTCGGGGAGTTGGGCCGGGTCAATGATGGGGACATCGGCATCCTTCGGCGGAGCATGGATCTTGGCCAAGATGTCGTCACTCAGAGTTTCCTTGACCTGCATCGGGCCGGCGGGTAAGATGCTCGCATGCTCGACATGGGATGTGGCAACGGGATGCCACCAGCTTCTCGCGTAGGCCAGGGAACAGTATCCACCTGAAAGATGTCGGCAGTGACGCCATCCACGGCGCGCGCCCCGACGAGCACTCGCTGGGCGAGCTTGGCGATGTGCCCATAGCTGCGTCATGGGCGGAGATCGGACAGTCAGCGAGGCTCTCACAGGGCATTTTATGCCATCAGGAAGTCATGACAAGGTCCATCACGCACGTGGAATAGTAGATGACAGCGATGCGGGCCATGATGCGGTGTTGTGTGCAGGTGCTGTCGTCGAACCCTGTGCACAATATGAAGGGCAGAGCCTCGCGCAACCTCTCGCAGACGTGCAGATTGGTTTAGTCAATGAGATACGTGTTATCATGTTTTGGAACGCATAGGGTTCTTCGCAGATGTAGACATCGGACACTATGACCCTTTACGTCATTCAAGCGTATACCTTACGAGAGATGGCTAGAAAACCTTGGTGGACATTGCACATCTGCTGTCCAGTGGAGATGGATCGAAGGGTGACTGGGCATGAGAGTTACATTGTCAGACAGGTGGGAAATATATATTGAAATTTGTCAGTGGGATTGTAGCTAGAACTTCTTGCTATGGCGATTCAGTTCTGTGGCAAGCCAGAAGAAAACACTACTTGGTCAGGCTGCCAGCTTCCTGATGACCCCCGCAACATATTTGCCCTGCAGACAGGTTGAGGCAGCACGGGGTTGACCAATGGCTTACACTGTTTTTCCTGTACGGTGCTCCCATGCCTGCCCACACAACAATCACTATCTACCTGGTGCACGGCATAGCCGAGCTCCAGCTCAGTCGGCTGCCGACTGCCATCAGCACCCGCCAGGGTTGACACCCCCTGGGTGGGGACATGTGGTTGGGACACGTTGCAGAGTGGAAGGAATGGGTTGGGTTTTAGGATAGCTTGCTGGATGGTAAACTCAACGAGCCAAGTGAGAGTATGATCGATCCATCCCCGTCCCACTCACATAGGCGGTCCCGCCCCGGACAGCATCATTGGAGAAGAGAGAGGCGCCATAGGAGTAGCCGGTGGGGATGTAAGCAATGCCGTGGTGTACCAGGACTGGCAAGCTGGTCAGCACCGTGGTCTCGATGCCGCCTCCCTAAGGTTTGGGGGGCGCAGGTGGGGAGGCGGCGTGGCGAACGAGGTTGTCGAGGGCGGCGGGCATGGCACCCAACAACAAGCACATGACCTTTCGAGATACAGGACTCTGCTGGGCAGAGCATGTCAGACTACCACCAAGGTTCCCTGGCCCACCTGGGTTCCGGATGAAGTGAAAATGGAAGCGCCCTTCCCAACCAGGGCCCCAGAGGCCCAGAGGCCCCCTGTGGCATCCAGGAACGCCTTGAATTGAGCGGGCATGGTGCCAAACCTGGGGCAAGGAGTGCATGGAGGATGTAGGTGTCAGGTGCAGTGCATGCACGCATGGTCTTCGCGACTGGCCTTCCTCCACTTGCACCCAGTATGCTGTGCATTCGAGCAACAGTTTACCTTGTGGGGAAGCCAAAGATGAATCCATCGTATTCGGGCAACTGAGAGGCTTCGATGATGGGGACAGAGGCATCCTTGGGTGGCGCATGTATCTTTTCAAGGACGGCTGCAGGTAGAGTTTCCGCAACCTGGAGCGACAGGAAAGGGAAGGCAAGGGTCCATGCTGTGCGATGTGTACCCGTTGGCAGCTGATCGAATTCAAACGCCCCATGCACATAAACCCCCCAAATCCCCCCGCATAATACCTGGAATAAGTCCGCCTTTACTCCTGGTACAGAGTTTGCTCCCTCCAGTACTTTCTTCGCTAGTGTCGCTATGTGGCCATATCTGAAGAATTGGTCGGGAAGGACAGCTGTTGGTAAAGTCCACAGACCCTAGTAAAGGGAGTCAGGTGAGGTTTCCCCAGACTTACGTCGAGTAGTAGATGACGGCTATGCGTGCTGCTGGAGCTTCTCCCTTGGTCGAATCGGCTCTGGTTACGGCCCCGTTTGCAGCGGGAGCGGCATCCTCTGCTGCCACCACTGGGCCGGCCTCCACAGGGCGGGCGGCTGGTGCGGCCGTCGCAGGTGCAGGCGCAACGGGTGCCGAAGGCTCAGGCGTACTGAAGCAATTACCCATGGTGATTCTGAACTCTGAGGGTGGGGATGTTGGCTCGCCTATAAATCAGAACTGAAGGATTACCTCGCCCCGTCTTTGGATCACGTCACGAACTTTGGTACCCCGAATCAGGTGTCATCACCGACTCGATGCGCCATGCACTGTTCCATCCATCAGTTTGTGTAGGAAGTGAAGCTGTAGAGTCATCGGTATTATTATTATCATTGCCCGTTCGCCCGGAATCGCGTTGACCGTATCTTCTATTCCAGCTCGCCTTGCGGCGACCAAGGACCGAGCACGAATCCCGAAACATCGATCGTCTCTCCAAACCGTCAATAATTATTACAAGATAACCTGTTAATGCTCTAATGCTTTCAAAGGATGTCCCATGGAGGTATGGTTCCCATTGCGAGATGATGGTGCGAGTGTAGTGGATCCTAGTCAAACATCCGGGCAACAACACATTGCTGCTGCAGAGGCTCTTTCCGGTTTCTCCTGCTGCCGGCCTAGGCCGCCAACTTCTTGATCACGCCAGCCACGTACTTGCCCTGGTAATGTGCGGGAAAATTGGATGCCTGAGGGCGGGTTTCTTCACCTCAGTGCGAGTGGACTCCAGTTGCACCTGTACCACGCGGGATTCTGTGGCAAGCCCTCACCTGGTGCTCAGCATACCCAAGCTCCAGCTCTGAGGGCTGACGACTGCCGTCGGCACCTGCCAGGGTGGACACACCCTGCGGAAGGAGAGGCATGACGGAGGGTCACCAAGGTGACCTGGCAGCAGGGAGGCACGCAGGGGTGAGCTTCACGCTGACCCTCGTGCCCTTCCATGAGCAATGCACTTGCTCACGTAAGCCGTGCCGCCGCGGACTGCGTCGTTGGAGAAGAGGGAGCCACCATAGGAGTAGCCAGTGGGAATGAAGACGATGCCATGGTGGACGAGGACCGGCAGGCTGGTAAGCACCGTGGTCTCGCTGCCGCCTCCCTGTGAAGTGAGGAGGGTGAAGGCCCATTGGTACCAGGTAGAGAGCCTGCAACCCGCTTCTCAACATGGACAGAAGCACCGAATGCAGCGGTGGATCACCACCCACCCTTGCCAAAAGTGTCCTTCCTACCATCCCTCGGACCCACCTGGGTGCCGGTGGAGGTGAAGATGGAGGCGCCTTTGCCAACCAGGGCCCCAGAGGCCCAGTGCCCCCCCGTGGCATCCAGGAACGCCTTGAACTGAGCAGGGGCGGTGCCAAACCTGTGTCGTCGTGTGGGTGGGGTGCCGTTTTCAAGCTGCAGCAGGAAGTCAGTGGCCAGGCAGGAGAGTGATCAAGCTAGGAGGCGAGAGCCAACCAACACCAGAGCCACCGCCCAACAAGGACCTGGTAGGGAACCCAAAGATGAAGCCGTCGAACTCGGGGAGCTTGGCCACATCAATGATGGGGACATCCGCATCCTTGGGTGGAGCATGGAGCTTGGCCAGAACCTCCTCGCTCAATGTCTCAGGCACCTGTGTGGAACAGCAGCTGCCTGAGGTGCAATCGAGGATGGAAGTTGATCCTCGTGCACTGAACCGAACCCTAGGCTTCATACCTGGTAAACCTCCGCGGTGACCCCCTCCACGGAATTTGCGCCAGCAAGAACCTTCTTGGCTAGCGTCGCGATGTGGCCATACCTGCCATACATCCGGGGTGGAGTGACGCTGATTGAAGTCACATCAATAAATGCATGTCGAAAATTCGGAGTGAACGGCACTACAAGCCTTACGTCGAGTAGTAAATGACAGCGATGCGAGCCATGTCAGTGTGCTCCTCGGGTTCAATACCAAGCTAGCCGAAGGGTGGTATTGTGTTTTACGAGCTTTGTACTTTGTTTGTGACAACGAGGGCGTGTTAGTCTGCTATATGTAGAATCGCGTCTGCCTATGAAAAAGTCATTGCGGATGAAGAAACTTTTGCTGGTGGCTTACCTAACCGGTAGGGGGCGGCCACTACCGTGACCCGTCCTCTTCTCGTTGCCCTTCAAAGCCGCATCTGTGAAGACACATGACTGGAGCTATATAGCATCATGCAAAATGAATCGCTTGCTGAGATGGAGTTTCAGGGTACAAACGCCTAGCTTCGGGCTGCCATCATGTGCCCCGATGTAGTCATGAGGAGCTTCGGTGGTTCAAAGGGGTGACATCAACGTTCATGCCCATGAGGTGGACATCACTTTGCCCTTGAAGAGCTGTCAATGTGACTGAATGATGCACAGTACGACATTTCCGTCACCACGCAACGTGATTATAGGTTTAAGCTCGTCTTTTTAATCTTGCAGGCTGCTACACACACCATATTGCTAAAGCAGGATCCATTGAATGTGGCGAAAGATAGGGCAGTGTGGTAGAGGAGCTCGCCGACTGAGTTCTGCAGACTCTGGAAGGAATCCTATGACTTATGTGGTCCGTCAATATTCTGTATCGCTTCATCCTGTCAATGGGAGTCAGAGTCAACAGACACTGCCTTTCTGCGCAAGTACTTTGTATCATGTAGCGGACTCCATGCAAATGATAAGGTTGAAGCAGGTACACAAGACGCCAGTGTACTGCACGCGCATTATGAAGCGATATGCGATCCCTCACAGCATCAAGCATCCAAAGCTGGTTGCCCGAGGGCGTCGTGTGGCTGTCAAGGGGCCCCTGGTACTCAAGAATAAGATGTGGGACTTTCCTCCAAGCCAGCATGCTTCGCGCCTAGAGTTCAAATTGAAGAGTCCAAGTTCAAAAAATTGCCGACCTCGGAATGACCAGGCATACGACATCAGCTGCTCGTGCACAGTGTACGATACGTACCTCGTCCTCTCCCTTGAACTTTCATGGCGCGCAGTGTAACACGCGACACCACAGGAGACGACCGCGATCAGCGCACTGTAATGAGGACTTCCGAGCATTACGACCCGAGCCGCAGTCGTAACTATGCAAAACGAAGGCGCCGACTGGCGGAGCTAAATTCACGGAGAATGGGGATCCTACCGAGTCTGGTGGCGACTCGGGGGATGTCGCGGCTGTCACAGACCTCGCGATGCCACCTCAGGCTGCTCTGGAGCTGCTCGCCACCAACCGGGAGATCCTCGCCTCCATGCAAAGCATGGCCACCACCCTGGAGCGACTCAGCAGATTCATGCACAACCGCTTGGACGACATCCCAAAGCTCGCAAAGATGGTCGCAAAGAATGAGCAAGCCATTCAAACGATGGCAGAAGAGTTGGTACGTTTCTTTGGCTGGTTCCTGCAAAGTGTTCCCCTGCGTCTGCAACTCACATCCAGTCCTCACCTCACAGGAAGAGGGACTGCAAAAACTGTCCGACCAGATTGCTGGGGTCAAGGTTGGTACTCTCATCCTAGCTGGGCTCCTGAGGGCGTGGGCGCAGCACATGACTGGGAGGCTACATGCTGGTGTTCTGGAGGCTGTGTGCTGGTCCCCGGGCTTCACTCTGGGGTGAGCTGGTGACACCCATGCCACGGGGGGAGGCCTGCCACCCATCTGTTCACCCGCTCGATCCTATTGCGTAGAGAGATGAGTCCTTGAGTTCTTGTGGCCTTACTGGATGAAGCTGGGACCATGTCTCACAGCAGAGGATGTCCATGAGGCTGCTTGCGCAACGCTCCTACCTCCCAACAGCACGGACATGCAGAAGGACAACCTGAAAGACCAGGTAAGGATGTCACAGCGCAGAGGTTGCACTCTCATCCTGGCAGTCGGCCTGCACCCACGTCCTGTGCAAATCACCAAAATCATTTGCAGGGATGTCAGGCAGTCTTTATGGGAGAGCGCAGAACGGTTCCTTGGGGAATACATAGAGAGACTGATGGAATGGGATGCTGTAAGGGAGGACGAGGAGGACTGCACCACAGTCGTAGTTAACAAGCGCAGGGTAACTATGCGCAATAGCAACATCAGCTATCTTCAGGATGGTGAGGCTACCCCTTCGCGCATGGGCTGAGACTGAAGCCAACACATGCCAATACCCTTGCGAGAACATTGCCAGAGCCGTGCATTCCTCTTCCCCATATTGGCAGCCTGCAGCGGCATCCACACTTCTCTAACTCTCCCTGCAATTGCAGTGCCCTATTGGAGGATCGGAGCCGATTCGGATGACGAGTATGGAGACGAACTTTACAGGAACATGCTGTGTAACAATGAGTACTTTCATCGAAACCTGGAGGGCCCAGGTTTTAAGGACTGTATCACCACCATCCCTGTGGCCTTTCTGGCCTGGATAGAACTACTGGTGAGTGGCAGCAAGAGGCAGAATGTCTTCTTCACCGAGCAGTATATCTGAGTCAAGCCCCTGATATTCTGCGCAGATTGAAGGGAGGATTGATGATCTAGCGAAAGGTGTGGAAGCCAAGTAGCGTACCTGGAGCCAGCAGGAACTCAATGATAGGATGGACGCAATCAAGGCCAGACCCAAGTGCTCCTATCTTGTGCCCTATGAGCTGCACCCTTCTTAAGTGGATACCACAAAGACGCGCACAACACCCCCCTTGGCTGCATAAAGAGGCAGGTCGTCGAACAAACTTGCTGAAGAATCTGCCACATATCTTCCTTGGGCTGCTGCTGGGGCTTGCTGGATCAGCAGGAGGCGAATCTAGACCTGCCATGAGGCAGCCCATGCCCAACTACCAGTGGATTCACTCCGCCCTATCATTATTATTATAAATTGAGTTTGCCTGCGTTTTTAATCGCTCTGTACCAAGGTACACGGGATTGTTTCTGCTGTTCGGAGCTGAGGAGGGCAGCGAGCCACATGAGATGTCCCGAGCATACAAGCATCAACAACCAGATTTAACTTCCCAACATATTTTGAGTCAGTCCACGTCCATTCGGGGCTTCCTTCATCCACCTTCTTTTGAACCCATCCATAAGGCGCATGCCCAGCATGAATCCAGACAGAACACCACATACTCGCACCAGTTCTTGTTGATAGAGCTGTTGAAAGGTTCCGCTTACCAACCAAATGTCTGTCCAACCAGTGTTATAACCTAGTCTCAAGGAGGCATCTTTACCCATTTTCCGATGAGAGCCGCGCTCCTGTTTGTATATGGTAGAGTATTGTCGCGGTGCAGCTCGCAAAGGTGTGCAGCACTCGATGCATGGCTGATAGATCTTCAGGGAAGAGAGACAACCTCTGCAGGCAGTGCTGTAAGAGATACAAGTGACCATTGACCGACTCGTTCCAGCTCAGAAGGCCTATGTTTGCGCTACATGCGCTCAATGCCCTGCAGATGGGCTGCGTGCGGTCTGCATCCTGCCTTACCATCACCACATTCAATCCCTTAGCTCAGTGCTTCATTATCCTCTTCGACCGCTTACAAGCCAAGCACTTGCTATCCTTCAGGAGAGCCCAGTCATCGGGCTGGCAGGCAGCAAACCAACTATGCATTGTCAGGAATCCTAGCATTCACTCCAGCTTGCCTACCAAGTAGAAGAAAGGAATTGATGGTGGGCATCCTTGAGAATCGACCCTGTACACCCGAGACCCCCTGAGTCGACCCACCGCACTACGCACCCGTGCCGGTGATCATACGGTAGTAACCGCGTGCCAGGAGGAAGGCACCGACGGCACCGACACTCAGAGGGATGACGACGCTGGTCAGCCTGTCAGCCTTGCCTGCACGCACACAGCGGGAACGTATGTGTTCAGTATGACTACCAGCACGACTATGAGGCGTCTGAAAGACTTGAAGTCTAACTCACCCCTGAGGTGGATGTAGGGAGACCCGCCAGCCCTCTGGTAGTACTTCTGGAGCTCGGCGATCCTCGCGGGGTCCACCATCTTGTCTGGAAGTGGCACTTGAGGCTGAGCGAGGGGTAATGGAACACGAGAGACTCGGCAGAGGGCAGACGGACACGGGTTTTCTCAGGTACATCGACATTAGGGGCACGTCGGAGAGCAGCTGTCGCAGCACGCTCAGCACACCCCGGCCCGGTCCATGCATCGTAGATGGATGTTCGTCATGCACGGCAAGAGTGGTCGATGCGACATTGACTACTCAAAATGCAGCATTGAGTCTTCCATCGTGATGTCGGGGGGTGGGACAGGACCCTGCCCCTCCTCACATGCTTATGTGGGCGACATCACTGCCCTGTGTGCGGTGCATGCCACCCCCTACCTCCTGGTGGCCTCGGGCTCCACCGTACGAGTCTTGCACATGTACAATGGTGCTGACATCAGCAGCTGCATCGCCGTGCCAGACGCCATTCGAGTGCAGGGCCTGCGCGTGTGTCCCTTCGCCGTGCCGGGCGCCGACCGAGTGGTGCTGGCGCATGGCGACCGCCTCGCCTCCCTCCTCTCCCTGGACACACAGAGCGGCTGCATGAGTCTGATCGTCACCCTGCCGCGATTGCGGCATTGGATCCTGGCCGCCTCCCTATGGGCTGCGTCCCCCGCCACCCTGCACATCGTCCTGGGGCTGGCTAATAACAGCCTGACATGCTTTACATGCTCCCCAGAGCGGGACTGGAGGCCCGACCTGGCTTGGCAGGTGGATGGGCAGGAGCGCTCCCTCCTCTACTCCATGGCCATCCACTTGGACTGGGACCGGGAAGGCTTTGGTGGGGCGAGTGACGGCACGCGGCCTGCACCCAACCAGGTGAGTTCCTGCTGCGCAAGGAGATTCGTATCGGGCCCCGGTCGGACAACGGCGAGGGGTGTCGGCTGCACACAGGAAGCCTGGGGCCGCGATGTGCAGCCCCCCCTGATGCGCCTGCCGGGACATGCTCCAACCCTCCCTCCCCGCGTCTGGCGCACGCAACCCATGGATCACCCCCCCTGCACCCCTCCAGAGCACCAAGGCCCCTCCCCGCGTCTGGGTGGCGGGCGGCACGATCTTCCTGGACGTGGTGGTCTGGGAGGCGCGCCCGGGGTCGAACCCTGCCGGGCCCACCCGCCTGCGGCTGAAGGGTCACGAAGGCTCCATACACCGCGTCTGCTGGGCGCCCTGCGGCGCCCAGCTGGCCTCCGCCTCCGACGACCGTACCCTGCGCATCTGGGACGTGTCGGGCTTGGTGCGGGGCCTGTCAGGCGCCTGCGAGGACGTGGCGCCCCGCCTGGCACTCTACGGCCACGCCGCACGGCTGTGGGACGCCTGCTTCGTCCCCGGGGTCCCCGCGCTGGTCAGCGTGGCCGAGGACTGCACGGCGCGGTTGTGGAGCCTGGAGGACGGGGCGTCCCTGGGGATCATACGGGTGAGGAGGGGGGGGGAGGATGGTGTGGCTGGGACTGTACCGCCATCAGAACCGGATCATGCACACCCACGCAGCATCGCAGGGAATGCGGATGGGCCACGGCCAGTGCGCGGGGCGCACTTGGCATTGCCGATGCTCCTGTGTCACGGGTCTTGGGCTGCCTGGGACGACGCGTGGGGCCCTTTGCGCCCGGATTCAACCCTGCTGCAGCCCTTGTCTGCTTCACCATCTCGTCCACCGAGTGCCAGGTTCGCAGAGGCACCCACTTCCCTCTCCCAAACCCCATCCTTCAGGGCCACACCGGGCGCGGCATCTGGCAGTGCGCCGCCGCCTGCGAGGGGAAGGTGCTGATCACGGGGGGCGCTGACGGCGCGGTGCACTCCTGGCTGCTGTCCGACTGGGTGCATGGGCCCCGCAGCGCAAGCTGGAAAGCGCGGCACGCCGATGGCCCGCCTCGTCAGGAAACGGAGGTCTGCCGCCTGCCCGACCCGGGCACCTCCGACCCGGGGTCTGCCTGGGCTGCCCCGGCTGATGCAACCCCCACGGGGCCGGGCGTGGCAGACAGCCGCGGCGAGTACGTGCGGTGCCTGGCGCCGGCGGGCGGCGGCGCGCTGGTCGTCGCCACCAACCGCGGCCGGGTGTGGGCGCTGCTCGACGCCGCTGGCCCCGTCTCCGAGTGGCGGCAGCTGTGGGCCAGCCCGCGGGTCTCGCCCCCCATCCACCTGCAGGCCGCCTGCTCGGGCGGCCTGCTGGCGCTGACGGAGCTCAGCGGGCGCGTCGTCGTGCTGCGTCGTGATGGAGCATGCCTCCGTGCCGACTCGGGCCCCGCACAAGCCTGCGTCCTGGCCGACTGGGCGCCCGGCCCGGACGACGCGCCGGCCCTGGGCGCCTTCTGGGGCCCGGCCCTCGACGCCGGGCGGCGCTGCCTCTTCACCACCGACGCCGGCGGCGTGACGGTGGCGTGGGCCATTCCTGTTTTGGCCGCCACGCCGCCGCCCGCCTGCCTCGCGCGGCTGGCGTCGCCCTTCCGGCAGCGGGTGACCGCGCTGGGGTCCGCCACTGCCCAGAGAGGCGCCGTGGGCAGCCTGCTGACGGTCGTCGCCGGGGACAAGGACGGCGCGGGCGTGGCGTGGGAGGTGCCGCTGGGGGAAGATCGGCCCTGTGAGCCTGCCCCGCTGGCGGCGCGCCGGCACCTGCACGCCGGGGGCCCAATGCGGATCGCGCGCGTGCTGCCGGGTGGCCGGGTGCTGACGGCGGGCAACGACGGCTGCGCGCGGGAGTGGGCCATGGGCGAGGGAGGCCTGCATGTCCTCAGGCGAGGCGCTGGTGTGATGGAAGGGGCTGGGCCGGTTGTGGGGTGGGCATGGTGAAAGTCATGCAGATTTTGGGGGGGGGATTGCCGCCATGTGCATGGCCAAGCGCTGTATTCTCACAAAGTTGCGGTCATCCTGTGACAACGTGCATGCTGACCACGCCTGGTGTGCATTCGAGCTTCCCATCCCTCACCCGTTTTGCACTGCCCACCCCTGACCACAGGACGGAGGCTCTGGGGGTGGGATCCACCATCGAGTGCGTGCCCGCGGCAATGCAGGGCCCGACTGGGGGAAGCACAGCGAAGGACCCTGAGACGGCCTGGCCCTGCGACGCGCCCGGCCCGGGGCAGCGGCTGGCGGCGGGGTTCCAGATGGACGAGTTCGTCGTCAGGGACGCCGACGCTGGCGTGGAGGTCGCGCGGGTGGGTATGCTGCACAGAGATGGCATTTGAATGCAGGGTTTATATTGCTGACACGCTTGACCTCGGGTTCTGGTGGGAGCCTGTAGGATTTCAGCGTCCTTCGCTCAGCCATCCTCCAACCCCCTCTCCACCCCCCCTTGCCCAGCGCAGATTCCCTGCGGCGGCTGGCGGCGGCCCTGCTGCTTCTGGGCGGAGTCGGCGGACCGCATGGACTTCATGCACGCCTCCGGCCGCCAGATCACGCGGCAGCGGCGTCGGCCGGGCGCGGCGCGGCCGCTGCGAACGCTGCGCGCCGCCTGGCACGGCATGGAGGCCAACGCGGTGCGTCTGGTGGCCGAGCGCGGGGTGGGGGGCGCGGCGCGGCGCCTGCGCTGCATCACGGCCGGCGAGGACGGCGCGCTGCGAACGCTGGACTTCGGGCCGGGCGACAGGGCGAATGCGGAGCCATTTCGTGGGCCCAGCGCGCGCAGCGTGGACGGCGCGGCGGTGCGCGCGCTGGCCCTTGCCCCCCGTGCGAACCTGCTCCTGGCCGGCGGCGCCAAGGAGGCGCTGGCGGCCTGGCGCCTGGCAGGGAATGCCTTCGAGGCGGCGGCGCCCCCGCCCGCGGCCAGGAGGCCGCACCGGGCGCGGGACGGCGCCGCCGCCCTGCTGCGCGCCGACCTGCGCATCCTGTCGCTCTGCACGCTGGAGACCCCGGGCCTGGCGCTGGCGCTGGCGGCGCTGGCGGACGGCTCGCTGCGTGCGCTGGCGCTGGCGACTGGGGGCGATAACCCTCGCGCCCCGCGCCACGTAGCGGACCTGGCGGGCGGCGGCGGCGTTGCGCTGTGCTGCGCTGGGCTGGCCCCCCCGGACGCCGGCGTGCGGGTTGTGGCGGCGGGGGCCAGCGACGGCAGCCTGGCCTTCTGGGACTTGAGCAGCCTGGCGCGCGACCTCGCTGCGCGAGGCGGTGCTGCCGACGGGGCCGAGGAAAGCGCGGCGCTCGTCACGCTGGCCCCGGCGCTGCGGCTGGAGGGGGTGCACCAGTCTGGGGTCAACTCGGTGTCCCTCGTCTGGCTGGAAGGTGCGCGAGGTGGGTGGCTGCAGGCCGTCTGCTGCGTGGTCTGCTCATGTTTCACCTGGGGTCTTCACCGGCTGTGGACTTGGGGGTCAGGCTGCATGCGTCCCTGCCCCCGGCCGCCGTGACCTTCACCCCCGCCCGACCGGCTGTCAACCACCTGGGCAGATTTGGGCCAGCTCCTGGCACTCACGGGCGGCGACGACCAGGCGCTGCACCTCCAGGCCCTCCGGCCGCCCGGCGCCCCGCCCGGCCCGGGCCCACGCTGGCGAGCCGCCGGCGCCCTGCGCGTGCCCAACGCCCACGGCTCGGCGGTGCGTGGTGTCTGGACCGACGGCGGGGTGGGCGTGTCGGTGGGCCTGGACCAGCGGCTGCGCACCTGGGCGCTGGACTGGGGGCGCGGGGGGGCGGCGGGGCGCGGGGGCCGCGCGGGGGGCGCGGGTGTCCACGGCCATGCGGGGTCGGGCGGGCGCCCGGGGCGCGGAGGCATGCCCCAGGGCCGCACGCCCATGCTGTGCGCGCTGGGCAGCGTGCCCACCCAGGTCCTGGAGCCGGCGGCGCTGGATGTGCTGGGCCTTGGCGCCGGCGAGCTGGCGGTCGCGGTGGCGGGCAGGGGCCTGGAGCTGCTGACGTGGCGGCCCGCCTGAGGGGTCGTAGGCCCTCCTTCCCTCTGTGATGGTGGGCTCACGGCGCCGCTCACCCAGGGGTGCGACACCCCTTGCCCACCCAGTCGCAGATCCCTGCTCGCCCGCTTGACGACCCCAGGTGACTCCCAAGGTGCCCCACGACACACGGTGGGACGCAGCACAGAAGTAAAGGGGAGAACAAGGCGGGGTTTGAGTCAGGCAGAGACGACCTCGGGGCAGGCAGGAGGGGGTAAGACGGGCATGCGGGAAGGCCCCAGGTGGGTGGGGACGCCCTGGGTATGGTGCCGCAAAGTACAAAGGGCCGGGCGGGCCCGCACCTCATACCACCCACGGGCCTGCCGCAGAAAAATGGACTGGCGGATCTCTCGCTGGCGCAAGGGCACATTGCAGTGCAGTGCAGCCGGGGAGCACCCCGAAAGGGGTCAGTAGAGGCCCTTGGCACCCGCGTCAAAGGTCGTCACTGCGGCGGGGCCGTTCTCGGACGTCACCAGGCTCACGATCTTGTCGGCAGACAGCAGCCCCTCTGTCCGCAGGGCAGGCTTGGAGGTGTCGGTGGGGACGATGATGACGGTGGGCAGGCCCATGATCTGGCGTGGGATGGGGAATACGAGAGGGAGTGTGGGCATGTTGGGTGAATGCAGCGATCCAGCACGAGAGTGAGTGTGAACAGTGCCGCTGATGCGTTTCTCTCGCCCAGCGTCATGCAGAGGCCATGTTGAGAGCTGGAGGGTGGGAGTCGGGCCCCAAACCCCTCACCCCAATGGCTAGACTCAGGCACTTGCTCACCGACCACACATTCCCACCTGCAGCTGGTTGCTGATGTCAGGGTTCTCGTCTGTGTCAATCTTGAGGATCCGCACACTGTCCCCTAGCCGCTCTGCCACCTGGGAACATGAAAGGGGCACGCAGAGGGCCGTGCTTGTCTTAACATTGTGAAAAAGATCAACAGTGCACATTCGTGCCGGCCAATCCACATACGATCATGGGTGTCGCTTGTGTGGTTCTGTGGGTTCAGGGATCAAACCCCTCCCACCCCATTTCCCTGCACCCTTCACCCCCAGAACATACCTTGACGAGCTCCTTGGACTGGAGGACGCAGGGTCCGCACCAGGTGGCATAAAAGTCGATGATGAGCGGTTTGGCCCTGCTCTGCACCGCATCCTCCAGCTCCCTGGCGCTCACCTCCTGAATCTGGAGGCGTTTGGAAAAACAAAGGATGCTATGCTTGCCAACCAGGGGCGCTTAGGTCTCACGGTGGTGCCAAACACATGTACCAACCCTGTCGCGACATGTTGCACCACAACGAGGCGTGGCCGCTCACCACATCGCTCGCCGCAGCCAGCACGGCGAGAGGCCGGCGATGCTGTCTTTGTAACCACGGAAGAGATTGGGGCCGTGTATGACGGGAGAGGAGGGGCTGGGAGGAGGGCACCGTGCCACGGCCGGGTCCCGGACCGGGAAGATATTGCCTGCTCCCAGTTACGAGGGACGCGCAAGCCCTCATACTACTAGATGCTTTTCGGCTGGAGAATAAATGTTTTAATTCTGTGACCGCTACCTCCTCGGGGGTGCATGTCTGTGCTCGCTCGGCGTCGGGGCAGATTGCCAGCACGCCTGGGCGCGGGCGCACGGTGACAACCGGATTCCGAACCAGGAGCGTGACCAGCATTCCCCAGACGGTCTTTAAATATAAGCGATTAGAAAGGAACTGCCGCATGAGACACTACTTTTTGCGTATCACGATCCAAAAATGAGGATTCAAACGGGAGCCAGGGGATGTTCTGAGCATACAAGGTATCTTCGTACATAACGCCTCATGCTATTGATGTCCCCCCTGTTTGGGAGGGATGGCGGGACACCACCAGCCCACCAAACTGGCCAGTCAGCGTCCCTGGCCCTGCCAGGCGCAGCTTACGCTGGCGCACGCCACGCGTCGTCAGCACCTCATACGCAGCAGGGAGGATGGAAAGCACCACGATCGCCAGCATGACCAGGGAGAAGTTGTTCCGCACAAGGGGCACGTTTCCAAAGACGTACCCCCCACCTGTGGGATTGGAGTTTTGATGCAAGTGGTTTGAGCCAGAGGTGAGAGGCCAGGGTGTGTGCTAGATTTGGTGGATAGAACCTCCTCGCATGCTAGAGGTGGACTGAGAGGAGCGTGAGGCAATTTGGACCACGCCAAACCCCTCCCACATGGCCACCATTTTATCAAGAAGGCTGCGTATGCAATTCCCAAATCTCCACCCTCCCACGCACCGCAGCACAGGCAGGTCCAGAGGGCAGCTCCCAGGACGTTGAAGTAAGCAAAGGCAGACCCTGGCATGGCGCTCATCCCCGCTACGAATGGGGCAAACGTTCGAACAATGGGGAGGAAACGGCCCAGCACCACTGCAGAAGCGTGGTTGATGGGGATGAAAGTCATCAGGGAGGCGAGATGTGGGGTGGGATAGCATTGCCACGAGCCGCAGGCCCTCCTTCATGGAAGCGCAGGTAGGCAGGAGCACCTGGCGAATTTCCAGCCCCTTCACCTGCTCTTCCGCCGTGCTTGGCAAAGAAGTGCTGTGTCTTCACGAGGTGCTCCTTCTTTACCAGCCTGGACTGCTGCACATGAGCGCCCAGGTACTTTCCAGCTGCACCAGGCAACAAGAAGCGGGAAGACATCAAGGCAGGTAGCAAACAGCAAGCGCCTGACAGGCACACACATACCGTATCCACCCAATTTCTACGCCCCTCACATATCCCTTTGCCCCTGCAGCTATATCTGCTTTACTCCGAAATCCCACCTGTGTAACTCACAAGGTCACCCAGCACAGCAGCTGCCATGTAGGTGAGAAGTAGAAGGTAGATGTTCAGTTTGTCGCTCGCTGCCAGTGCGCCCGTGGCAAAGAGGAGGGAGTCGCCTGTGCGCAGCGAGGGATGGCAGGTGGCAGTGAGACGCTGGAGCTGCTGGCACTCTGACAACGTTCAAGCAAGTGACATGATACGGTGCCTCGCCAACAATGCCGCTCCCCACACCTGGCAGGAAAGGGGCTATCACAAGTCCCGTCTCGGCAAACACGATCGCAAAGAGGATGGTGTAGCTGGCACGTCCATGGATTGCTACCAATTCTCCCAAGTGGACGTCCAAGTGGAGCAGATAACCAAGCAGACCCCTGAGCCCTGACACCACTGCAAGGTTTCAGGGCGAATTCATGTGCCTGAGAGCGGGTTTTGAGCTTTCTAAAAGAGGATTATGTGTGCTCTGAACTCAATGACTTGCTTGGTTCAAATCAGTGCAGCACACGACTCGACCAGCCAGCAGCCACAAGGCTGCAAGTGTGGCCCAGTGCAAGATACTTACCAGCAGAGGAAACTTCTGGTGATGCGGAATTGGCCACATCTTGAGCTTGGGCAGGACAATTGAAGTAGGGCAGAAGGAGGATGGCACTTATGAGGAGGCTTGGCAATCGGTGTGAGGCTGGACGCTGCCAGGTACTTGAGTGCAGACGGTAGACAACTTCCTCGTTGCTCGACGCAAAGGACACAGAATTGGTGGATGGCATATCGCTGAGATATTCTACAGTTGAGTCATGCTCGGGACTGCAATCAGGCGACCGAGATTCTGAACGACAGCGGGTTTGAGGGGCCTCTCCCGAGCAGCTATATCTGCGCTGCATTCTTGGCGTTAGGTGCGATGTGAACTCCCTTATTCGTTGTTCAATGCCTCGTTGGCTACTCGGAGCATTCTTTGCGGATCGAGGGGAATCGCCTGGAGGTCCTCACGGCTGTGCGAGAGTATCGGTCATCAGTTACGTGTCCTGTCGAGCCGGCTGCCCGACCGGAAGCTGGTGCCAAAAGCAGCACACTGCCTCCATGCCAGCCTTGCATACATCTTGCCTGAACCCGCAAGGGGTGCCCAGATCACTCCACAGGGACACGTTCCAGACGCTCGTATCTTCGCAGACGCAGTCCAAGACATTGAAGCATTGGACAGTGGGCGCCTTCTGTCCTCCCCTCTCCATTCCTTGCATCTGCCCCGAGAGAAGCTGCACCACCTGTCTCATGAGTCAGGAGGTATAATGTACATCAGAGGGTTGCACGCAGCGAATTATCATAGTTGGTTGAGTTGGCGTTGTGGGGCTTGGGAGCAACTCATTGAGGGACTGTGTGCTGCTGCGCTGGAGGGGCCCCTACAAGGGCCGAGACCAGGTGTGGCCTGGCCACCAGGGTTTGTACCAAGCCCGCTAGCTGCTGCCGCTCCGCTGACCCCTGGTCACCGAATAATGCGCGCACTGGCCATGTAAAATCTTCAGGACGAGTCAAGCTTGCTCGCTCCGATGGAGCACAGGCCACGCCGCGCCTCACTCCGACTTGTTGTCGGCGTCGCTGCCCTTCCCTCCGTCGATGGCCGTCGGCGGCGGGTCCCCCGGGGCGAGGGGTCCGCGCTCCTCGTCCCCCACGGGCATGAAGCGCTTCCAGAGCCAGTGGGTGTAGAAGACGGCCTGCAGGCGCTCCACGGGCACGTGGGAGGTCTCCGGCACCAGGAAGATGGTGTAGAGGAGGAGCAGCCCCGCCACGCCGGCGGAGAAGAGGTAGAGCCCCCACTTCATGGCGCAGAGCATGAGGAGGAAGGTGTAGGTGGACACCGTCCCCCAGGTGGCGGTGAGGAGGGTGATGAGCACCCAGACCACGGGCCGGATCTCCAGGGGCGGGAACTCGCCCATGAACACCGTCACCGTGGTGTTCTGGGTGCCCATGAAGGCCAGCTCGTAGACGACCATGGTGACCAGGATGCCAATGCCCTGCGCGTTGGTGGCCACCGCCCCGGGGACGTCGGCCAGGAACTGGTTGAACAGGATGGCGGAGGTGACCTGGGCTGCGATCATGACGCCGCAGCCCCAGAAGAGGACCGACCGGCGCTTGAAGCGGTCCAGGAGGAGCATGCCCATGAGCACGCCCGCGATCTTGGAGCAGCCGATGACCACGGCATTGATGAGCGCGGTGCTGTGCCCAAACCCCAGGATGGTGAAGACGTTGGGAGCATAGAAGGTGGCGGCCGAGTTCCCGCTCCACCAGTTGAAGGTGACGCCCAGGAGGACGATGACCAGGGGGGGGACATAGCGCCGCTGCGTCAGCACGGCGTGCCAGGCGGCGCGCAGCGTGGGTGCCCGCCCCGCCGCCCAGGAGATGTCGTCCAGCTCGGCGCCGACGTCCTCGCGGCCGCGCAGGCGGCGCAGCGCGCGCAGCGCGTCCTCGCGCCGTCCCAGGCTGTTCAGCGCCGAGGGCGACTCCGGCATGAACAGCGACCCGGCCAGCAGGATGCCGGCGGGGACCATGACCAGGCCCAGCGCCCACTGCCAGTTGTTCCCCAGGTCGCGCACGCCGTAGTTGATGACCTGGGCCACGAAAACGCCAAAGCCGCCGAAGAAGATGGTGCCGGAGATGAACTTGCCGCGCAGCTGGGCCGGCGCGATCTCCGCCAGGTAGATGGCCGACACGTGCTCGTTGAAGCCGTCGCCGAAGCCGAGCAAGACACGGCCCGCCAGGATTGCGGCGCGGTTGGGCGCGGTCACCTGCACCACCGCGGCGACGATGGTCAGCACCGCGCAGCAGCGCAGGGAGGACAGCCGCCCGTACCATCGGCTGGTGAAGGAGGAGGCGATGGCCCCAACCAGCACCCCGGGGTAGAACAGCGCAGTGTATAGGTTGAGCGTATCGTTGGCGTACTTGCAGTAGGGCGTCACCGTCGGGCTGGTGGTGGTTGTCAGCAGTTCGGGGTAGAACTTCTCCAGGAAAGTGGTGGAGCTGAACACGCCGCCGGTGATGCCGGAGTCATACCTGGTGAGTATGTTGTGTTTGTGGTGGGGTTGGGGGAGGTTCTGGGGAAAGGGATTGTGTGTAGGTGTGTAGAGTGCACAAGGTGGCGCGGGCAGTACTGCAACTGAGAGAGCGCCTGTCCCCTTCACTGGAATGTTGTGCTAGAAACCGCGCAGCAGGGGCCCCCCCCCAAAAAACTCACCCCCCAGCGCCTCACCCGCCAATGATGTGGAGGAGGGAGCCCAGGAACCCGCTGTACAGGAGCGTCCATGTCAGTCTGCGGCGGAGAGAGATTTGTCGGAACAGGGGTCCACCAGGGACGTGGTGGGGAAATGGAGGGTAGATCTCCCAGGCCACAACCCACAATGCTGCATGTGCCTCGTCCCATGCAGAGCCGGGTGCCTTCCCCCCCTCGATGCAAGCCGCGCCGCTTGCCTGTAATTGTAGCCGGCGGGTTCCAAGCCCCTCGGCGCGAGGTTCTCGGCCACCAGGACCCCCATGCCGGAAGATGACGGGCTTTGTCCAGCCAAGAGCGGTTGGACAGAGGTGATGGAGAGAGCATCTGGAGCCGTCCTGCCGCTCCCAGGCATCTATCAAAGATCTCTAGGTTTCTTTTAGCAATGCATTTGCTGGCAAAACGATCACGCGGACCTGCCCCGCGACTACCCCGCAGGTCAGGTCCATGATCTTGGTCCGCTCGAGACCAGCTTGCTCGGCATCTTCCGTCTTGAAGGTTCCCATTAATGTCGTTATGAAGCGCCGCAGGACAGTCAGACAGTCGGGTACCAGCAAAGGGGGTCCCGGATCTGCAACCCTGCTCCGAAGCTCCGCCCGTGTCTAGGACGCACCTGGGATGCCACCGTCCAAGCCGGTGTTTTCCTGGTTACAGGACACTTCCTCGCAGTAATACCCCAAATCTTTGCAACGGATATAATACTTGGATGGCTGGAAGCTGACGCCTCCGCTAAGGCAGCTTAAATCCTGCGAAGCTCTAAGCACACCATGCAGTCAGTGCCCTCCCAACATGAGGCCCTCGAGAGAAATTGATGGTGAATAACATCTGGAAAGAGCTGCCTCCGCCTGCAAAATACCCAGGGACAGACTCATGTCATTCCCGGCCATACTTCACCGGCGGCACTCACCAGTGATGCGCTGCGCGGCATTATGGGCCCCTCTCAATTTACATGCAAGGGGTACATCAGACACCAACTCCGTGTGCGTTCACATGGGGCCACGGCGCAGGGAATTGTCAGTGCTTTGAATCTTACACAATCTTCGTCTCACGCACGCTAGCTTCCCCGATCGTTATGCTTAGGGGTAACGCATCGCCTCTGCACACACACATATATGCATGGGTAAAGATCATGCTTGATTCTGACAGACTGTTGGATGTGGTTGGAAGGTTGCTCGAACTTCCAACCACCTCCGCGTCAGACCGATGGGATTCGCTCCCAAGCCTCTCGGAAACATCAGGTAGGTCAGGTAGCTTCATGTGCCTGCTTCGTGCAGGCCCCCCGACAATTCCTCGTCTGCCACTATATACGACCGAACAGATGTTTGGGGCATCAGATCGCCCTCCAAACTCGCGAGTTTATCAGCTTTTCAACCTCCCAAGGCTGTCGGGAGGACGAAAGGCCTCGTCTTCCGGAGGGCCGATTCGACAAGAAGCTAGAGTGTGGCCGGGAATCAACCCATAGTCCATCCCTGAAATGGCTCAAATGGCCCCCGACATGATAGAGGACGAGTGTTCCAAGGCCGTCCATCACTTGCATGAGCTTACTGCGGCGAAGCGACACTTGTGGACAAATGAGAGCGTGGCTGTGACGGATAGCCTGGAGCAGGTGAGAGGTCGGCCCATGCGCATGCAGAAGTCCCACCTCCGGGGCCATGATCACTTCATGGCATCACGAATGGTCCAGGCTCGCCGATGCTCCGTGAGACTGCCGCGCTGTGGATTGTGCTCTCGACTCGGAGTCGCCTGAATGTAACCCCTCCCGAGGAGGATCCCCTCGACGGCGCAAAGGGTCATCCCTGGCCGCCAACCCCTCCCCCCCCCACCGCCCCTCATGCAGGAGCTCGACGCAGCCCTGGCCCTCTTCGCTGCCCTACTCGAGCATCTTGCTCCAGGGAGACCCCTTGCCCCGGAGCTGAGCCTGGGCATCAGGGACTCCTGGCGCGCCCTGGTGGACCTGACATACTTCCAGCTGCACACCCGCCGTGACGACCTACTGCAGAGCCTCTTCTCCCCAAAGCACCTCGCCCCCTCAGCCGTCCATCTCCTGCGCGTGCTGTCGCATGCGGACGGCCTGATGCTCACCGCCCTGGCTGAGTTGGATGTGGCAAGGATGAGGACGCTATTCCAGGCTACCCAGGTGAGGCCCCCCCCGCCTCTGCACTTACGAAACACAGACCGCCTGCCAGACCATCGGCCTACTGAGCTCACCAGCTGTGCTGGCTTCTTGTCTCGCTTGCATTGCCTCTGCAAGCTTTGTGGCGTCGCCTCACCTCATTTCTCCCCAGCATCTCCCCCCCCCTCTTTCCCTTCTCTATACAGGCCCAGCTGACTCAGCTCCGCGCCGACTACCTCTGCCGCACCCAGATGCAGGCCATCGTCAGGGCCACCGCGGTCCAGTTTGCACAGGGCAACGCCAAGGATCCGCAGCTATACTGCGCGGTACGCAGCGTGCGCGCCCAGCATGCCCCCCGCGGCGACCCCACGTGTGCCACCTTCATGGTGCAGTGAAGTTTCCCTGCAGTTTTCCTTCTTTCCAAGGACCCCCTCCCCTTCAGCGTTGATCTCCTTGCAGTGTCACTCCCACTCATCACATAGGTATCAGAACGCAGGTTGCAGACTTTATTTGGGATGGGTCGCGTTCCCCCCTTTCATACCCTCCCCTCTATCGATGTACCCTTTGTCTGGTTGAAGGTGCCCGTTCAGCGGGAAGTTTCCCTTCTGCCAGAGCCCCTAGGCCTGAGCCTTCCCACCTACCCCCCTTCATGACTTCACCATCCCACCCCGGGATCCAATAGAAGATCCTGCTTCCTCTTTCTAATATTGCATGGCAGGCGTGTGCCTGGCCGGAGCACAAACCCCAAGCGAGTCTGTAATAGGATAGATCCAGGTGGCATGATCGTCTTGGCAAGGCATCAGGGGCACTGCTGGGATGGTGCCAAAGAGGCTTGCGGTCTCAGTACACGGCCCTGAGGCCAGGTTTCAGATTTATTCGATGGCACCCCACAGCTTCCTCCCAGGGTGTTCAGCAGGCCCCATGCCTGGGATCAGGGCTCCGACGCAAAGGGCATGAACACGGCCGGCCCTTCCACCGTGGTGAACACCGTCTCCCGGACGTGCGTCAGTCCAGGCGCCGTCCACTCCGCACCTGCCAGGCGCATGGTCCATGCGTCGCAGGCGGCCGCGATGCGCGCCGCGGCGTCGGCGTCCACCCCCTCCCCGCCCAGAACCCGGCCCAGGCTGCAGTGCACGATGGTACTCTGACGCGGCGGCGCACCGGGGAATGCCCGACGCAGCCGCCGGCGCAGCGCGGCCAGGCCGCCGCTCACGTCCACACTGCACAGCAGCAGCGTGCCGGAGTCGGCCAGCAGCAGGCGCTGGGCGCGCAGGCGGGGCGGCGGCTCGGCGGCCGCGGCGGCGGCCATGGCGCGCAGCTCGCGGGCCAGGGCCGCCGGCGCCGGCGCCGCCCAGTCGGCGGGCGGGGCGTCGCCAGACGGCGGTGCCCAGCCGGGGTCAAAGGGGTCTGGGCGCAGGGTGTGGGGCTGGCTGGTCATGAATACGGTGACATGATAGTGTGAGGGCTCGTTCAGGTGCAGCAGGTAGCCTGGTGGGTGGGAATATTTGGGGTGTTGGGAGGTGGCTGGAGATGATGGGGGAGTCTGATTCCTGCGACACTGGCCATGAAACCTCCCGGCACCTGGGTCGCGGATCAGGCCCAGGAGCCTGATGCCCCAAGTCAGGGGATCCCTCAATCAGAGAGTGCACCCGCCCACCCTCACCAGGCGGAATATGGCGGGCAATGTCCAGCGCCGCCTGGTGGGCGAGGCTCGCCAGCGTGGGATTGCACTTCTGCATGAAGAGCACGCCCAGCCGCACAGCGGCCTCCGGCAGCGGGGAGGGGAAGCGGGCGTACTCCAGAGGCCTGGGTACTGTGCCTGTGACCGGAGTGCGATGAAAACGAGCTGAAGGAGACGGGGAACAGGTGTAGGGAGGAGAATGCTGCGTGCGTTTGAAGGTTTCGCATACTATGGACGACATACAACCATTGGACCACACTGGTGGACTGAAGGGTGACGAGAAGGCACTCAGCTGGCTGCCGGGGGATCTGCCATACATCTCTGTCACAAATCCTGCAAGACTCCACCGCCAGTCACCTCAACCGCCTGGCTCCTCACCCTGGGAGAGGTCAAAGTACTGGCGGGTGGCCTGCACGGCCTCGATGTTGAGGCCATGCTGCAGGAAATTGGCAGCCATGGCGTCGTAGCAGGCCGCCAGCTGGGCGGGGTCCGCCTGCTGATCATCCGACACGACCACCTTGGCGTTCAGGCTGGCAGTCATGTCTGGGATGGTGACCGAGCTGGCCCCAGGCTGGATGCTGGCCGGAGTGTTGTCGGCCATGACGGACGCCGATGCTCTATTCAGATGAATTCACGAGATGATCTGGTGGAAGTGTCCAACTCCGATAAACTTGCAGCGGAGGGCCCCGGCGCGGCATGCGATCATCTCCTGATCAGGGTTCGGTGGGTGCCCGCCAACTCGCCCATCGATCGGGGTTCCCTGGCAAGTGTGCAGGTACCTCCTTTGGTTATGACTCGTTGTAAACCGTGATCAATGATTTGAGACGCCCGGGGCACATATACGAGGCCCTTTCCTGCTCGGGCACAGGTAGGTGGTTGCGATGCTGGTGGCGAGCGCGCGCGAGAGGCCCTGTGATCTGAGAGGGTCCAATGCTGGACCAGCTTTACTTGACACGGACTGCATACGTTGAGCTGATTTTAGGCATCAGGAAGTACGAGCGTGAATGATGAAGGAAAGAGCAATGGAATTTAGGTTGATGCAGCGTCATTACTTTGCGGCTGGTTGGCAGCATAGGTCGCCCATGTCCGGGCCACCGCTCCCTCCAGCCGGTCTAGCATCGCCTCCAGGCTGGCTCGAGTCTTCAGCGGCAGAGCGCCCCCGCCTGCGCCGCCGCCGCTCACCAGCTCCCTCAGCCTGCGGCTCAGCGAGTCCAGGTCTCGGATGGGCGGCTCCTGCGCCCGGCCCTCCCGGTGCACCATGCTGTGCTGGCCGACCAGCGCGCACAGCGCGCCCAGCATGGCCCGCAGCGCCCGTCCGGCATCCAGGCCCCCATGTGCGCTGCCGAGGCAGGAGCACGCGAGCTGGTGCAGCCAGGCCAGCAGGCCTGTGAGCGTGCGTTTTTGGAGGGGGCGGGGGGAGAGTGTGAGTGGTGTGGATGCATGGTGTCACTGGTAGAGGGATATGTATGTGAACACAATTGCCAGAGCCTCAAAGGGCTATGGTGGGTTTCCACACGAAAGGCCCCGGATGCCGGCTTCCTCGGCGACAGGCAGACGCCTCTGCCGCCGTCAAACCCGACGTGCCTTCTTCCCTTCCCCCTCAAACCCAACGCACCGCCCTCCTCCAGGAGCTGGCGGGCGGCGCGCGGCACGCGCGCGGCGTGGCACACCAGGCGCAGCGCCGCGTCGCGCTCCCGCGCATCCAGGGCGGCCGCGTCGGCCAGGCCCATGGCGCGCTCGAGGGCGTGCTGGGAGGAAAGCACGCGCGCGTCGGCGGGGCCCCTCAACCCCGCGCGCATCAGGCGCAGCAGCCAGCGCCGCGGCTCGCCGGCGTCGGGGTAGCCGGAGAGGAGGACGGAGCGGCACAGCGGGACATGCCTCAGGTCCAGCACGGGCGCGCGCAGGACCTCCTTGCACACCGGGCCGTACATTTTCGTCCCCGGCCTCAGGGCCGCCGTGGCCGCCTCGGCCAGGAACAGGGCGTGCAGCGCGGGCAGGCGGGCAAAGGGCCGCTCCAGCGCCCCGCGCAGCGCGCCCAGCAGGACGGCGAGCTGGCGGCGCTCCCGCGTGTCCTCCGCGTCCAGGCCCCCGCACGCCAGCGCGACCGCCTCGTGGGCCGCGGCGCGCAGCGGCGCGTCGGCCGCCGCCAGCGCGCGCAGCGCGAGGGGGAGCACGCCGACGGCGGCCGCGCGGCGCGGGGTCAGCGCGCCGTTGCGCAGCGCGTGCGTGGCGAACAGCAGGAGGAAGGCGGGGTCGTGGCCGGAGCGTGCGTGCGGCAGGTCTGGCAGCGGGGGAGGGGCGGCTGGCGTCGGCCTGGCGTCGGGCACCTCGGCGCCCCACCCGTCACAGGTGGGGGCGGCGGTGTCAGATTCCTCCGGGCGGGAGTCGCCCAGCAGGCGGCGCCACTCTGGGAAGTGCACGGCGCTCAGGCCGCAGCGCAGGGGATCGATGGTCAGGTGCTGCTCCAGGATCTGGCGCGTCAGCTGGTGATCCTCGCTGGCGGCCACCGCGCCCACAGCCGCCACGCCCCATGCGAGCCTTGGGAGGAGTACGGGGATGGGGCGTAGGTTGGCAAGGGCAGGCATGCTGAGCATCGAGTGGAAGCATGCCAAGGGGCATGCATGCATGGTGCCATGGGGCACTTGAACCTTGCGCAGCACAGCTCAGCACAGGATGCCTTGGGTACCCTTGAGCGGTGCAGCATTCTCTGCACCCCCCCTCTCCACCATCAGAACACCACAGCCACTCATCCCCGCGGCATGCACCACCACAGAACACACCCGCGCACCCCGTCTGCCGCGCGAGGGGTCCGTCCAGCAGCCGCTGCAGCGCCAGGGCGTCCTCATCGCCGGCATCCCTGGTATTGTCCTGGTCGCTGCCTCCGCCGTCCACCCCGCCGGCCAGCACCGCGTTCAGGGACTGCGCCAGGCTCCAGAGCGCGCGGTCGGCCGGGGAGAGGGTCGCGCCATACCCACCCATCAGCAGGGGCAGCAGGGCCGGCAGGCTGCCGGGCGGCGTGTACCGCCCGACACCATACTGCCCAGCCACGTCCAGCAGCGTCTCCAGCAGCTCGCACACCTCCTTCTTGATGCCCTGCGCCGTCGTCGCTGGGGGCGTCGGGGGACCGATGTGCGACGTGCTGCGGGCCTCGCCGTCGCTGGGGCCTGCTGCCGCATGGTCGTCAGCGCCAGCGCCCGTGCTGGGCTCCGCCCCGTCCCCGTTCTCCCCACCACCAGTCTCCTCTCCGAAGTCGTCGACGTCGACCAAGGGCACGATGGAGGCCAGGGGCTGCGGGATGCGGGCGGCGGCGGCGGGCAGCGGCGCCGCCCCCGGGGTCTGCAGGATCTCCAGGAGTGCAGGGTGGAAGAGCAGGCGCTGCAGCAGCCCGTCGGCAGCCCGGCTGGCGGCGGCACAGCCACCGCGAGGCACGCCTTCTCCCCCGTCGGGCAGCAGCCCGGCGGCGAGGCGGCGCAGCGTGCGCAGCGTCGGCTCGTGCCCCATCCGCCGCTTGAGCAAAGTGGCACCAAATCTGCATACCTCCTCAGCCAACTCCCCAAAAGCCTGAAAGCGTGGTGCAGCAACGGTGTCGGTGGGCGAGGCGAGGAGGTGACTGTGCCTGCCGTTTCACATCCTCAACTACACGGAGATGACCCCTGGATCTGATCGCTCCCTCCATCTGCCCCCACCTGGCCCGACCGCTGCGAGGCAGGCAGGGCGGCGACGGCGTCGCTGATGTCAGCATCCAGGCAAGCCAGCAGCGCGGCCTCCGGGGGCGAGCACCCCTTGCCGGCCCTGGCAGTGCGGATGGATGGGTTGTGCGTTGAGAAAGGGTGGTGGTGCGTTCCGGCGTGGCGGCGCCCTGTCACGATACTCGGCACGCTTGCTGTGATGCGTCGCACCGAGTGCTTGCGAGAATGACCGGCCTTGGGCCACCCTCCCCTCCCACGCACAGCACGCTGCTTGCACACTCCCACCCCCTACAACCGCCAACCCACTTGAACAGCCGGCGCAGGGCGTCCGTGAAGAGGTGCAGGGCGGAGGTCAGGACGGCGCAGGGCAGCGTGGGGTCGCCGACCACCACCGCCGCCATGTCCATCCGCAGCCGCAGGCCGCGCGGCGGTGGGGTTCCGGCGGGCTTGTCAGCGGCAGGTACCTCTGCCCCCAGGCCGCCGGGCTGCGCGGCCAGGGCGTCCAGCAGCGCCTGCGCCTGCTCGGCAGCTGGACCTCCCAGCCGCACGGCAAGGCGGAGGCAGGGCAGCAGGCTCACGCAGGCCAGGTCGCCCAGCTGGCCGCCCAGCTCGGCCACTCTCGCGCCCTGGCCGCCCATCAAGGCCGCGCACATGAGCTCGGCGACGCGGCGGCGTGATGAGGCAGGGTCCGATGCCGCGCCCCGCATGCCCTCCAGCGCTGGCGCCAGGAGCGGCGCCAGCTGCTCGGCGGTGCGCGCCGCGGCCAGGGCCTTCAAAAGGTGGGGGGCCGACAGGGAAAGGCCTGCAGTCCTGACCAGGGCGCTAGCAGCCGCGCAGGCCAGAGCGGGCATGAGCTTTGCTGCCGGGCCCCTGCAGGCCGCCCACGCGGCCTGCACTGCCCTTGCGATTGCATCGTCGCCCTTCACGTCCGCCCCTGACAGGGCCTGGAGGCGGCGCGCCGCCTCATCGGCCAGGCAGGCCACCGCCCTCTCCCAGAGGCGTGGCGTCAGCGCGCCGGGCGGCAGGGCACTGGCGAAGGGCCCCGGGGCGTTGGCTGTGGGCTCCGTGGCACCGTTCACCGCCCCCAGCCCGCACACCGTCCACACCGAGTCGGCCACGGCGCGGTCGGCAGCGGCGCCACACGACTCGTCCTGGCGCAGCAGGTCCCAGGCCACACCAGGGAGCGACCGCGCCTCACGCAGGGCATTCACGACGGCCGACCGCGGGCCGGGCGGCAGCGGCCACCGCGCCAGGGCGGCCAGCAGCGGCAGCGCGTCGTGCGAGGCGCGCGCCGCCAGCGCCTCGGCCAGCTCGCCCCTCGAGCTCTCCAGCACGGCGCGCTGCCAGGGCGCCGCGTCCTGCGGCGCCGCGTCAAAGGCGAGCAGGCACACGGCGCCTGCAAAGGGCGGCGCCGCGCCGGCGGCCAGCCAGCCCTGTGCGGTGGACGTCAGCAGGCCCAGCGTGGCGTGCAACGTGCCAACGCTCTCGGCGCCCAGCCCCAGCGCGGCCTCCAGGGCCAGGCGCGCCGCGGCGCCCCACGCCGCGCCTGTCGATCCGCGATGCGGGTCCTCCGAGAAAACCGCCAGTGCGCCCCGCATCGCGCCCAGCACACCGCAGTCCGGGAGCGGGCGGGGTGCAGCCGCCAGCGCTGCCAGCGTGGCGCGCAGGGCTGCGAGCCGGGGGCCGGCGTCGCCGGGGGCGCACAGCAGCAGGGCCTCGGCGTGGACACAGCTCACGTTCTGAGGAGCGCCAGCGCTCGGCGCAGCCACCCACAGCTCGGCCAGCAGGGCAGGGCTTGGCGCAGCATGGCCGCCCGCCCCCAGCGCCGCCGCCAGCCGGCCCAGGGGCGTGCCTGGATCCATGCCAGTGGCGGGCAGTGCATTGGAAAGCGCTGCCGCCAGCCAGGCGCCCTGGCGGCCATCCAATCCAGCCAGGTCCCACACCAGCGCCAGCGCACGGGCCGCATACGCGCCGACCGCCTCGCGGTCGGCCGCCGGGATCTTGACACTGGCCTGCACCTTGGCGGCGGCCTGCGCCACGGCCAGCGCCAGGAGGCTGAAGGCGGGGGCGGCAGGGGCTTCGTCCCCGGGCGTAGCGCTGGCGAGCGCGGCATAGAGGTCGTCCGGCCGGCGCAGCGCGCCCACCACGCAGTCGTTCAGGAAGGCGGCTCTTGCGCGGGCCCCTGCATCGTCGGGCCCCGTGCTGGCCAGGCAGCCCAGCCAGACGTCGGCCTCGTCCGGCCAGGCGTCGAACAGGCCGGTGGGCAGGAGCAGGCGCAGCGCCAGCGCGCGGGGGGCGACCGACCCCTGCACTGCGAGCAGCGCCAGCAACGGGGCCAGGACGCCGCTTGGCGGCATGCGCGCGCCGGCGCCGCTGCCCACGGGCGTCAGGCTGGCCGCCGTGCGGCGGTTGACTGGGCCTCCCTCGCCGCAGTAATAATTATCTGCAGAGGAAAGCGCGGCGTCCACCAGCTCCAGCACGGCCGCCCTGTGCGGGGCCTCCAGCCCCGCCAGGTCGGCCGGCACCAGCCGGCCCAGGTCTACCCGCGCCTCTGCCCAGGCGCCGGGCAGGGCCTCAACCCAGGCACCCAGCGTGCGCAGCGCGGCCTCCCGCGCCGCGTCGTCGCGCGCCGGGCCGGTCTTGGACACGGCAGACAGAACCGTCTGCAGGTCGGGGAGGAGGGCGGCGGTGGCGCGGCGCAGGGACGCTGCCGCCGCCCACCCGGGCGCCTGCGAGGCCAGGAGCGCCGACAGCGCGCCCAGCGCGCCGCGGAGCATGCGCAGCGTGGCGAAGCGCACCAGGCGGTCTGGGTGCTGCACGCCCCTGGAGAGCAGGGCGCGGGGGAGGATGCCGGGGACGACGCGCCGAGCCAGCGCGGCGATCGGGGGGTTTGGCTCGGCCACCAGAGGAAGTGTGGCGCTGCGCCGCAGGTGGTCCTGCAGCGCGGTGACCAGGCCGGCGCTGGCCAGCCAGTCCGCGGAGGCCGCGGGCTCCAGGGACCAGGTCACGGAAGCCAGGAGCTCGGCCGCAAGGCGCGGGTCTGCGGCGGCGCAGCCGAGCAGGAGCCGACGGTGTGTAGAGCTGGCGGTGGGGCGGAGGGTCGCCAGCCAGCGCAGCAGCCTCTTCTGACCTATGGAAATAGAATGGCACGGGGTTGTTGTTGCGGGTAGGGGGCGTTGACCATACCATGCAAATCGATTGGCAGGAGGATGGGTGCTGTACGGTGCACAGCAGGGAGAGCTTCAGCTAAGGGAGTCCTTGGGGCTGCATCGCCTGGGGTTTACCTGAAAGACAACATGTAGTTGGCAAACAACAACTCTACGATCCACACCACACGGACAACCCTCCCCCTCAACCAATAAACCCTTCCATGCCTGCTGATAGGGGCTCAAAGCTGGCGAGCGTGAACTTGGCCGCCCTCGCTGGGTCTATCGCCACGCCATGCGCGGGGTCCACCAGCAGGCGCTCCAGGACCTCGGCGGCCAGGGTGCCGGCGGGGGTGGCGCTGGCCTCGGCCGCCAGGGCCAGCGAGGCCAGCGAGGCCATCCCGGCCTCGTTGAAGACCCCGGCCTGGAGACGCGGCGGGACCCCAGTGGGCATGACGCGTCGCCGGACGGTCCGCAGCACCTGGTGGACTCGGGGAGGAACGAGAGGGTGATGCAAGGAGCATGCAGGACCAGGAAAGAGGGGTTTTATCATGAGCGAAGGGCCTGAGGGATTCCCCAGAATGTACTGCAGGCGCAGCGGCCAACTGATGACATGACTCATCACAACAATAAAGAGTGACAGACTCCATCCAGCCTTCAAACCAGCACCGCCTCACCCTGAGCTGGAGGTCGGGCACGTCATCCTCCAGCCCCGCCAGCAGGTTGGCGCAGATGACTGGAATCCCCAGCAGCTGCTGGACACGAAGAGCATCTGCCCGGCGCAGCATGGCCAGGACCCAGTCCAGGAAGGCGACGCGGGTGGAGGTGCTCCGGCGGGGCGCCCCGGCGCGGTCCCTCTTCCTGCTCGACTTCAACCTTTGGAGGGGGGCATGCATGGATGAGCGGGTGAGCTAGGGTCTGGATATGAATCTGACGGGCATTGAGATGATAATAGCACCATCCTCAGAGCTTTTTGGGTGTGGGAGTGCACGTAACTGTTAGAAGGCAGCAGACATGACCTCCCAGCTGCCTTGTCTTCAAACAGGCATTTCCCCAAGACTGTGCCAGCACAGCCATCCCAGGGCCTCGCTCACCTGGAGGGCCGGGCTATGCCGGGTAGGCTGGAAAGCGAGAAGTCGAACACTCGGACCAGCTCCTCCACGATGCCTGGCGACAGGCTGGCCACAGAGGTCAGCAGCGCTAGGGCCGCCCGAATCTGAGGCAGTGGGGGAAATAGCGCACAGCGTGAGGGCCAAGTAACGTTCTTCAAAGGGGTGGCTGGTTGTTTGAGTGGCATCAACTCAATCCCATGGCTCAGGTCTGAGGCAAATTAATATCTTGCTGGAATTCCACACACGTTTCACACCTTGCGGCTGTCGCCCGAGGACAGGTGGAAGTAAACGAGCTTCATGCGGTGCTTCATCAGGGTCAGGGCCAGGTCCTTGGCGCTCTCTGCATACTGCTTGTGGCTGGAGCCGCTGGCTCGGAGCACGCTGGCTGTGATGCTGAACAGCAGGATGCTGGTCTGTGCCTCCCGGGTCTGCAGAACCCCAGGGTGGTGGACTTCAGCGGCACTGCTCAAAGGATGGGCTCCCAGACAGGATGAAGGTGTTATTTCCTGGATTCATACCATCTATCAGTATACAACTTGCCAGGAATTGCTGGTCCCAGAGTCGTAGGAGGGGTGACCAAGCATGGTGCCGCCCTGCCAAGCCCTGTAGCAGGCCATCTGCCTGCGCCGGCTCAGACACGCCCTCCAGCAGGCGCTCTAGGGGACGGACGGAGCTTGAGGTGTCCCTGACTTGGGCAAGGGTGTCCAGCAAGGGGTGCGTCCTGCCGATACCCACATCCATCGTGCCAGCCCGAACCCCTACAGAGGGCCGGAACAATTAACGTCCCCTGGCACGCTCCCTTGAAGGCATGCAGCCCTATACACGTTATTATGATCAATGCATATGCTTCTTTGGCGTTGGCCCCGCAAAGTGCTTTGCACGGGTACGCCTTCGGGGCCTATGTACCTGAGCGCGCAACAAAATCGCGCGCCGTCGGGGAAAGCACCTCGGGCTGATCCTAGACCCGTGTCGGGGAATGGAGAGGTCCTCCGAAACACCACACCCAGCTACCTACGCCCGCACCACTTGACTGAAAAAGAGAAACTGTTTGTATGTATTGTCAGGCTTCACTTAGTACCGTGTGAGCAGTGAGTCAGACGACTCTCGTACAGGGCGAACAGCTCTAGACGACCCACCCACAGCGCTGCTAGCCAGCGAGAAACGGAGGGGGTTTTCTTCGCACACAACCACTGGCGACCAGATCTCGTAAGTGTGGGTGAATGTGAATTCTGCCATAGCGTCAATCCTGCTGTGATTGCGCGTGCCATGGATGTTATTTGATGCTCTGCGCTGGACCGCAGGCCGGACGACCATGGCCCGTTGTTGCGCGGGGCTCGGCAGCGCCCTAGTCTTGTGTATGTGGCTAGCCCTCGTCTCAGCATCTTCATCTATCCAGCCTTTTCCTCTCTCCAGTGTTCGCCTCGGTGGTGAGGCGATGCCTGTCGGATGTGGGAGGCTGCCCGCCTGATGGTGATGCTGTGGTTGACCAGCATGAGGGGCGCCACCCTGTGACTCCATCATCATTTGTTCTCCCACTACACGGAGGGCATTACTCCTGTCATAGACTAACGCTCTGAGTCGTACACAGATTCCCCCTCCCTCACCACTCTTTTTCATGATTGAGAAGATGATCCTGACTTCAAAACGGGTTTTGAACTGAATAATCAGTATTTGCTGTTGCTGGAGCCAGACAGCCTCCTGTACACATACAGGTCAGGAACAGGGATAGTGGACGCTATTGATGCAGGAAAATTCCTCTCGGTTGACCTGTCATTTGAACCTTGCATACCTAGCCGCACACGAGTGAATCAGGTACCTTTCACCAGCCTCTCGCTATGGGTGCCAGTACCTTGAGCATGGCAAGCGATACATACCTCCTTCTCGGATACACACAGGCTCGAGGCAAACCTCAGCACCCCTGGAAAGCCCTATGGCGGCTGGGAGGCCCCCACCGTGGAGGTTCGCGGTCAGTTCATGGGTCACTACCTCTCGGCCCTGGCCTTTGCTACTCTCAACACAGGTATGGCAGAGATGTTAATGGGTTTGGATTTGGTGTCTGCGTTGCATTTGATATTCTTGAGGGGCCTTCCATCACAAGAGGTTGCTACCTACTCATGCGAGCACTGCTAGTAGCTCTTGATCCATCAGAACGCTCCAAAATCATCGCAGGCCGTGAGGACCTGGCACAGCGTGGTCTGCTGATGGTAGATGAGCTGAAGAAGGCGCAGGATGCTCACGGCAACGGCTACCTGTCTGCTTTTCCTCAGGAACACTTTGATCGTTTGGAGAGCCTGAAGCCGGTCTGGGCACCATACTATGTGGTATGCTGGGGTTTGCCATGTTTGCTAGCTCTGGCAGGCTTGAGAATTGTAGAAGTGCTCTAGTTGAGGCACGTGGAGCCTCTGCATGCACAATCGGCAAAGGATTACCACCCATCTTCCTCCCTTCTGCCACCCTCTACCGCGCAGATCCACAAGATCATGCAGGGACTTCTTGATCAGCACACCATGGTTGCCAATCCGCTCGCTCTGGGGATGGTGGAAGACATGGCAAAGTACTTCTGTAATAGGTGTGTCGAGTTATCATCTTGGCCTCTTGAGATTCCTCGCCATGTTCTCTGGAAGATGACGATGGGATAGGCCATCCGGGGACAACAGGAGCTCACGCAAGATGCTCTGCCCTTGCAGACGAGTTCTGAATTCGCCAACCATGCAATCCCATCTCACCTCGACCGTTTCCAGGGTTGAGCGGGTGGTGGAGTCTCGTGGCGAGGACTACTGGCTCCTCACGCTAAACACCGAGTTTGGCGGCATGAATGAGGCAAGCGAGTGGTTCTGGTGATGATCTGTTTGTGGCTTGGCAGGGGGTCCCAGTAGTCCACCACTGCTTTCATTTTCAGGTCGGCAGCAAATTCGGCACCAGCCTTGAGCGCAAAATCCGACCCTCTATCCACATGTCTGACCGCCACAATGTCCCCCCCCCTTGAGCAGGTGCTCTACAACCTCTTCTCCGAGACGGGTCGGCGCGAATATGCTGACTGTGCGCGCCGCTTCGACAAGCCCGCCTTTCTGGAGCCCCTGCTCCAGGGACGAGACCCCCTGCCCGGTCTGCATGCCAACACCCACCTGGCCCAGGTGCTCTTCTCGGCGTGAAGGATTTGTGCAACGCGTGACAATACAGTGGGTTGCTGTGCATGCGAGGTCAAGTCGCCTTGGCTGCATCCTTTTGCACCGCAGGTGAACGGATTTGCGGCCCGGTACGACTCGATGGGAGACAAGGCCGGGGCGACTGCCGTCCACAATTTCTTCGCCCTTCTCGAAAAGGTATAGGACAATGTAGGGTCCTAGGGGTGCCTTCGCCTCCATGGGCAGTGTACAGCTGAATATCGGAATGCTGAGCAAATGCATACGGCACTGCTGACAGCACACACGCAGAGCTTTCCCATTTCCCAACCTGTGTTCCCGCACCTGCACCCACTCGCAGTACCACAGCTTTGCAACGGGGGGCTCCAACTGGCGCGAATTCTGGTTCAACGAGTCCACAGTGGCAGACGCAATCAATGACGTAAGGAAAAGTGATGTGTGTTGGAATGATAAAGGGCTGAGCACGGGAACAGGGATCAAGCCGCTTTGTGATTTCAGCTCACACAATGGGGCTATTTGAGCTGCACTAGTGCTGTTCCACAAGTTGTAGCTGTTTCGCTGCCCAGACAGAGCATCAGTCCTTCACGCCTACACACACTCAAACCTGCTAGCAGCCAGACTCGGGGGCAGTGTCCCAAGAGTCCTGCACCCAGTACAACATGCTGAAGATCGCGAGGCGGATGTTCACCTGGTCCGGCAGTCCAGGTGAACAGTGCTTGGTCTTTGGAGGAAGGAGACGGATTCAGAAATGTCTTGGCTTACTGACGCACTGGTGTGCTAGAAGAAATGGCCGCACATTGCCCTCCTGCGAGCTCTGATTGGGGGCCACATTGTGCACCATGCCTTGCATTGGACATCCCCCCTCCGCGTCACCCACCTTGCGGCCCGCAGCCATGGCGGACTACTATGAGCTGGCCATGCAGAACGGCGTGCTGGGCATCCAGCGCAAGCCACACTCGCACGACGACCAGCATGACCATCTGCACGAGCACCATCAGCACCATGCGCATCAGCACCAGCGCCAGCACCAGCACCACCTGGGACTGGGGCGGGAGCAGGTGCAGGAGGTGCCGGAGCAGGGTCGCCCTGCATCGTCAGAGAGCCTGACTGCCGCCATGACAGCTGTGTACGAGACCCAGCCGCGGCCAGCAGACCATCAGGCATGCAGGCCCTGAGAGGGAGGGTGTTGTGTGGGAGCTGGGCGATGGTAGGTGACATGGACTGGATCATTCCGACTCCCAGAGGGCCATCCTCCGGAAAAATCACGCTGCCACCTCTTTTAAGTGCCCCTCCGTGCCAGCCACACATCTTCACCCCGCCCCCCCATACCTCGACAGGTGGTTTCATGGCCGCAAGACCCTGGCGCCATGCTGCAGAGCAGCACAGGGCTGGCAACCAATGCTGCCGGCCCGGGTGTGATGATCTACTACCTCCCCCAATGTGAGTAGAGAGCAAGGAATGGGGGTTGTTGGTTATACTGGGTGGAGCGAGGGGCTGAGTGCACAGCGGTGAAGGGTCACCCAAAACTGGCTTGGCCCTCTTGGGCAGGGGCTCCCAGGCCGGCCTGCCCTTGCATAGGTTTCTGCTTGCATCGGCCTGATTGTTTAGCGTTCAATCAAAAGACTTGCGAGGTGCACTGGCCCGCACCCGATACCCTGTCTCGCTGCCTGTGCATCCTTCATGATGACGCCGGCTCGCCCCCCACAACCCCCCTGCAACCCTGCAGTCGCCGGCGAGTGGAAGGGCGAGCGCGGGCATTCCTGGACAGGATGGGGCGACCCTTACAACGCATTCTGGTGCTGCTATGGCAGCGGGGTCGAGTCTTTTTCCAAACTGGCAGATTCCATCTACTTCCACAGGCATGCTTGTTATTTGAGAGGGGTTCTTGGGTGTTGGGAAGCGCATTGAAGATTCTCAGATCGCATGTGCACCAAGTGCTCTTATAATGGAATGCACTGCTCTCACATGACCACATGAGACCTGAATCGGCCGGCCTTGCTGCAGGACGGTCAACGCGTCGGCGGCTGCGGGCGTGGCGGCGGCCGCCGCCGATGCTCCCCCGGAGCTCTTTGTCAACCAGCTGGTGACCAGCAGCCTCGAGTGGAAGCAGCAGGGCGTCGTGGTGAACCAGACTGCAGGCAAGGACTGGGGCTGGGGCCGGGGCCAGACATGAGGTCGTGTGTGTTGCGGGTGCTCCACATCCACCCCACCGCTCTGATCTGCCACCTCTCCGCCCCCTGCAGACATGTATGGGCCAGAGTCGGCGGCTCGCGCCCGCCTCGTCATCACGACCGCCGATGAGGCCGGCACCGCGCACTTTGTGCTCAAGTGGCGCATCCCCGCCTGGACCGACCCGACTGCCGCGCTGGTCAAGGTGGATGGCAGGAATGCGAGCTGCGTGCCGCCGGCCCCAGTGGAAGGTGTCGCGGACTCCGGTGCCCAGGCCTTTTACTGTGACCTGGGCCCCGAATGGAAGAGTGGCGACGTGGGTGAGTGGAGGGCGTGGGGAGGAGGGCTTGGTGGGCTCTCAGGTCGTCACTATGAGCTCGTGCCTTGCAGCATGTGATTGAATCTCCTCTGCGAGGCTCTGCACGTGTCCCAACCAGGCCCAAACAAATTTCAAACTACGGCACCCCTCCCAATCCCATCCGCCCACCCTACAGTCGAGTCGTTCTTCCCCTTCAAGTCACGTGTGGAGAGCATCAATGACCAGCGCCCGGAGAACTCCCGCCTCAAGGCCGTCTTGGTTGGGCCCTGGGTCATGGCAGGTGAGCAGGGCTAAGCGGTGGTTGTTGGGGCAGGTACAACCTACGTGTCCGGTGCCCAAACGCTTGATTGATCAGGTGGGTGGATGCATCCGGCAGGATTGGGTTCGTAGACCATACAAAGTGCATTTCATCCTAAGCCCATGATCTATTGATGCTATCAATCACTTGCACGCCCCGCCGAGTCTCACGCGGACCCCGCCCCCCTTCATATCTTCATCCTCCTCTGCACCCTCCGACGATCCGCATCAGGTGTCACGGATGGCAAACGCAACATCACCGCCGACCCGAGATCCATCGACACCCTGCTGAGCATGCCGTCCAGCGCCGACCTGGTGTCCCTCAGGCCTTTCACCCTGGAGCGCGGTACGCAGAATGAGGGTCCCATCCTCCTCACCCGCCACGCGGCCAACGCCACGCTGCTGGCGGTCCCGCACCCGCAGTCCCCCTCTCGCGCCGCGGCCATGGATGCCACCTTCCGCCTGGTTCCTGGTGCTGATGGGGCGTGCAGCGACGGCAGCCAGGGCGTGGAGGGCGGGCCCCTCTTGACCCCGGGCAGGTGTGTGAGCCTGGAGCCCATGGGTCATCCGGGGCAGCGCCTGCGTCAGCAGCACGACGGCAGCCTGACCGTGGTGGCAGGCGCCGGCGCCGGAGTTTCGCCCTCTGTGTTCACCGTCGCCGCCTGCAGTGAGCCTGGAAACCTGTGCCTGCTGGGCGCGTCGGCCGGGGACAAAGCCGGCGCGTCCCCCAGCATCCACCTGCTGGCGCCCGCAGCGCCCCAATACCCTCTGGGGTCTAGGGTGCTGAAGGGCCTGGACTCGCAGTACCTCCTCGTCCCCATTGGCCAGATCATCGACGAGCACTACACCACCTACTTTGAGTTCCTGGACCCGCCCGCGGCAGTCAGCATGTGAGCGAGGAAGGCGTGCCACAGGCCAGCACCTTTCAAAGTGTTACTGTGTTTTTCACATGGACGCCCCCTGTCGCTGCGTCTCCGGCACAAGACATATAGTGTCAGCCTCCAAGACTCAGCTGCCACAGACATGTATCCATGTGTCTGCTTTGCCCCCTCACTCCCCTTTTGAATTCAAAGGGATCGCGGTAAATTGGAAGACCTGTAGATCAGGGCGCCCAGGCACACCTGTTTTCTGGCATGCATCCTCCGCTGTAAAAGCAGGAAGCTTTTACGACCAAAAGAAACCCATTCACAAAGCAAAAAGGCAATGATACCACAACGTGCCGTCCTAGCCACTAGACGAAAGTGACTGTTTTTTAATGTCACTTCCGGGAATTGAACCCGGGTTTGCACGACTTCGTACTTCAGATGTTGAACAATGCCAATAACGCAGAATATAGAATGGAAGGGGAGTTCCGACCTCCCTTTCCCTCATCGTACGTTTGGCCGAGACTGGCTGACATCTCCATTGCACACTTGGCAAGCACTTGATTAATCAACTATAGATCTGCGGAAGTTTCCTTAAATATTGACCTGTATAGATTCGGCTTCACACAGCCTGCTGATACGACAACGTGCAAGAGCATCTCCTCACTACACTACCATACGCCCTTGCTTGAGGATTGGCGTAAATCATGATATTATCTGTATATTGATTCCCTGAAGCGACCGCTCAGGGCAGCTTCAAGCATTGCCTGAGTCCCGTCAGGGAGTGGCGACATGCCAGACACTCAGACCCCGGAGGATTGCTAGGTCGGCGACGGTGTCAGCCGTTCCGCATCCTCAATCGCACCTGCACGCGGTATGCAGGGCCTGATCAGGTCTGCAGGCGCATGGCTGCGCGCAGACTCCCCCGTGGTGTCGTCGGCAAGTCTGGCCTGTGCATGGCCAGTGCTGCCGGCATGGAGCTGGCGCCAGCCTCCGCACCCGGCCCGCTGCACCAGCACCGAGGCCGAGGCTCCTGAGAGGGAGGCTCCCCAGGGCGAGGCCTCTCCCCGTGGCTTCCTGGCGGGGGGCCACTCTGTGGAGGACTTCCCACCCTCCCACATCAGGAACTTCTCCATCATCGCGCACGTGGACCACGGCAAGTCCACCCTGGCAGACCGCCTGCTGGAGCTGACGGGGGCCATCAACCCCGGCGCCAAGCAGTACCTCGACAAGCTCCAGGTGAGGAGCGTGTGGGTGGTTGGGGGGTAGTGTGGGAGGCCTGCGGCACGGCCGTCACCTCTGCACCCCGCAGCGCTGCCGACTGTGGTGTGTGCTGGAGTATCCGCTCATCTGCAGCGGCTTTCCGGCCCACTCCACTCACCTCGTCTGCCTCCCACTTGTACCCCTGCCCACATCAGGTGGAGAAGGAGCGGGGCATCACGGTCAAGGCCCAGACGGCGAGTCTGGTGTTCAAACACGAGGGCGAGCAGTACCTGCTGAACCTGATCGACACCCCGGGCCACGTCGATTTCTCGTACGAGGTCTCGCGCTCCCTGGCGGCCTGCCAGGGCGCCATCTTGCTGGTGGACGCCAGCCAGGGCGTGCAGGTGCGCGCGCGTGTGCTGGGTGACCCGGGGTGACTGGCTGGAGGGCGGGTGGGTTGCCAGACGGCGATCCTGTTGGTCCTGCTCCAGGGCGGCGCCATTCATCAGCACCCCGCCAAACCCCTCTCTTCCCTGCACCGTCCCCTCCTGACCGACCGCCACACCTTCAGGCCCAGACGGTGGCCAACTTCTGGCTGGCCTTTGAGCAGGACCTGGCCATCATCCCCGTGCTGAACAAGATCGACCACCCCGGGGCGGAGCCGGCGCGGGTCACCGCCCAGCTGGCGGAGGCCTTTGACCTGGACCCTGCCGCGGTGCTGGCAATCTCGGCCAAGACCGGGGCGGGGCTGGACCGGGTGCTCCCCGCCGTGGTCGAGCGCGTCCCCCCCCCGCGCGGCGACCTGGCCGCCCCGCTGCGCGCGCTGCTGTTTGACGCCTACCACGACGAGTACCGCGGCGTGGTGTGCCTGCTGGCGGTGGCCGACGGCGCCGTGGGGCGCGGCGACCGCGTCACAGCCGCGGCGGCCGGCCAGAGCTACGACGTGGTGGAGGTGGGCCTGCTGGCGCCGGAGCCGGTGCCCACGCCCAGCCTGCGCGCGGGGCAGGTCGGGTACGTGCTGGCAGGGATGAAGGACACGCGTCAGGCGCGGGTGGGCGACACCTGGCACGCCGCACGCGCGCCCGTGCCGGCTTTCCCTGGCTTCAAGCCCGCACAGAGCATGGTGTTCGCCGGCATCTTCCCCGTCTCCGCCGACGGGCACGAGCGCCTGGCCGCAGCGATGGCCCGCCTGGCGCTGACCGACGCCAGCGTGGCGGTGCGCCGCGAGAACTCCAACGCCCTGGGCGCGGGCTTCCGCTGCGGCTTCCTGGGCCTGCTCCACCTGGACGTCTTCCGGCAGCGCCTAGAGCAGGAGCATGGCGCCGACGTGCTGGTCACTGCCCCCACCGTGCCCTGTCGGGTGGTGCGTTCTGGGGGTTTGGATGCGTTCCTTGTCTTTTGGGTGGGTGGGGGGAAGGTTCTGAGAGGGTAGGGGGGGGGGTGGATGTGGTGTTGCTGTGGAGGGGCCAACTTTGGGCCCATATCTGTTCAGGGCAACGGCTCCTGGGTGACTCCCTCTGCCCTGGTCGAGCAAAGGCATCCTCGACCCAACTCAACGATCTCCCCAAACCCAACCATAGGTGCTGCAAGGGGGCGAGAGCATCGAGCTGAGCAACCCCGCCGACTTCCCCACCGACGTACGGGTGGAGGCGGTGTGGGAGCCCACTGTGCGAGCCACGGTCGTGACCCCGGAGGAGTACGTGGGGGCGCTGATGCAGCTGTGCACCGCCGCGCGGGGGGAGCTGCTCGACCACGTGGTCCTCGACCCCGGGCGCACCATGCTCAAGTGAGGCGAGGGGGGAATGGATGGGGTATAAAAAGGGGGCCGGGGACAGTGCGCAGAGCAGGGGGGGACCTGTGATACCTTGCAGCTGAGGTGGCGGCCTTTTGCTAGCATCCTTGCTGCATGGGAGCCATCCATCTCCTGCCCCCACTGCACGCCTCGCCACTGATGCTCAACACCTAGCCGCTTCCCAAAGGCTCCCTTCCGAACCTGCCTGCACCCCACGTCACGACCCCTCCTCTATACACACATCAAATTGCCCCCCCCCCTCGCCCACCACCAAAAAACTCCCCCTTCCTCCCTGTCTTGAAAGGTACACGCTGCCGCTGGCAGAGCTGGGCGGCGATTTCTACGACGAGCTCAAGTCGGCGTCCTCCGGCTACGCCAGCCTGGACTATGAGGAGGGCGAACCGCGGCGCGCGCCCATGCAGCGCCTGGACATCCTGCTCAACGGCGAGCCCGTGGATGCGCTGGCGCGCATCGTGCACCGCGACCGCGCGGAGCCGCTGGGGCGGCGACTGTGCGCGGCGCTGGCGGGGGCCCTGCCCCAGCAGCAGTTCCAGGTGGCCGTGCAGGCGGCGGCGGGGGGGCGCGTCGTGGCTCGGGATACCATCCGCGCGCTGCGCAAGAACGTGCTGGCCAAGTGCTACGGCGGGGACGTGTCGCGCAAGCGCAAGCTGCTGGAGAAGCAGAAGGAGGGGAAAAAGCGGATGCGACAGCTGGGGTCGGTGGAGGTGCCCACCGACGTGTTCCATGACCTGATGAAGGTGCGCAGCCGGTAGCGCAAGGGGGTGGCGCGCCCTGGTGTGCCCCCCCCTCCGCCTGGATGCCAGTCTGCCTGCCTGCCATGAGGCCCCACCTAGGATTGAATGTGGAATTGCAACGAGTAGGAGGAGCAAGGGGGGAGGGGGTGCTGGGGTCGTCTGATGACATGTCGGGAGACCACCGCGGCACCACCGTACAGGAGTGCATGGGGCGGGGGAAGGGCCCTGCCTCCCTGCACAGGGACATGCACGTGAGACCAGGGAAGGTGCACTGGTAGCGAGGAGGAGCAATTAGAGCCTCGGCGCCGACCGATGGTGCGCTGCTCGGTGCCGAGACGCTCCCGGGACAATCCCGACGTCGCCAGCTCAGTACATGTTCTCCACCTGGGTGCTCTTGGCGGGGCTCCGTGCATCCACCCTCGCCCTCCGCATGCGGTCCAGGGCGGGCCGCAGGGCAAAGTTCTTCTTGAACCATGTGCCTAGTTGTACTGCACGTGGTTGTATGGGGGAGGGTTTGGGGTGAGTGGGAACAGAAGATATCTGCCCTTGATTGACTCAGCAATGGAGTGGTTTGAAGCAGGCAGGCATCCAAATGTTTTCAATGTCTCATCCATTCCGGTTGCTCATTATCCATTCCCATGCCAGATAATAAGCCCACACCCACTCCTTGACCCCCTATAACCCCCCCCACTCCACCTCTTACCTTCCACGGTGCGGATCTGGGGGACCAGTGTCCGCACATTGCGGATGGGAAGCCAGTCCGCCAGGCCCTGGCCCCACACCAGCGTGTTCTCATCCACCACCCCATGCACCCAGGCCTCGCGCAGGACGGGGAGGGAGCAAGGTCCACGTGGCACGCTCATGCGGTCCCTGTGTCCGTGCAATGAGTGTGAGAGGGTAACAGTGTGAGCATTGCCAGCGAGGGAGGAGGCATGCTCTGCGCATGGACCGGCCCCTCCACATTGACCGCCCAGCCAACGCATACCTGTAATACCAGACATTCTCGGCCGTCATGAAGCGGACGTAGTCCACCATCATGCGGTCCTCATGCTCGTACTTCCCGGGCTGGAAGGGCTCGTGGGGGGGGGGCAGGGGCCGCCCGGTCGGCCTAATCTTGCGCACCAGCGGATTATCACCCGCCGGCTTCTTGCCGACCTTCTTATCGCCCTTCTTCTTCGATTTCAACGACGACTTTGCGGCCAGCTGGGCCACCTCGTTAGCCGCGGGAGGGGGGGCTCCCCACCCAAACATCGTGCCCTGTTGCCGGTTGGCACCTCCCGATGACCAGTTTTGCAGGTCGTATAGCTTTATGAGAGATACAATATGTGTCGGTGTAATGCTGTCGCGGGGACCCAGCCAGCTGATGGACACTTCAACTCATGTTATCCCCACACATGCAATGCGCGCTCAACGCCAGCTTTCGGAATATCCCCCTTTCCCACAACCCTCCAGGTCCCGTATGGTGATCAAAGGCGCAAGCTGATCCGTTAGCTTCTGACCTTCAATGTTGTGTCTCCCATGCTGCCAAGCCCCGCGACAGCAGCAATGCCCATCGCCTGACCACGTCTGGATCACTCCCGCTAGGTTCGAACGTCGACTCCTCATCAGGCCTCCCCATACCCACGCCTCTGCAACTCCGAAGAATTAGTCATGTGCGAACCGCGATGACATCCTTTCGCGGCCCGCGTGCCCTGCTGTCTTGTCTCCTGCTCCTCGCTGGTGCCGTGTGGGTGAAACCTCCGGGATGCCACGGTGCGGATGGGGAAGGAGTTACTGACAAGGGAGGCTGCGGTCGGAAATGGGGAAACAGATTACAAGGAAGACCAGCTTTGTGAAACGACTGGTGCCACAGCTGAGCTATGACTTCTGGGGGTGGCCACCCTTGGACTGCCCCCCTAAGCCCTTGCATTCTCACTGTAGCATCCACACACCCCTGTCCTGCCAGGCGCACTGGATTGGCTACCCGGCCATGCGCTGACCTGGCATGCCCCCGCCTCCTGGTGGCCACGCTGGCTATGGTCTCCGCACCCGCCAGGCTACGACACCCCCCGCCGCACCCTGGTGCACCCGATGTGGCCCGACGGCAGCCTGGCCAGCCCCGTGGAGCTGGAGCTGAGTCCGCGCCAGCTGGACGCCGAGCCGCGCCTGGTGCCGGCGCGCAGTTCTGGCGCACGTCGGCCACCGCGACGCGGCGGCCCCGGGCCCGGCGCCCCCAGCAGTGGGCCGGATGTCGCGTATAACATGAGCGCTCTAACCCCCTTTGTCCCCCAGGACAAGGCCTGGATGCTGGACGCCGACCAGGCGGCGCGCAGGGGCGAGGGACTGGACTGGGTGGTGGCCCGCCGCCTCGCCGAGTACGTGGCAGCGTCGTACTGCAACACCTCCAACATTGCGGCGTGGAACTGCACCCGCTGCGGCGACCCCTCCTCTGAGGATGATGAATCGAGCGGGCCGGAGTTTGAGCTGGAGACGCTGGCGTGGGATGCGGCCTGGGACCTGCTGGGGTTTGTGGGCTGGAGCAACACGCTGCAGGCCACGGTCATCGCCTTTCGCGGGACCGACTCCCGGTCTATTTATAACTGGTGAGGGGGGGAGAGGGGGAGGGGGGATTATGTGGGGGAGATATCGGGCAATTGTTGCCTGTACCCCGCAGATGAGTCTGTGACCCCTTTCCCCCGACATGTCAAGATGCGCCACACATCTGGGCGTTCTACTTTCCCAGCCAGCCGCTTCAAGGCTTCCACATTGGGTCGCCTCCACCCCGACCCCCGTCCACACTACCCTCACCACCCAAGATTTCTTTCCTGTCACCACCCAAATTCCCCTCCCCCCTCTACATCACGCTCCAGGGTGACCAACATGCGCACCTGGCGCACCGACCTCAACCTGACTACGCCCGGCGCGCCCGCCAATGCGTTGGTGCACGGCGGCTTCCTCACCTCCTGGAGCGGCTCCTCCCTGTCCCGCTCGGTGACGCGCGCGGCAGCGGCGCTGCAGCGCCGCCACGGCCCGCACCCGGTGCACGCCACGGGGCACTCGCTGGGCGGTGCGCTGGCCACCATATGCGCCATGGAGCTGCGCGCGCTGCACGGCCTGCACGACGTGCGGCTGACCACCTTTGGCAGCCCGCGCGTCGGCAACGCGGTGTTCGCCGCCTGGCTCCAACGCGTGGTGCCGGAGCACTGGCGATTCACGCACAACCGCGACATAGTACCCTCCGTGGCGCCGCCCTACATGGGCTTCTGGCATCTGGCGCGCGAGGTATGGGTGCTGGACCAGGCGGGGGCGGCCACGCTGGTGGGCATCTGCGATGCTACTGGGGAGGACATCCGCTGCCACAACTCGGTGTGCCACCTGGGGCTGTGCTCCTCCGTCGCCGACCACCTCCTGTACCTGGCAGAGATGTACACGCCCCGGCCCATGGGCTGCTGAGGGGGGTTGCATCCTAGGGAAGGGGGGGCGAGGCGTGAGGCGGCCTGACCTGGTGCACGCATCGATGGGCCCTCATCTCCAGGCCTCTGCCCCGTCATGATAATACTGACGCCGTGGTCTTGTAATACAGAATACTTCAAGCTGCAAAGTCGGCGAACTGTACGTTATGGAGGCGACATGACAGCAGTCCGGGATTCTGATCAGTGGCCATAATAGAAACGGAGAGCGCGGGATTAACAATGAACACACTCTCATGAACCTGATGTCGAGCAACGCCTTCCCCCTTTTACACCCCGAGTAGCATCCTGCGACTTCACAACCCCTTCATCATGGACGTACATGTCGATGGGAAGGCAGTCTTCGCTGCAGTGAGTGGGATCCTGGGGGGTGCGGCACGAGCATGCTCCCGAGATCCGAGGCCGGCTCAACGAACGATTCGAGTGGATGTTACATGCTCAACCAATCCAGATTGCACCGTATTCCGAGGTAACATGGATGAGCATTGTTTTTACGGACTCATAGGCATCAACTTAGACTCCCAGTCAGTTGCCCATTCGACGGCTGTCCCCATGTCGCAGTTGCGGACGACGGCCCGGGCATGCCAGAAGCCCCAGACTCCATGACGCATCTGATGGCCAGTCTGACCTCCGCTCTGGAGGATGGGAGTCAATCGACTTATAAATTGCAGCTCCGGTCGACGAGTACGTGCTTTCACTCTGGAGTGTGGGCTGATTACAAGGGGGCCTGTGTGCCATCTCAATATGTTCTGTCGGACCCTTAACATTGCCAGTCCCACCCCGTGCAAGCAGCTTGCAACCAGAGTGTGATCGCCACCTTTCAAAGAGAGAGATTAGCTGGAATATGGTATCCAACCATCGGACCAGAGCTGGCACCTAAACACCAGGCATTTTCTGGGACAGATGTCAGCCTGAGCATCGCTGGGCGCCTCGACAGGCAAGGTACCTTGGTGGCCTGCCCCTAGAAAGGCATTGCAAGCATGGTGACATGAGGTCTGCATTCCTGCATCACACTCACCCTCTGTGCACCCTCTTGTCCAGTCGTTCAAGACCTGAGTCAGAGGCTGAAGGGCTATGTGGTGCTCACAGCCGCGATCACCCCGCGAGCGATGTTCAAGTTTTCTGTTGAGCAACCGGATGAACCTCTACGGAGATGGGTGTCGCCATTTGAAAACAAGGATGTGACATCAGCCCAGGAGGCCCTTCGTGCAGGTCAGGCAATGCCTGGGAGCACACGGGCATACCTCGATGTGGATTCCATCATCTTGCTGGGCAAACATCTAGAGATTGCTGTTGGATGTGGTGCATTGCTCGACCACTTGGCCAACAGGTGGGAGCGCAACCACCAAGAAGTCTAGCCACCATCCACGCCCTCACGCCGTCACCTGTTTCACCATCAACAGGTCTCACTCAATGGGCCTCTCTTTCGACCACCAGCCCCGCCACCCAGACTGCGCCCCCCGGGATTGGCATCGGCCACGCTGCCTCCCGAGCCGCACGGTGGCACGCCTATGCGGGCGTGGTCCTCAGGCACGGCGCAGGCCCCACCGGGCAGCAGGCCGGCCCAGCTGCCAGGGTGGACATCCATGCCTACCTGGAGCACGAGGCGACCGACCCCAGCCAGGCCGCGCACGACGCCCTCGCCGGTCTGGACTGGGCAGAGTTTGGGCTACGGCATGATGCCTCAGGGCCGGTGCCGACCCTGCACGACGAGACGGGGATGCCAGGCCCGCTCCGCAGCTGCGTTGTCGTCCTGCACCTGGCACCCGCCCCGACAGCGGGCCAAACCCCCAAGCCTCTTGCGCCGAGGGCTCAGGTCGGCGCCGCGCCTGTCGTTGCGTGGGCCGGCGCCTTGATTGTGTTGATATGCTGCGAGTCCCTGGGTGAGACCTCAAAGACTGTATGACTCCGCCGATTCTGGCCCGCTAGACGCAGCAGCGCAGGGAAGTCCCCCCCCCCCCCAAGAAAACCTCCCCTCACCCACTCCCTCCAGGCGATGCTGATGCGCGCGGCAACGACGAGCGCCCTGCTGGAGCTCAAGGCGGCGGATCCAGCCCGGCTGCGCTCGCGGCGTGAGCAGTCGCTGGCGCGGGCGCTGCCCTGCCTGGCCGGCGCCCTCGTGGACCTCGCGCGTCAGGGCGAGGGCGGCGGCGGCCTGCTGGCCCACGCCTGCGCCCTGTTCGGGGGCTGTCGGGAGGCTGAGCTGGAGGGCAGGCTGGTCGGGGCGCTGCAGGCCGCGGTGCGGCGAGGCCGGGCCAGCCGGCGCCTCGAGCTCGGCCTGGCCGCCGAGGAGTGACGGTAGCGCTTCAACCTGAGTGCTTTGGCTGTCAAGCTACCCTTATGGACCCTCCCATACCCCCCAGCCTCTTTCTCTCTAGCTTTCCCTACCCTCCCCAACCGTCAACTCTTCCCCCGCCCTCCAAGGTCCTCAGTGCTCCGGCAATTAGTAATTGTACCCCGTGGCGTTGGCAGGCAGGCCGAGGCGCAGGTCGGGCACGATGGTCCCCTTGCGCAGCTGCCCCGCGTCCACGATCACGACGCCGGCGTCGCCGTGCGCTGTGTCCTCTGGCTGGCCATGGGACACGGCGTTGATGGCCTCGCTCACCTCCCAGCCCGCCACCACCTGGCCAAAGATGGTGTACCCGCCGTTCAGGTGGGGAGAGGGGCCCATCATGATGGAGAAGTGGCCCTCGTTGGTGTTGGGACCCATGTTGGCGGAGCTCAGCAGGCCCTGCAAAAGAGGGGGGGAGGAGTTGGGGGAGGGCTCTTGTTGGAGGGGAAGAATCCGGAAAGGTTGTCATGCTGGACGATAGGCTGGTCGTAGTATAAGCCCTGCGCGCGGTCTGAGGTTATCACGGCCACCTCGACCAGCGGTTACCATACACAAGCTCCTGCACAGTGTACCCCATGGAGCTTTCCCCACCTCCCTTTAACATGCCAGGCACCACCCTCCTGCACCTTGTGATCATGCTTGAGCGCCAGGCCGCCGGGGTCGTCCGCAAAGGTGCCCCCGAAGGCCGACTCTACATTTGCGCCGCCCTGGTTGATCCAGCCCTTGACGATGCGGTAGAACGTCCCGCCCTGTGTGATGGTGCGGGCGAGCAGTGGTGGGAGGGGGGAGAGAGGAGCATCCATGAAGTGGCTTGGCAGCGGCAAATGGGCAGCGAGCAGAGCCTGCTGCCGCTGCGCCACTGCACAGCATGCAGGGTCGCAGCGGTCCCGGGTGCCGGCGGCAGCGGCATCGACCCTGATCAGGGTCAAGATATACAAGCCCCGGCATGTCCCGCAGAGCACAGCGCGCGCACCTTCAGGTGGTACACCTTGTGCCCGTCTTCGCGTGGCTTGGGCACGGCCCCCTTCTCCCCCGAGCAAAGCAGCCTGGGCATGGTGGAGATGCGGGGAGGCAGCGTGCGGTCTCAGACATGACAGGCACATGACGGGGAGGGCGCTGGACCACCAATGGCTGGACACTCGGCCTCTCTTGGCACCGCCCGCCGGACCCTGCTCACCTCATGTTCTCGGCGTGGCGCGGGGCAACGTCGCTGAAGAGCACGATCTCCATGCGGCCGATGGGCGCGCCCTTGATCGCGACGTCCAGGAAGACCAGGGGGAGGGTGGCGTTGTTGCGCAGCGCCTCGTACTCGGGCATGATGATCGACTGGTTGGCGATGGGGCCCGCCGCCTCGCCGGCCGCGGGCTGCTCCTGCGCCATGGTGTTCTCCGGCACCTTCTCGGGCCGCACGCCGACGTCGGCGGCCGCGGGGTCGGTGGCTGCGGCCGGCGTCGCAGGGCTGGTGACATCGGCCGCCGAAGACCCCTGCTGCGCCTCGGTGCCGCCCGCGGCCTCGGCAGGCTTGACGGGGGGCGCTGCGGTCTCGCCAGGCCTCACCCCCGCACCCGCCGCGACCTCCTCGGGCTTGGCAGTGGCACCCGCACCCGCCGCAGCGTCGCTCCTGGCTGCTTCCGAGGACTGCACCACCTCCGCTGCCTTGGCGGCACCGCCACTGCTCGTCTCCGCCTTGGTCTTGGTGTCGGAGTTCGCTGAGGCAGCCTTTGCCTTGGGCGTCTCCGTGTGCTGCTTGGTGGAGATGGCGATCCCGTTCAGCCACCCGTCCTCTGCAGGGTGCCCAGAGTGTGCGGGGGTTCTCAGATCACACCGTCCTCCAGGACCCAACGTAGTCACCGGCACGTCCCAGCGGTATCAAGGCCCGCGCCCCGTGACACACAGACCTTTGAAGCGTTTTCGTGGAAGTTTGTCGGTGTTGCCTGCCATCAGCCAGCACTGCGGCAGTTTAAAGAGGGTGAAGGTGCAAGATGGGGCTGGGCTTTTCAAACCCCCCTGCAGCAGCCGGCATAGCCGTGGCAATCCCCACCCCAGCCTCACGACAACCCTTCCCCTCTCTGCCCACCTCCCCACTCGCTGAGCGTGGCGAGCACCGATCGGTGGAGGCGCAGTACTGGAACCAGGTGCACGTGGGGGTGGTCTCGCATTTGGCCGCGCAGTCTCGAGGGGCCACCTAACCAGGTCGTACGGGATGCAGGGTGACGCATGAGGTATGCCTCGGATCCCTTAGCTTTGGCTCGAACAAATGCGATGAGATCTCAGCATCAAGAAAAGCCTCTCACCGCATGATGGGAGACACCAGAGACCACAACGTCGGCGGTCGTTGGATATGGAAACCCCTTGTACAGTTGGAAGGTGGAGCCCTCCAAGCCCACGGCAGAAGGGTAGACGATGACGGCGGGACCGGTGTACAGTTTGCCTTGGTAATAAGCGAACAGGATGATGGAAATGGCCAGAATTCCCAGCCCGGCCCGGGCGACCGGGACCCCCGTCTGCCCCTTGGTTTTGCGTATGGATCTCATCATCTTGGAATCATGCCGAGCTGAAGTGCAGCTCAGGCAGATCGAATATGCCTAAAATGGAGAAGGCGAGACTGCGCGCCACCGGTGCCGTACTTCTCATACCCAGTGCCGGGTGTGCTCCGCATGGCCCGCTCGCACTGCGCAGCGGGGTGATTCACGATTCCGCATTGCCAGTTCAATTTGCGGGCTCAAATGGATCGTAATTGCAAGGCTGCACTATTTTACAGTATTTCACCCATCAGCGACCATTCCACCATCGCATTCTTTGGATCGCGCACAGATCAAAGCCACCCGACCATGCACGCAGCCTGAGAGGCACCCCCTGGGCTGCTGCAACCTGAAGTAGGGCCCTCTGATCCAGAGACTGCTGCCACCCCAGTGCCTGCCACAGGGGTTTACATGCTGCGCACTCCTGATGCCGTACCGTCCTGACACGCCTCAGTGCTGCAGGTGGGGGAAGTGGTGGATGCTGTGCTCCTTCACGTTACCACGCAGAAGGCGTATTTTGGGCCTCAGAGATGGTGGGCTGCGCCGACACCTGTAGTCAGGGGGGTCAAGGTTGACTGGGCATGCCATGTCAAGCACAGCACCCTGCTCCCTGTTGGCGCAGGGGATGGGGGCGTGTGTAAGCTGTGATCGGCCCCTCCCGGAGAGCCGTCCTGGATCCGCGGTCCCTGAAGCAGAGAGGTCGGGTGCGGGTCTCTGATCTGTGCACAGGGAGGCGGCTGGGAATATCCCTGTTCAACCAGGGGGTATGTTGGACACATGGAGCACTGATGCCGTTGCGCTTCCCTGACACATGGCTGCAGCCCGCAGGTACTCACAACCGGTGGTTCGCCCCCACTCGCGCCCTTGCGGAGCGCTCTCCAAGAGCCTGACAGCGCACCTCCCCACCCCTCTCCCCTCAGGACGCCCAGTTGCAATCTTGATGGCAGTTTCAGCAGCAGCAGCAGCAGCAGTAGCGAGGATGGCGCTCCCCCATGTGCCTCTGTCTCATTACCCACGGCGGCCAAGGGTTTGCCAATTTTGGCCGCAGACAATGTCCTCCCCTTGGCCTCCCGGCCGGACCTCGCGAGAGTGAGGCTGGACCCCAAGATTTCCACCAACTCCCGCCTGAACGCCCCACTCACCAATCCGCCGGCCGGCGCGGCCACCGCCATCCGTCGGACAGCGACCCTGGACATGACGCACCTCCCGGGCACTGTACTCCTCAACCAGTACGCCATGGTCCGCTTCCTGGGTCGCGGCGTGTCTGGGCGCGTGTTCCTGGTCATGGACGTGCTGACTCAGCGCCTGCTGGCGCTCAAGGCGGTGCGGCGGCCGCCGCCGGGCGGCGGCCTGTCGCGCTCGGGCCGGCGCAGAGATCCGGCCGCTGACCTGGCGCGGGAGATCGAGGTCATGGCGCGCCTGCACCACCCAAACCTGCCCCGACTGTACGAGGTGGGATCCCACGGTGGGGGAAGGTTTTGCTGCATTTCATCGGGAGGCGGTGGCGCTTTGTGTGGCCACGGGGCTCGGGAAAGGATCGCGAGGGGTGATGCGGCGCCGTCGCAGCGACGATGCGCCCCCTTGCCTTCTTCTCCGTGCCCCCCACCTCCTTCCCCGCCCTGGACCCTGCGACGTGCCTCTCACCCATCCCGCACCCCAGGTGATTGACGACCCGGGGCACACCAAGATCCTGCTGGTCATGACGCTGGCGGAGGGGGGACCCGTGCTGACGCGTGCGTCCCTCGAGGCGGGCAGGAGGCTGCCGGAGGCCGAGGCCCGCGCCGCCTTCCACGGCATGGCCAAGGTGCGCGTTGTCTGATGGAAGGGGAATACTCACACAGGATGGGTTCGAGGAAGGGATCAGTCGGGTGGTGGCGAGTTTTGCACCAGGTAGAGCAGAGGCTGGTCAGGAGCGAGGCCTGCGTCTCCAAATCGCCAGTCAAGGACATGGTGCTATGGGACTGGGCCTGCAGCTCCCAGGCCTGGTGTCGCCGTGCCGGCTGGGCCTCGACCTGGGTCAAGGAATTGCGCCCCATTTCCCTCCTTTCCACACAGGGTCTGGCGGAGCTGCACCGCTTGGGCATTGTGCACGGCGATCTGAAGCCGGAGAACGTGCTGCTGGGGTCCCGGGTGATGCTCACCGACTTTGGCTGCTCCGGCTGGGAGGGCGGCGGCGTGGGGATCCACAGGCCCCGGGGCACGCCCGCTTTCCTCGCGCCGGAGCTGGCCTGCGCCGAGGCCGGACCCTGGTGGGCGTGTGTTGTGGGGTCGGTGTGCATGTGGGAGGAGGGCTGTCGGGCTGGCTGCCAGAATGAGTGGGAAGGAACCCTGTGTGATGCACACAACGGCGCCCCAGAGTGACGAGGGCCGTTTCACAGCACTCGTCGCTGCCACCCATGCGACTCTCCACCGCCAATCAACCCTCCCCGCACTTAACCCCCTCAATCTCTGCTCAAGCACGCCGGCCTCCGACGTCTACTCCTTGGGTGCCAGCCTCTTCACACTCCTCTTCGGCACCATCCCCTTCCCCGCCACCTCCATCGCCGAGCTGTACGAGGCGCTGCACACCCAGGACCTGGTCATCCCCAGTGAACCCGCGCTGGGCGAGGGCGTGCGCCAGCTGCTGCGCGGCTGCATGGAGAGGGTGAGGGGTGACAGATGGTGTCAGGAGGGGGATTGAAGGGGGGAGCATGCTTTGGGGAAGGAGAGGGGAGGTACACCGATGGTCTGGGAGCCCGGCCATGCAATGCAAGAGAGAAGAGTGCCCCTGTGCAGGATTCATGTCCGCCCTGCCCTCCCTTCGCAGGACCCTGCGCGGCGCTGGACGCTCGACTCGGTGCTGCAGCACCCCTGGGCGAGGGGCGGTGGCCCAGGTCCCGCCGAGCGGGACGGCGCCCACCCTTTCTCGCCGCTCCAGGCCCTGCTGACGCCCGACGCTCTGGTGCACCGCCTGCAGCCTGGCGCGGGCGTCGACCCAGTGAGTCATGCTGCGGTGGGGGAGGGCAGCCAGCCCGGCCTCGTGCTTGTGCTGCGCGGCAGTCTGATGGTGGTCTGGCAACCCAACGAGAGTCACGACGGCGCCTGCACACCTCCACACGGCAGCAATGCTGGCGCCTGCACACCTCCACTCGGCAGCAATGCTGGCGCCTGCAACACCCCCGACGCCGAGGGGCGTTCCCTAGGTCTGACGACGCCCGGCCCGTCACCACGGCCATGTGGGCTCGCTGCGACCCCAGGCCCAGTCAGCGCCCTCCTGGACCCCCTGACCAGCACAACCCTGCTCACGCAGTCCAGCTGCGCGTCGTTCTCGCCTTCCCCCGTCCCAGGCTTGAGGGCGCTGGGGGTCTCAGCCGCCACGGACCGCGCAGCTGCTGTGGAGGGGAAGCCGATGGGCTCTCCGGAGAAGCTCCCGATCCCAAGGCCCCAAGCCGGCATCCCAGCCACATCACCGCTGAATGGCTGCCTGGAGAGCCCTGACAAGCCAGGACAGCAGGAGGCTGGACCCTGCGACCCGCGTCACGGCTCACTTTTTCAGTCAGGCTTTGCCAGGGCGTGGGAAACGCTGGCATCGCTGCGGGACCCAGGCGGCGGCTGGAGGCTGGCGGAGCACCGAGGAGGCGGCGTCGTGGGAGCCTGGCGCATCCTGCAGGGTGAGGGCCGGCTGGTTGATGGAGTGTCAGGGGCCGGGACCCTGCCATAGGTTTAAGTGCCCGGTTCCCATCGCAAGTCCCCCCCCCAAACTGCCTGCCTGCCAACCTTGGCCTTCCTCTTCTCATTCACAGGTTCAGAAGGCCTCCCACCGGGCCAGGAAACACCCGCACAGGCTGGGCTAAAGGGCGCCAGGCTGGTGGTCGGTCCCGACGGCGCAGAGGTCGTCTTCGTGTCCCGAGCACAGGCGGAGGCGGCTTGGGCGGCAGATCCGCTGGTGAGTGGACAGTCAGGGGGCAGAGGCCTTGACCAGCTGCCTCCAAGTTGCCGACGCCGTGGTCCCAGCTCGTGATGAACCCTTCCTGTGCCCCTCCCCTCAGATCAAGCTGGCGCTGCTGGAGGTCGTGTGGAGCGAGGAGATCGAGGCGACGGCCCTGCACACCTTGCTGCTGCTGGCACACTCTATCCCGCAGCGCTCGCCCTCCAGGGAGAGCCTGCACATCTCAGGGCAGCCCTGAGTTTTCCATGCTCAGCCTTCATTACTCTCAATGCAGCACTCAATAATGCATTTTATTGCCGATTCTTCCTTGTTTACCTCTGGATTTTTGGCCGAGAGAATCTTCAGCCTGATGATGACTTTGACTGGAGGGCGGGGTGCGCGCGCGATTCCTCGTCTCGGGGTGCGCCTACGACATGCTTCCTTGTGTATAATGCGGCACTCAATTGAAACAAGCCAGACGCTTAGGATCTAAAAATATGTCGTCAAACACGTGAACCGTGTTGCCACACCCCAATGGTGGGCAGTTCCGTCCCGGAGCCTGGGCCGATGGTGGACCCGGAACCATTGGAGGAGTTGCTGGGCCGTTGCGAGCGGCACCTCATTCTCAATGAGTTCTCTGAAGCCGAGAGACTCTCTAGAGAGGTGCTGCAGCGCACTATGTACAATCCAGGTGAGGCGACTGGCAAGCCTCCGGGTCCGAGGGGTTGCGTTTCTGGTGTATGTCCAGGAAGTGCACGTGCTTTAAGTCGCTGGGCAGCAGCACCTCGTGACGTCTTCCATGCTGTCATGTCGTACATGGTCAGGAGATGCGGAGGATAGAGCTGCCGTGGTGCTTATCCAGGCCCTGTACGAGACAAAGAGGTGAATAATGTGATGGGGTGCCAGTTGGTCACTCAGTAGCTGCTGCCTGAGCCATGCAGGGTGAGGGGATCCATCCTCACACCCTTTTGCAGTTTGGTAGTCAGACCCTGAGCCAAGGCAGCAGCCTTGGCTTGGCTTGGCATGGCTGCTGCTGACCATTCAGTACCCACCCACCCACCCACCCCAACACACACACCCATGCACGCCCAGGTTTGGCTCGGTCAAGTCAGAGCTGCAGGCCCTGTTTGGGCGGCTCACCTCCACCCCCGCCGCCTCCCTGCTCCTCTACCTCTCCCTGGCCCTGGACTTTGCCGACCGCCGGCTGGAGGCGCAGCAGGTGACCCTGGACCTGCTGGCCACGCGGTCGCCGGCGGGCTCCTCGCCCTGGTCGCGCCGGCAATACGCCGCGCTGCTCCACCTTTACGTATTCGAGGTCCTGCTTCCCGAGCTGCACGAGCCCGCCCAGGCCGCGCGCTGGCTCCGGGAGTCGGCGCTCCCAATCCCCGCCGCCCTGCGCGCCAGCCTGGCCGCCGAGTTGGAGGCCGCCTTCCCGCCGGGGGAGGCCGCGCCGCCGCTCACCGGCAGCTGCGCTGCCGTCAGCGCCCTGCGCGCCGGCTCCACGGCGCGCGGCGCGGTGCCCCGCCCTGGCGCCTCGGGCGGGCTGGGCGACGCGCTGGGTGACGCGCTGGGCGACGCGCTGGGCGCGCTGGGTGCGGGGGACGGCGGGTCCAGCGCCTCCGCCTCCGCCTCGCCTGCCTCCGCCTCGCCCGGGCCGCGCGCGGGCCTGGGCGGCGCGGCCGAGGAGTGGCTGGGCCAGGGGCTGCGCGGCTGGCGCCAGGCGGGCGCCGCAGCCCTGGCCTCCATCTCCGGCACCGGCGGAGCGGGGGCGCAGGCGGGGGAGGGCGCCGCGGCGCGCGACCCCGGCGAGGCCGCCCCGTCGCATGACGCGGGTGCCGCGTACCTGGCCAGCGGTGCGCTGCTCCTGCTCCTGGGTTACGCCGTGCTGCTGCGCCGGCGCCAGGTGGCGGCGGGGGCGCAGGGCGCGCTGCGCGCGCTGGGCGACGTCCTGCGCATGGGCCTGCAGCTGTCGCCAGGGTCCATCCCGCGCTAAACAGTCTGGGTTCGACATGCAGGGGCGCGGGCGTGTGACTGTGTGTGTGTAAGTGTGCAAGTTGGTGATGGGCCTGCCGCCCAGGCCAGCCAGATTTTGGCGACCGCATGGCCTTGCTCTGCCAATCCGAGACAATCTCGATTAGCGTGCCCCCTCCCTTGTTGTAGCTCATACTGCCAGAGAAGAGGGGTGTAGCTGAGGTGCGCGTCCAAGTTGCAGGGGCTTGGATGGAGAAACTGTCGAGATTTAATTGTGAGCTGAGCCACACAGGAAGATGCCCTTGTGAGGAGCGCCCAACCAGCCTAGGTCAACCCTGAACAAGACCTTGACATACCCCTAAGAATGCTACTGTGGTCTACCCATTGCAAGCATCGGATTTGAAGAGTTATTGGGGTTTGTCGGCTGTTGTGGGGTTGAGAACCGCCCACCCAGTGACAAATGTAGAAGCATCACGCTCATGAGAAGCAGGACACTTGGGTGACTACAGATAACACGCCACACGCGGTAACTGCCAGCCAAAGCATCACATCGACAGCTTTACAGAGCTTCACTGCTGCCATTCAGTCATTGAGTTGCGATTTTAGTCAGCTCAGCGCTAAAGTTCTGACGGGCCAAAGACAACAAGGGCGGCGGGCCGTCACAGATCATTTCCCGCATGATCAATGTCGGGAGGGGCATCCTGTATGCCATCTTAACATTATCATCTACACGTAGGACCAGGTGAGGATGCTCTCAACCCGAAAAAGGGCCGATCTTGCACGACCGGGCTGTCGTGCCAACATCGACATTGCCCGGCAAGCCAATCTCGGATGAAAGATCTTGCCGGCATGCGCGGCACCCACGGAACGCTCCGCTGGGCTCAAACTTGCAATATCGAGGGGATGATGCTCCTCTTTGCGGTGCTGAATGATCCAGCCTCTGATGTGATATCCAGATGGCTGGACGATGACCCTTCGTCTGCACGCCTCGACAGTACACAGGCCCCAGGCAGTAAAATCCGACAGCCCCCAGCCAGCGCGACCCCTTGGATGCCATGCACGGCAAGCACCCTGCTCCTTCAGCCTGAGAAGTCATGGCGCCGTTGTTCCAGGGCCCGAGACTGGGAATGCCAGAGCAAGCACGCGCCACCCGCTCCCGGTGCTGGCAGCCCGGAGTGAGGACCTTTGGTCCATTGCCGACATGCATGCCTCCGTATTCCACACCCAGAAGCGTCTGTGGTGGCCCCTCCTGAAGCTAGAGATGGTCCTGGGTCTCCACATATGTAGGTCTAGCACTAGGGAAGGGGAAGCGCAAGGAGTGGGTGGGCCTGCCTGGCCGCTGGTGGTTGTGCCTGCAGCCATCGTGATACCAGGAGCACAAGGCATCCTCACCCCAGGCTGTGCGCCCTGCGCTGCCTTTATCGACATCTGACCCCTGCTAGTTACGTCATGCCCTTCTTCTGCGCAGCCTGCCTGCCAGAGGCCCAGGAGCAGTTTGGACGGTACTGCTGCCTCTTCATGACCGAGCCCAGTCCCCGGTCGAGGTCGCACACCTTGACGCCCCTGCTCAGCCGGCTCCTGCCGGCGCCCGTCCGTGAGGACAGCGCCGTCAGCCATGAAGTCCTCGGCGTCGTGGTGATCGACGCCACCGGCGTCAACCTCCCGCCGCGCAGACCCCGCCCGGGGGCGCAGAGGTGCGGTTTCTTGGGGGGGGCCACACCGAGCATGATTACAGCATTAAGCACCTGACCTCATTCCATCAGCGTTGCCCACACAACCATCGCAGGAAGGTGGCCCGCAAGCACATGGCCTACCTCTCCAACCTGGCGGTGATGAAGGACCGCCGGCGGTCAGGCCTGGGCATGCTGCTGGTGGCCGCCGGAGAGGAACGGGCCCGCGCCTGGGGCTGCCGCAGCATGGCGCTGCATGTGGAGGCGGGCAACCTGCAGGCCCTGGCCCTGTACACGCGCGCAGGGTACCGCAGGGTGGGCACCCAGCCGCGGTGGCAGGCGCTGCTGGAGCTGCGACGGGAACCGCTGGTCCTGCTCATGAAGAGGCTGCCGCCCCAAGACAGGCCATGAGGAGCTGCGCTGGGGGGTTCGCATCCCCGGCCACAACGAGCTGGGACGCCGCAGGTTATGGACTGATACTAGGTGGTTTACGTGGACATTTTGTAGCAGTTCCCAGATGTATCATTTCACGGCCTCCCGCCTCTAGGCGGTAATGTTACTTGAGGCCAGATTTCTGGCACCTTGGGCGCCCTCGAGGCGAGCAAGGAATTCAAAAGACCTCATCCTGATAGACTTGTACACTACAAAACAAAATGCCGAACGCAACTATTTCAAGTCCTTGTGGTGTGGCGGTATTCCGCCCTTACTGATGGTGCGGCTCGTTGGACAGGTTCGGCCGAGGCATCCAGGTCAAGATTTAAGCAATACAGTCATGCCAAATCGGGACTTTCCAATATGTAACATTCAGAGAAAATATGGATGGGAGGGGGGGTCAGAATGGACTTCGCTAGGTTGGTGAATTGTAACAAGATAGTCTTGAGGCCACCAGCCCTTCAACCATGAGGTTGATTGTCCTACTCATCATAAGTTGAACCCCTGGCGAGCAAGCCCGCGCAGAGTGGAAGGATGGTGCGCCAGGCCCGGCGCCGCTTCTTGTGGGTTGCTCGACTACCCCCACTTCCTTGCTTTCCAGCGCAGCAGCAACACAATGCACGTCGGGGCGCGACACACATCCAAGGATCCCAGAAGAAAGTATCTTCCAAAACCACCAGTACCACGGTCCCCACAAACGAACCATGCACTGCACCTCTGGAAGGAACCAGGGTTGAAGTGAGCATTCTGGACCGTCTGGTGTTTGCGACACCCGGAGTCCGTGTCGGTAAGGCGGGTGGTGTGGCACATGTTGTCACTCCGTGCGCTTCCGGTGCATGCGGGCAGTGCCTGTCGCTTGGTGGGCTGTGAGAAGTGTTCTAGATCCCTGATCTGGACCAGCGAGGCCCTCCCCCTGTCCCACGACCCCCAGATAACAGCGCCCGCTGCTGTCGTCGGGCAGACCCGGCCCGGGCCCTTGCCCAGTACAGGAGCGTGAATTTGGACGCCTTAAAGGCCAGCCACTGTTTGGAGAGCTGCGGCCCCAAGCGTCGGCCATGCCGGGTGTGAGACTCAAGAACCCCACCGTGGGCAACCCGCCTGCAAGTCCTCCCCGAACCCGCACCTGCCGCCATGCCCGCGTGGTCCGGGCGTGCCACGCCGCCCCCGACAGCGGTGGGAGGCACCGCGACCCGTTCCCACGCACGAGCATCCCAGGCAGCACCCATGCCCCGCCCCAGAAGGCGCGGGAGGTCGGCGCCGGAGTGGACAATTCTGTCGACCAGGCCCCTGCCGCTGCGCAGGCTGCGCTGACGCCGGCCACTGCGTCGGATCTGGAGGAGGACGCGGACTGGCAGGACTGGAAGGCAGTCATGGCCCGCACGCACTCCCTGGTGAGGAGCATGGGGATGGGGTGTGTGGTGGTGCCAGGGTCTGTATGATTGGCTGGTCCCTCCCCCCTATTCTCGCCCGCAACCCCCCGCCCTGGTTCCCGCATCATCACCCACCCTCTCACAGCTCCCCTCATCAACCCTACCAACGCCACCACAGGCCGAGGCACACGAAGAGGCGTGCGCCGCGCTGGACAGCTCGGTGGCCCTGGACGCCTACGCGGCAGCCGCCGCGCTGCGCGACCGCCTGGCCGGCATCCGCGCGCAGGACTGCCTGGGCGAGGCGCTGGCCGAGCTGGACCGCGCGGTGGCGGCGGAGCGGTACGCCGCCGCCGCCTCGCTGCGCGACATGGCCTGGGCGGGCCTGCCCGGCTGGTGGTCGGGGCGCGGCGACCGCGGCGACGTGGCGGGGCACCTCATCCGCGTCAGCCGGCGGTACGGGCACTATGCCGCGCACGCCTTCTCGGGCCGCGACCTGGCCGCCGCGCTGGGCTGGGCCCCGGACGCGGTGTTTGAGTACGTGAGCCTGGGCGGCGGGGACGAGGATGGTGGCGCGGGCGAGGCCGACCCGGGCGCGCAGGCTGTGCTGGAGATGCACTTCCGCCGCGGGGCGGGCGGCGCACTGGAGGCGCAGGCCGTGGCGGTGCTGGGGCCCGCGGAGGCCGAGGAGGTGGAAAGCGCGGACGGCGACGAGCTGGCCGAGGTGGTGGTGGCGGTGCAGGGCGTGGAGGTGCTGGACAGCGATGACGAGACGGAGGAGGTGGAGAGCGAGGAGGACGACGAGGAGGAGGAGGGCCTGGAGGTGGGCGGCCTGCTGCGCCGCACCGACGACGGCTCGCGCGCGCGGCACGCGGGCGGCGACGACGGGGCTGAGGACGGAGCCGAGGACGACGACGACGAGGAGGAGGCGGCGGCGCTGGGCTTCGCGGCGCCCGGCTCGCGCGCGCAGCTGGTGCGCGCGCTCGAGCGCCTGCTGACGCTGGAGGCGGGCCTGCCTCGGGGAGCGTCGGACGAGGAGGAGGAGGACGACGACGCCGCGTCCAGCGACGCCCCCGCGGATGCGCCCGCCCCCGCCCCTATGCCCGACCCCTCGGGCGCGGGGCGCCAGGCCAGCCGCTTCGCGGAGCTGGCGGCGATGTTGGACATGGTGCGGCGCGAGCGGGAGCGCGGCGGCGGCGGCGCCGCCGGGCCCGACGCGCGCCGGCCGTCGGCGGGGCACCTGGCGCGCCTCGTGGCCTCGCTCCGCGGCGCGGTAGGCGACCTGGCCGGCGGCGCCTGGCGCGGCGGCGGTCCCGGCGGGCGCGGCGCGCGCTCCTACTGGGCCGCGGCGGCGGCGGCGGCGGACGGCGACGGCGCGCCCGCGCCACCCGCGCGCGACGGGGTGGACAGCGCGTCTACGGTGGCCGAGCCGGGGCCAGGCGCGCGCGCCGGCGCCGCGCCGGCCACGCCGCCCTGCGTCCCCGCCGCGCTGGAATGGCACGGCCGCGACGCCTTCTCGGTGTCGGTCAAGCCGCGCCAGGTGGAGGCGGCGCTGGCGCTCTGGCGCCGCGAGGCGAGGGGCGGCGGCGGCGGCGCTGTCGTGGGGGGTGTCGACGCCGACGCAGCGGAGAGTGCGGATGCCAAGGCTGACGCGAAGCCGGCGGCGGGCGAGACCGGCGACGCCCTCGGCTCGGCCGTGAGCGCCGGTCGGACGACGGCGACGGCCGCGCCGCCGGCCGACGTCGACATCCTGGGCCCGGGCGCGGCGGCGAGGGCCGGCAGCGGTGCGGGCGCGGAGCTGCCGCCCGCCCCACCGCCCACCTGGGAGAACGCAGACGAGGTGCGGTGTCGGTGTGTGTGGGGAGGGCGTTGGAAGTGGGTGTTGCAGCGGGGAGAGTAGTGGGGTGTCGAGGGTGGGGCGGTGCTGCAGGCTGGAGCGAGGTCGGCGTTCGGGCTGGAGGGAGGGCGTGCTGGCGCACAGCGGGGCCGGGCGGCTGGAGCCCGAGGCGGCGGCGCTGGCCGCCGGGCCCGCTCCATGTGCTGTTGGGCCCCGCGCGCGGATGTGCGGACCCAGCCCCACTTCTCCATGCGCACGCACGCTTGCACGAGCACTCACACGAGCACTCACAGTGAGAGGCTCGATCCCACCCCCCCAGGCCGAGGCCGCGCTGCGCACGACGGGGGCCATGGAGCAGGTGCTCAAGGCGGTGGCCAAGCAGCTGGAGGGCGCCGTGGACGGCGTGGACGGCGAGGTTTGGTCCGCGCTGCAGTCGGCGCTGGCGGCGGTGGCGGCCAAGCGCGAGCGCGACGCGCGCGCGCTGCGCGCGCTGCGCTACAACATCCCCGTCCACGCCGAGGTGGGTCCGGTGAGCGGCCCGCAGTCGGGCGGCGCGCGGCGCGGCGCGGAGGGGGCGCGGGGCGGGGCGGCCCCCGCCGCACCCTCGGCGGCGCCCCCGCGCGCGCCGCGCGCCGAGCCGGAGCTGCAGGACCGCGTGAGCTTCCGGCGCATCCGCGCGCCGCGCGGCGACGCGCTGGCCGGCGTCTACCTGGGCCAGTTCGGGCCGCATGGGCCCGAGGTGGTGCAGCTGGCGCGCAGCCGCCGCGACGGCGACGAGTGGGTGCACGCCACCAAGATCACGGGCGACCGCAACGTGCCGGCAGGGGAGCTCTCGTTCAAGGCGCGCGTGGGGCGGGAACACCGCCTGCCCACCGCCGTGGAGGGCTACCCGCCGGAGCTGGGGGTGACCGCACGCTACGCTGGCCGCGGCCGCGTCGCCGAGCCGGTGAGTGAGACACGATTGGGGGCCCCCCGTTCGTTGTGGCCCGGGACTTTTGTTGGGGTCACGGCTTGCCTTGGAGTGTCCAGGGGTGGGTCAGGAGCGACAGGGAGCACATCCAAGCACGGGCCTGCATGATCGGCCCAGCGCCGGTACCCTTGGTCCTACCCTTCACCCCCATCCTTGAAACCCTCGTCCCGATCTACCACCCCCCTCCCTCCGACGTCAGGGGTTCAAGAACCCGCGGTGGGTGAATGCCGAGCTGCTCCAGTTTGCGTCGGGCAACCCCATGACCCGTGGCGCGGAGCTGGGCATCGTCTTCAGCGTCTCCCGCACCCAGCGCTACCTCATCCTCTTCAACCGCGTGGACCTGGAGTCCCTGGAGGAGGACGCTTCCTCCCTGGGGCCCTGATGTTTTCGGCGACGCGCTTGCGGGGGCGGCCGCCGCCTTTGATTTTTTGGGAGCCTCGACGCTCCCCCCCTTTCTCGTTGCCGTTTCCCTGGGTCGCAAAGCCCGTTTCCCCTGTCACCCGCGTCGCGCCTGCTCCTGGTGCCGCCTGCACACTGATTTTGTCTACATGTACTCATCGACGTGAGTGTGTTTGAAGGGTCTGGGGATTCTTGAAAGGAGGGTGATGAGGCCGGGGGGGTTGCACCATTGTTAGTGCACGCCCATGCTCGCCGGGAAGAATCACACGCCAGCGGCCTCAGGCGGCACCATGCAGGGGCTGTACGCCCGGCCGCGCCGCCAGCTCTGCGTTGGCGGAGCTGACCTGGCGCGCCACCGCGGCGCCTAGCAGTCGCCGGGCCAGGGGGTGCAGCGCGGGCGGCCGCTCCAGCAGGGACAGGTCCAAGGAGGAAAGATCCACCACGTGCTGCAGGGCGGGGGCGGGCGAGGCGGCGGGTGCGGGGGTGGCGGGCTCCTTGGGAGCTGGGGCCGGCTCTGCAAGAGGATGGGTCGGTGAGCATGGAGGCGTGTCCGGCTGAAGGGAGTGTCGCTCAGCCTGCCCCACCGACCCTCAAGATCGCTTTGCGCATGCGACGGCCCCCCCCCGCCCATTGCGAGGACCATCCACGCACCGGAGGCCGCTTCGGCAGCCGTCCCTGCCTCCTCGCCCTTTGTGCTCCAGTAGTTTTGGGGGCGGGTGACCCGACGGGAGAAGGGGTCCAAGGTCTTGCTACCCTCGGCCTTGGTAGCACCACCAGGCCCCTCCAGCACCTTGTTCGAGACATTGTTCAGGGCATTCTGCGCCAGGGGGAGGCGCGGTGACGAGGTGACATCTTGGGTCGGCGATGGATGCCAGGGTACAGGCATGCTGCACGGCGGCAGGGGCGCCATTCCCCAAGGGTACCTGGCAAGCCTGCTGCCGTAGCACTCCACGTGGTGGGGAGAGCGCTTCTTTGATACAAACAAACATGCCCTCGGCCCCCTCCAGCCCCACCTGGAAGTTGATGTTCCTGTTCTTCTTGTTGATGTCCTCCATGCCCACACCCAGACCCCGTCGGGCCGAGGCCACCTCGATCCTCTCCTCCAACTCCTTGAGCTCCTTCTCAAGGCTGCGCCGATGTGTGTTTGCTGGGTGGGTGCTTCCATCGTGCCACAGCCTTGGCTCTCGGCCAGAGTCCGAGCCCTTCTGCCCACCGGCAATCCCTGCATCTCCTTGTCGGGAAGAAGGCCCCATCACTCATCCTGCAACCCCCCTCCCTGCCAGGCACCCGCGGCTCACTCTGCATGTCGGACGACGTCCCCCGCCTCTGCGGCCGCGTCCCTTTCCCGCTCCAGCCGCGCCCTCTCCAGGGCGGCATTCCGGGCGCCCTCGCCCTTGGCGCGCTTACGCTCCAAGACCGCCGCCACGTCGGCGGCGGTGTAGGTATACCTGTGTGTGTGTTTGGGTCGAGAAAGTAAAGCGTCGGCGCAGGGTCTGGACGATGCAGAGCATGTCTAGGAATCGCCCTGCGGCGGTGCGCGCAGCCGGATCGATTCGCCATGATGATCCTGCCGCCGCCGCCTGGACCTCTGCCACAATGCATCCTCGGCCTGGGCCTGCCTCGGGAACCCCACAGCCTGCAGCTCACGTCTCGGCGTCCTTGATGCGGCGGGCAACCTCGGCAACCTCCGTGCGCCCCAGCTGGGGCCGGCGGTCTGCGCTGCAGGCGCGCTGCCAGGCCTCGAATTCGGCCTCGCTGACAGCCGAGTTGGAGACCAGGGCCAGGGGCATGCCGCGCTCGCTGAAGCCGCGCGCCACCCGCAGCCAGGTGCTCGTCTTCTCTTGGTTCGGTCCGAAGGGGTAGGGGCTGCGCCAGGGCTGCCCAGAGTCCCTTCGGCGCCGGGTGGGAGTGCGTGTGTGGGTTGGCTCAGGGCCTGACGTACGGGTACAGGCTCAGAGGAATGAACCGCCGCCCAGAACTTGTTGGCAACCCTGCCGCTGAAATATTTCCCCCTTGCGAATGGGTTGCAACAACAGCCCTGGCAACTGCCTTTCCCATCCGCTGTCACAACTCCCTGTCCCAGGCAACCTCCCCTCCCGCCGCTCCCCTGTAATTCCCAACTGGCCCCCCCCCCCCACTGCGCTCACTTGTAGACTCCCGGGGCGCGCTCCTCGACGTCCACAACCTGCGCCAGCATGTAGTGGGGCCGCGCGATGCCGTCGGAGCATGTACGTGTACCCAGAGAGACGCGGACCTGAGCAAGAAAGGAGGAGGTGGAGGGGCAAGAGGGGAGGGGCGTGGGACCAAGCAGGCCGAGGGTGTGGAGAGGGTGGAGCGACGGTCACAGTGCAGCGGGGTGACGGGGGGTCCCTTGAGCTGTCACGGCGACCCCTGCTGGAAAAGGTCATGCAGCCCAGATGCCCCAGCCCTGGAAAATAACTCGCTCCACCCTCCTCGCTCCTCACCATGCAGCCGGGCATGGTGGCGGCAAAGAAGGGCTCCCCCAGCCACTTTTCGAGCTTGTAGCGAGGGACGATGACGCTGCACACGTCCTCAAAGGCGGCCTCGTCCTCCTCCTCCTCGTCCTCTTGCCGCGTTTTCCATCCACCCGCCGCGCCGTCCTCCTCCAGGTCTGGTGGGGGAGAGGAGAGCGTGGCGTGATGTTCTGTGGGTTGACACTGATGAGAATGACAGCAGGACCACTTCCTTTGTGTCGTCCAGCGGTAGACGACAGCCACCTGACCCAGCCTCGAGCCCGGCTGCCCCCCCATGCATACCTGACAGTGCCTCGTCCTCATCATCCGACGGCAGCCGCGCACGGCGGGGCGAAGGGGACCTGGAAAGGCTCTCGTCCCTCTCCGCCTCCTCGTCGGCAGCCGGGCCCCTGCTTGAGGATGAGAGGAGGGCGTGAGAAACTGGGCGGGACGGGATGATGCTGAACATGTACCCAATCTCTTCCTTGACCTCAAGATTGCACACAATATTTAAAGTTTCCCCAGGAGTCCATTCTCCCCTCCCTCAACTTGTTGGATCAGGAAGCTAGGGCGCCACCAGACTATCAACTGGAATCCCATCACAGCTCTGCGCCCCCTGCAACAACTCGACAAGATTCCTCAAACACACCTGCCCTCCGTCCGCGCCTTCCTGGCAGCCACCAGCTCCTGCATGGCCGTCTTCTTGGCGGCCTCCTCCCTCTCCTCCCGCCCGCTGCGCATGGACCGCCCCGCGCCCTCCCCCGCCAGCGTCTCGCCCCGACTCCGGGTCCCCGCCACTGTGGGCCCCGCCGGGACGGGGCCGTGCGCCGCCTCCTGGGCCGCCTTCCCCGTCTGCTTCAGCAGCTTGCGGCGCTGCACCTCCTGCTGCCGCCGCTCCGCACGCTCCGCCAGCTCGAACTCTCGCTCTAGCTCCGTCATCTGGGCTAGCCTGTACGTCGGGGGAGGCAAGCCAGGTGGAGATTTGGGGACATGGGCGAGCCAGCAACCCCTGCACCTGCACATTGCAGCTCAGATGTGATGTATAGGCCCCACAATGCACCATCTCGTAATGTCCTCTCCCAGATTAGATTCCAGCATGTGTGCGCACCGAGCGGCGTCAGCCTCGTCCTCCACAAGGTCGGCCTCGGTGAAGGCCACCGCCTCGTCGCCGCTGTCGTCCTCGCCTCGCGTCGAGGCATCGGCCTTCCTGGGACGAGGCTTGCTGCCGCGCCTGGGGAGGGGTGTGGAGGGAGATGGAACACAGAAGGGTTGAGCCAATGCCCCACTGGAGGAGCCTGCACTGCGAATCCATGCAACCCAGTCCATGGCCTGCGCCACACCCCTCACTTTGGGGCTGGAGCGGGCTCCTCCTCCTCATAGTCCATGTCCGACTCGTCTTCCGAGGAAAGCTCCTCATCGGAATCGGACAGGGCGAGTTTGCGAGCCCGCTTGCGACTGCTGCCCGCATCCGCCATCCCGACAAAACAGCGGCTGAATGAACGCGTTGGTATGGTGGATGCAAAACAGTCAACGTGCGTTGTGCACGACCGGGTAAAGCTGCGCGCCCAGGAGCCTGGTGAGCTCTCGGTGTCCGGTATGCGGGCGCGCGAGCACAACCTGGTGCTCCATCATGCCCCGGCGCATCCTTGCGACGAACCGTGTGGAATGCAGAGATCTCACCGCCCTTCACCTTCTTCTACATCATCACCAGCCTCGATGATAGCCCCGAGGGACATGCCGCGCCTCTCGGCTTGCCTGCACTTTGAACGAAAGTGATCCCTGGACTATGAGCGGACTGACGGGGGTGTGGGATCAACTGGTGGATGCTGTCTGTCGACCACCCCGTGATGACTCCTACACCGACGAGGACCTTGTGGGTGGGCAGCGGGCCTCCTTTCGCCTCGGCAAGGCCCGGTACTATCGCCAGGACCTGGAGGTGGGGGTGTGTCAAAGGGCCGGTGGGGAGCATGCCAGGCCAGTGGCTCAGCCACCTTGGCCCGGCCCCGTGGTGTTGGATGCGTGCATCGTGTACACTGCATTTCGCTTTGTTCAGAGGCTGATAGCGTGCCACCTGCATCTGCATTTTCAAGAGGATCCATGCACCGACACTCGCCTGAAGCTCCCCCGCCAAATCACCAGCCTGCCTGACCCCCCCCCGCCAGCTGCACAACGAGCGCGGCGAGCGCCTGCTGTGCAGCCACTTCCGGCCCTGCATCGTCGCTAGCAAGGACGGGCGCCTGCCGGTCGTGGTGTACTGCCACTGCAACTCGGGCAGCCGGCGCGACGCCGAGGAGATCATCTACCACTTCCTGCCCCGCCACGTCACCGTCTTCAGCCTGGACTTTTCGGTGCGCTGGGTGGGTGACACACTCTCAGTGGGCTGCATCCTTGGTCTGGGGTACAGGCGGGGCGGAGGTTGTCGTGGTAACAAGGAGCACCTCCCTGCCTGAGCGACAGGGGTCGTGCCCGGGCAGTCTCAGCCAATCTCCTTGCTTGGGAGACATCAACAGGTCGCTAGACAGGCCTCACCAGCGCTATCCAGATCGCGAGGCTCAGGGCTCCACCTTCCCAGGGCACCCACCAACCCCCTTTCGTCCCTATAATCTCGCGCCGACCTCCAGCTGCACCCCTGGAAACCCTCGTCTTGCACCAGACTGTCCATGCCTCCTCCCCTCTTCACACACCCTCAGGGCTCCGGCCGCTCCCAGGGCGAGTGGGTGACCCTGGGCGCGCGGGAGGTGGACGACGTGGCGACGGCGGTGCGCTATCTGCGCGACGAAGGCTCGGCCCTGACCATCGGCCTGTGGGGCCGCAGCATGGGCAGCGTGGCCTCCATGCTCTACGCGCGCGCCGACCCCTCCATCGCCGGCCTGGTGCTGGACTCGCCCTTTGCCAGGCTGCGCGACCTCATGCTGGAGCTGGGCTCCAGCGACGACAGCCTGCGCATGCCGCGCGCCATCGCCAAGGTCGCGCTGGCGGTGCTCAAGCGCTCCGTGCGCCGGCGGGCGGGGTTCAGCATCGACGACGTGGCGCCGGTGGAGGCGGTGCCCGCGGTCCAGTGCCCCGCGCTGTTTGGGCACGGCGCGGAGGACACCTTTGTCTCGGCGGAGCACAGCCGGCGGCTGGTGCGCGCCTACGGCGGCGAGGCGCGCCTCCGCCTCTTCGACGGCGACCACAACTCGGGTGCGCCAGGAGGCTGCTGGGAAATGTTTCTTCAGTGTGTGTGGTGGGGGGGGTCAAAGGTGTGGGGATGGGGGAGGACCGGATTGGTCGGGGTCGAAAGGCCAGCTAGGTGATGAGCAAGGCCATCGCAGCGGCAGGCCAGGCATCACAGGGCACGGCGACCTCGGCCACCCACTTCCAATCCTTGCAGTGCGGCCTGACGACTTCTACGAGGAGGCGGTTGGCTTCATGCTGAGCGCGCTGCGTGTGGAAGAGCTGCTGGGCTTTGATGTGTTCCTCATGGACCCTGCGGCTGCCGGCGCCGCGCTTTCCTCAGGCGCCGGCGCGCCCCGCGCCCGGCGGCTTGGGCGGGGCGGGGCGGCGGGGGGCGGGGGCCCCACGGCCGCCGCCGCCGAGCTGGCCGCGGACGAGGAGGACGACGCGCTGGCGGCCGCGCTGGCGCTGTCCATGCAGGAGCACCGGGCGGGGAGGTGCGTGCTGCTTTGAGTGCTCTATTTCGTGCGGGGCCAGCATGGTTATGGGGCCTATGTATTCGATGAGGGAGGGGCTGTGCGCCACAGTGGGTGTCTGAGGGTGGCGCTGGCGACAGAGGGCGCTGCACTGGGCCATGTTTGCATCCACGGCCATGCTGGCGGGCGAGCGTCCTTCCGGCCTCGTCATAATCCCACCTCCCTTCCCTCCTTTTTTGACTCCACCCAACCCCCCATCACTGCCCCCAGGGACGCGGGCGCGCTGCCACTCAGCGAGGAGGCCGAGCTGGCGCTGGCGGTGGAGCTGTCGCTGCAGACCTCGCTGCTGGTGCGCTGCACGGAGCCGGAGCCAGAGGACGAGCGGGGGGCCTCACCACCCACCTCCCCCGTAGCGCAGCGCAGCGCGGCGCAGCACGCGTACAAGGAGGAGGCCGCCGTGCGGGCGGTGGTGGGGTCCGGCGAGGGCGCGGCGGGCAGCCCGCCGCCACCCCCCAAGCAGGAGCATGTGGAGGACGGCCCTGGCTCAGCGGGGCCCCAGCAGGCTTCATGAATTTTTCTTGCAGATCCCAGAACCTTACTCCCTCTTTGCAACTTCCTTCGAAGGACTCGCCTTGTGCGCTCCCAAGTTAAAAGAATCGGCGTGTATGCAAGTGCAAGGGGATTCAAGTCAGGGGCCCGGTGAGGCCGGCCGCGCCGCCCTCGCCCGGTCAGGACCTCCCAGGTCCGCAGCGGGCAGACTTCCCCCCGTGTGTCCGGCGGGCAAGGCATTCGATGTGGGTACTGCAGGCGAGTCAGCCGGCGCGGGCCTGGCTGGCAGATTACCCGGCGCGGGAACTGCAGGCAAGTCACCCGGCGCGGGAACTGCAGGCAAGTCACCCGGCGCGGGAACTGCGGGCTCGCCCCCGCTGTCGTCGTCATCTACCTCCATGCTAAACATGGGGATGGCCGGCACGCCCCGCCTTCCGTGCCGCCGCGACCTCCTGCCGTGGCGGTGCCGCGCGCCCCGCTCCGCCATCTCCAGCGAGGAGGCCTGCCGGGCGGCGAGCGCGCCGGGGCTGCCATGCCACGCATCCCCCGCAAGCGCAGCGCCGGGCAGGGGGGCCGGGTCGGCGCCAGGGAGGGGCGCTGGGGCGGCGCCGGAGCCTGCCCGAGCTACCGCCCCCGCCCCCGCCCCCGCCCCGCCCCCCCAAGGGCGCCACCCTCCTCCGATTTGTCCTGGCGGCTGCGCCCGTCCTCATCCTCCTCAGCGTCGGAGGGCCCATCCACCACGCTGGCGGTGCACAGCGTGGTCCCGTCCGGCATGACCACGACGATGGGGGGTTTGATGGGCGCAGCGCGGACCGGACCCAGGCGGGGGGCCCCCCCCGGCTCGCCGACGCTGGACATGCGGGGGCTGGGGGGCAGTGCCGCCTGTGGCGCCCACCGCGCCGACAGCACGGCGCGGACGAGGGGCCAGCCGCGCGACTCGCGCGGCGTGGCGGCCGCGCGTCGGAACAGGATGACGCGGCGCCAGCAGCACATGATGACGATGAGGAGCACCACCAGGATGGCGGTAATGACCTGGCCCACGAGACCCAGCGAGAAGCTACCTGCAAGGTCGGGAAGGTTTGTGGGGGGGCACAGAGGCAAGGCTGAGACTCCGGGATGGATGGAGGGCAGCGTCGGGCTCGAGCCCGCCAGCGCAAGCGCCAGGGCTGGCATGCAGGTGGGATGGTGTGGGGGCGCCGGACAGGATTGCAGCCCCAAGAACCCTGGCACGGACCGGCCGGTCTCACCACGCCTGCAGTTGCTGGAGCTGCACTGCCAGCCGAGGTTGGAGCCGCGGGAGTAGATCTGTGCAGGGCAGGGATGAGATGACAGGGCAGATGGTCAGAGGGATGCAGGCGGCTGCAAGCAGGGGTGCGGTGGCGATGGACGCCCCCCTCTTTCCCGACGCACCCCACACCCTTCTCAAGAGCAAGGAGCGCAGTGCTCCTCCCGTCAACCGCCCCACCCAGACGCGTCGCACCATGAGGTCCACCCCAGAGCTCGACTGGAAAGGAGGAACGCCCCCGCAGATGCCACAGTTATATCGTACATCGAGCACCTCCAGGGATGACATCATGATCCAGGCATTTGGTAAGGGCCCGGTTAACTGATTACCACCTGGGCAAGCATCAGAGGAGGGAGGGAAGGCATGGGGTGGACTGCGGTGCCTGGGAGATTGTCGATTCCCGGCACCAGGCAGCAGGACACATGAGACGCCAGCCACCCGACACTGTGGTGCCCATCCTGTCATTTCCTTGCCCATCGAGTCACCGCCGCGCACCAAGCAAAAGCTGTGACAGGCTGCGAAGGGAGCCCCAGGAGTAAGGCAGGCCGCCTGATGAAAAGGGATGCGTTGGTATGAAATTGGGGATCGGTTGCAACAAGGCCATGCACTTTGAATACCATGCCCGCATGCCGACTACTGGGGACAGCTGAGCGTCGCCACTGACGCCTCGGCACCCAGTGCTCCCCACTGATACCCCGGCATCTTTCCCGGGCCTTTACTGCGCCCCCGCCCCGATGCAAGCCACCCACCTGCCAGGGCGTTGCTGCTCAGGTCCAGATTCTGTAGGCTGGACATCGAGGCCCAGCTGGGAGGCAGAGGTCCTGCAGGGGATTGAGATCAATGGGACACAGGAGGGGTCAGAGTAGGATTGCTGCAGCCTATGAGCAGGTCGAGGTACACCTCATACCCTGCGGCGGCCCCTTTGTACCCCCCCAACTCGCCTGAAAACCCAGAGGACGAGAGGTCTGCCACGGTCAGAGTGGACAGGTTGCCATAAGAAGCGGGGAGCCCACCCTCGAAAAAATTTGCAGCCAGGGAGAGGACCGAGAGACGCGGCATCAGGCCCAGGCCGTTTGGCAGCTGGCCCCCAAGCTGGTTCCCGGCCAGGAGGAGGCTGGAGAGGTCGGTGAGGTTGGCAATGAACCCCGGCAGAGGGCCCGAGATGCGGTTCCCCCGCATGTCCAGCTGCTGCAGCTTGGTCAGGTCGGTAATGCCGGACGGGATGGACCCCGTGATTCCCGCCGCCGCCTCGCCCGAGCTGTTGGGCAGGGCGATGCCAACCACCCGCCCGCGGAGGCAGGCGACTCCCTGCCAGGTGCAGGCCGGCGCTCCCGAGCCGGAGGAGCAGTTGGGCGAGGAGCAGGGTGGCGTGCCCTGCAACCAGGACGGCGGGAGCCCCTGCCAGGCGGCGATGAGGGCCGACATCCCGGCTGTTTGGGTGGGGTAGGGGGTGGGGTGGGGGTTGTTGTGGGAGGGGGTGAGGAAGGGGGCATCGTGCTGCCTGGGCAGGGGATGCCTGGCCACCATGGTCTGGAGCCATGTGTGGCCCAGGCAGGGGCCCCGAGCCCCCGGCCCAGTCAGCCCTCCCACCTTCATCCGAGTCCTCTCCAGCTTGCTGCGCCAGCGCCGGGAGGGGAAGCGCGGCGATGAGTAGAGCGAGGCATAGCAGGGTCCCCGGAATCCGGTGACCAGGCATGCAGGATGGGGAGGGCGTGGCCTCCGCCACGAGCCAGGCGCCGGGGGAGAGCCTGCGGGCCAGACTAAATCTATGACACTCCTGTGTGGTCGAGGTCGCACAGAATCTTGGCAGGGACCGTCGTGCGGGCACACAGTGCGCAAGGCGCGCTGCGGTTGAAAACCCCTGGTGCGGTGGCAGCCCTACCTGATCACAATCGTGGCTTGATGAAACTCCCTGCAAGAGAGACAAGAGGACGCATTACGAGGACTGAAATGTATGTCTGGTCAGGCATTTGTTTCGGAAGAGCTGCGACGAATGACAGTTCATCATATGAGGGAAGCTACCAGCGCATATTTCGCGAGAGGGCATCAAGCGACGTGCACCAACAGCGCATACATGCCAGGCAAACGTACGTCGCTCCCGACCTAAGACGATCGTACAAGCTTTTTATAATGACTGAAGCAATACGTAGGAAATATTTGGACACTCTTACTGGATCTGGACCCAATGATTGTGCAGTGGGGTGCCAGGCTGTGTGCCTGCACCTTCCAAGCGTGTCGGTCAGCATCGCAGGGGGTGGTGCGGCATCGAGCTCGTAGCATTCCGAGAAGGAGAACCCCACCAGCCCAGCATGAGGCTCAGCGAGCTCAACTCTGTGACCGACTCTGAACACAAGGCGAGTGGGTACACCGCCGCTGGGGCATGTTCAAGAGGCTGACACTGGCCTCAAGTTGGGAGTCCCTCTTCCCGTCCCTGTTCTGCTCGTCAGGCCTGTGAAGCGATTGCTGCCGAGCTCTGGAAGAAGGGGAGTCTACACAGTGTTGTGATTGCAAGGGAGTGAGTGCAAGAGGGCCCTCCTCCACACGGGGCTGTCAGATGGCATCAGGCGCAACACTGTCGTGCACGACCTGTCTCGAGCGGCAAGGGTCAAAAAGAATGGCAGAGGTTTCGGTTAAAAATCAAGCGCATGGGATGGTTGGCATGGTGGAGGTTGCATCTCGCCCCGTGGCACCCCAGTTGCCGGGCGCGCCAGCCTCACAAGCCCGCTGACAGGTAGGACGTCACCCGGCCCGGCGGCGCCCCCGCACAACCCTCCTCCAGGTCCGGGGCGTGGCGGCGCGACCCCAGCACCGCGACGTCCTCCGCCCCTTTCCCCCCTCGCCCGGAGCGCGCACGACGCCGTACCCGGGGCCCTCGGCCAGCGCCACGCCGCCGTCCGGCGCGAGGACCACGACCAGGGGGCGGACCGGCGCAGACCCCGGCGCGACCTTGACCTCCGCCGCCCAGCCCGGGCCCGAGCCCCGGCGTGGGTCCAGGCGCAGCGTGCGCCACGCCGCCGGCGGCGCGGCGGCCAGTGGCCACCCGTGTCGCGGCGGCGCGTCCGCATGCCGCGCCCCCAGCCGCGCCCCCAGCCGCGCGCGGAGCCGCCCGGCGCATGGCACGTAGCGCAGGCAGAGGATGGCCAGGGTGGGCAGGACGCCCGTCACCGCCACCAGCGTCAGCACCGAGGTCAGCACCACCGTTTGCGTGGAGATGCGCCCTGTGTGAGCGAGGGTGAGAGAGGGACGGGGGGTGATGAGAGAGGGGACGGCTTGTGTTGTAGGGGAGGGAGACCAAGGGGCCCGGAAGTAACAATGAAGAGGGAGCCACCCCTGGGCCGGCCTGCACGGTCTGCAGCGGGCGACGGCCTGAGACCAGGGCGGCGCAGCGGCGAGTCTAAGAATTGACGGCTGCGATGCAGGTCCCAGCCAGGCGGCGAGAGCGGCACCAGGCATGATTGAAAATCCATGCTCTGTCCCCCAAAATTAGGGACGCACCGCTGTGGACCCCTGCCCCGTCGCCGCCGTGGCAGTTGGCGGGGGAGCAGGGCTGCCCCAGCGCGGTCCCGGCCGCCTCGAGGTGCAACGAGGCCGGGGCTGCATGCGCCGGCAGGTCGCCGCAGATGCCGCAATTGTTGAACAGGCCCAGCAGGGTCAGGCGCGGCAGCGCCAGCCAGGCGGGCGGCAGCGTCCCCGTCAGCGCGTTCCCGCCCAGATCCAGGCTGCGCAGCGCGGCCAGGCGCCCCCAGTCCGCCGGCAGCGTGCCTGTCAGCGCGTTGCCGGCCAAGGCCACGCGTGCCAGGTTGCCAGCGTAGGCCCAGAAGGGCGGCAGGCGCCCGGTCAGCGCGTTGCCTCCCGCCAGCAGCGTCTGGAGTGCGGTCCGCCCGAGTGCGGCGGGCAGCGTCCCCGTCAGCGCGTTGCCGCCCAGGTCGAGGTACCGTAGCGCGCCCAGCGCGCCCAGCGCGTCGGGCACGCCACCCCACAGCGCGTTGGAGGACAGGTCCAGGCGGCGCAGGCCGCGGCAGCTGGCCCAGCGCGGGGCTCAGCGTGCCGGTGCAGCCGGCGGAGGGCAGGGCCAGGCCCACCACCGCCCAGGCCTCGCAGGCCACGCCGGGCCAGGCGCAGGCGGGGGACCCCGCTGCGCCGCAAGTGGCCGCGCTGCAGGGGTCCCCGCTCTCGTTCCAGGCGGGCACGGCGCAGGCCAGCTCGGCCCCGGCCTCCTGCAGGGCCAGCACTGGGCGGGAGAGGGGGTAGGGGTTCGTTTTGGGGGTAGGGGGAGAAGTGGGGCACTGTATGTTACAAGGGAGGCCACCCCCGGTTTTGGCAAGGTGGGCGGGGCACTGCATGGTGAGCCCCGCTGATAGACTCAGGGGATCGGCACTGACAGCGCTCCCTCTTGCTCTCACTGGCCACACAAACAGGGTGCAATCCCTGTAACATACCAGTGTCGGGGTCTGTCCTTGCATGGGCGGGGTTCCAGGACAAGACGAGGCCAGCCAGGAGGCACCAGGTCCCGAGGCTACCCTGCCCTGTGACGCGGTGCAGGGCCTGCTGAGGCATGAGACACAGCAAAACCTGATACGTCCGAGCTTCCTGATCCGGCCAGGATCCCTATGACATCTCGTGCCCTGCAGCAGGCATGCGGCGGGGTGCAGGCTTCCCCGCCTCACACGGCACCGGAGCTAGGGCTGGCCGGCCAGGTAAGTCGATTCAGTAAATACTGTATAATGTATAAGAGAGCAGGAATACGTTATCCTGTATCACATGAACATGCAGGTGCGATTCAGTGAGGGAGGCCGCACGCCCACGAAAGGCACGAGGAGGGTCAGGCGACCAGCGTCAATGCGGGAACCTACAAAAAATTCGTCATTACAAGCCTGCGACCACAGCAAGTTCATGCAAGCGTGCTGGGTACAATCCGTCCGACATGGAGCTCGGTGTCTATAGATCGTGACCGCGCCAGCACTGCCATGGAACCCGGATCGTGTTCTCCCAAAACTTTCACAACTCAGACAGGGGACCACGCAGCGTACAACGGGAAACAAGATTTCAAACGGGGAAATGGGCCCCGGACAGGGAAAGGAGACTTAGAAGTTTGGTCGGCATGAGGCAGGGTCAGGTGTGTGGGGGAGGGGGGCGATGCAGTGCCTCTTTGCTGGGAGTGTGGCTCCCCCCAGGGCTTGCTCCGCGGGCATGGCAGAGCATGCCCGCAGCGATCGAAAGAATTGGCCTCTCTTCTTTGGTCCATGGACGGCGGGGGGAGGGGGAGGGGGGGGGGTGGCGGTGCCACCCCAGGCCTCCTCAGTTCCTCAACCCCCGGTGCTGGTAGACCGGGAAGACCACGGGGTCCAGCGGGTCGCCGCCGGCCGTCGCTTCGTCGTCTGTTGTCGCCTCGTCGCGACGCAGTCCGTCGGAAATGCAGACCATGGACACGCGGGCACCTTCGGGCATGGCCACCTGGAACAGCTCCGCTGTGTGGAAGGGCGGGGTCTCCTGTGGCGCCCTGCGGGTCGGGGAGGGATACGCGCGGGGAGGGGTGGATGATCGGCGCCAGGCGCCACAGCTCCACACCCAGGCGCAGTGCAGGGGGGAGGGGGGGGAGGAGGCGCGTCCTCGCCCCCGCCACATGATGGGGTCCTGCGGCGGTCCGGGGATCTGAAGGCCACGCGAGGACACCCCGACTCACACCCACAGCAGAAACGAGCCCGCAAACCCGCTGCGCACCCCACTCACTTCTCAGCGTCGCCGGGATCGGCGCCGGCGCGCGCCGCGTCGACCCTCGCGGCGTGCTGCCTCAGCGATCGGCGGATGACGAAGATGGCGAGCGGGATGACCAACAGGAGGAAGAGGCCCAGCACACATGCCACGATGATGGGCGCCCACTGCCGCGCCCCGGCTGTGAGGGCGGGAAGGAAAGGGCGGCGGGGGCGGTGAACGGCAAGGGACACATGAGGGGGGCCCATGAGCGGCGGCAGTGAGAGGACACATGCCAGCTTGCTGCGTGCCTCTCCTCCACAGCAAAGAAAGAAAGCACACCCATCCCCCCCCCCCCACGCTCTCACCAGGCGGGTGGCAATCCACCGTGTCGCAGGACTGCCCTAGCCCCGTTCCGCTGGAGTCCAGCTGTAGAAGGGGGCGGAGTGCGGGTGTCGGGTGGGGCTGGCACAGATTGACACCTTCGCGAGCATGCAGGCAAGGAAGGGGCAGAGGCGAAGGGGCAGAGGCCCTGTGCCACGATGCTGGGATGCCACCGACCAACTCCCCCCTACCCTCCCGAACACTCCAACCCCGATCTCCATCCCGACCCGAGCGCCCACCTGGAAGTCCGGGCTGGGCGGATCCAGCGGCGGGCCGCAGAGGCCGCAGTTCCCGCTGACGTCCATGCGCGATAGGTTGCTCATCGCCTGCCAGCTGGTGGGGAAGGGGCCCAGGAGCTGGTTGCTGGCCAGGTGCACCATGCTCAGCCCCTGGAGCCTGAACCACTGCGGCGGCAGCCTCCCTGCATGGGCGGAGGGGCGCGGGGGGTGGTAGGGCGATGACGAGGGGCAGCGCCCCTCCAAGCCTCAGAGGTTGACTGCGCTGCCTCCCAGGCAGGCGCCGCACGATTACACGCTGGCCATTCCCCCAGCCCCTTTGCGAGAGACCACGCCGACACCCTGCGGCGTGCTCCACCCTCCCTCCTCATAATTAAACAAACCCTTCCTCGACCCCGCCCCTGCCTCCCCACCTGACAGCTGGTTGCCGTCCAGATCCAGCACCACGAGCGACTGGAGGCCGCCCCAGGCGTCTGGTAGGCTGCCCGACAGCTCGTTGGCAGAGAGCTGGAGCATGCGCAGGCTGCCGCACCCCGCCAGGGAGGGGGGCAGCTGCCCCGTCAGCCGGTTCTGCTGCAGGCCCAGGTACTGCAGCTGGTCCAGGGACCCCAGGGTCACGGGGATGCTGCCCGTCAGCTGGTTGAAGTTCAAGTCCAGGGACACCAGGCTGGCCAGGGCGCCGAGGCCGGGCGGGATGGTCCCGGTAAGGCCCAGACCCCTCAGCTGCAGCTGATGCAGCTGGGTGGCATTGGCCAGGGCGGCGGGGAGGGTCGGGGATCCGGGGCCGGGGCTGCCGGACCCAGAGAGGGTGATGCCCACTACCCTCCCGCCTGAGCAGGACACCCCCTGCCAGGCCGAGGGGCAGGGCTCCCGCGGGCATTCCACGCCGGAGCATGGGTCCAGGTTCTGCCTGTCCCAGGAAGACGGTATGTCGGTGAGGGTCGAAGCCAGGCTTTGAAGCGCGAGCACTGCGGAGGGGTGGAACGCCGGGAATGGGGGCCGTGGAGCGCTGGTATGAGGACGTGCCCGAAGCCCAGCGCCATCGCAGCGCTGCGTCGAGCGATCGCAGAACTTACCGTCGCCGGGATCCCCGATGGCGGTGACGTGCGTCATGCACATGGCCATGATCGTGGCGGCGATTGCCAGCCAGTGCGCGCTGGTCCAGCTCCTGCCGGGGTGGTGCGGCCCCTGTGGAAGGCTCATGCCGGGCCGCAGAGGCCCAGCGCCCGTCCTAAATATCATTATAATGAGCACTGGATCAGAGCTTCATACTGAGAAACACCTGCGCGCCACACCAGGGACGGATTAGTCGCCCCTAAAGCTGAGCGGCGTACGGAGCGCTCCACCCAATCGAGCCATTCTCGTGTGATGGAGCACCGGGCAGGGTAAACCCACGAAGCACAGGAGTATCCTAGACCTTTAGGGCACCTTATGGCTGCGCCTATCCCACCACGCCCCTTGAGCGATGACAGCACCGCAGGCGAGATTGGTCGACGTACGGTTTCCCGCCACGCTGAAGTTCTGTTTAGGACGGGTCGTACGACAGCACAGGACCACCTTCCAAGGGTGGGGTTGTACAGCACACGGACCCCTCCTTGAGTAAGAGGGAAATTGAGTACTGACAATGTGCGTCAATTCGATGCATGTGGCACTGCGCTGTGGGCAATTGATCCATACCATACAACCCTAGCGTGCGCCGTGGTTTCATCGGAGTGCAGTCACCCCTCCGAGGAATTGGTGTCACCGGAGACACTCACACCACTGGAACAGGCATGGGGCCGGATCAAACTGCGCAGAGGAATCAATGTGAAACAAATTCGACCCCTTTGTGTGGCTGGGTGAGCGGGTATCGACTCGATTTTCATGCGCGCTGTGGTAAAGCACGCGAGAGTTTCTGCCTCGTTTCTGCCTGATAGAGACCGGTATCATGGCTCGCAGCTTGCTTACAGTTTCAGAATGTCGTCAATGTCAAGCTCGACCCAAATTCTCCGGAACGGGGGCGCGAGGGTATGTGAAAGACCACGCAGCAGGCACCCCTGGGCACGTCCGCACGAAAGGGACACTCAAAAAATGTTCAGTGCAGCACTCCGGTGTACATCACCCTGAAGGTTTACCGGCCGACCTGGACGCGATGGCCCATTCCTTCTCATTCGGCATGATGACTATGATTGGACCGCTGGTTGATGTGGAGGCGGCCAGCGTCACATTTTCGCCGCCGCGTTTCCTGCACGTTTTGTGTTGTGTGAGTGTTTGTGTTTCCGAAAGTTTTGATGGTGGAATCTGGCGAGGTGCTGTGCGGCTGGAGCGGCACAGCTGAAGCAAGCCTGACAGGGTTTGGGAATGGGTCTCCTGCCTTCCAATGAATGCAAGTGCTGACATCCAGTCAACCAGGTGCCCCTGTCATGCAAAGCGTGCCTGCAGTCCCATCCCATCCTACGGGTGGCGCACCTGGGGTGGAGTTCCACAGCTCCAGCCTGCCGGTCCTCCACACCAGGCAGTGCTGGTGCGACGGGCGGAGCACGCTGTTTTCTGTAGCAGGTGCACAGGGCCACAGCCGTCGCAATGGCAGCCAGCGGCAGGAGGATGGCCAGGCAGAGCACACCTGCGCTTGACCCTGCAGGGCGGCGAGCAGCAGGGTCGGCTCGTGGAGATCACGTGCGCCCCCGATTCCCTGGGCACGCCGCAATACCCTCGAGGGTTGAGCGGAACAATGCTACCCCGCGGGCGCAGGCCAGTGACCGCTGGCACATCCTGAGGCTTCGTGGGGCGGACATTGTCCCGACTTCCATGCAAGGTCCCACGCGATGCCTCACCATGCGCGGCAGCAGGTGCGGCCGGCGTGGTGAGGACGGAAGCCAGTGCATCCTCCCGTTCGCTCGAGTCCTGTGGGTTTGGTGATGGTAGCATTGTCGTCCTGCGCTGTGGATAGGCCTCAGAAAAGGCACGAGCCGCACGTGCAAGGGGCAAGTGCAGGGCGTGACCCACCTTCTGGTGCTGAACAGTGCTCACACACACCAGGACAAGGCTGGGGGCCTCAGGCAAGGTGGGGCCGTCTGCGACCGGTGATTGCGTAGAATTTCAGGGTTTCGAGTGCTGCAGCTCCTCACTGCTGTGCCAGCGCCACACGCCTGGCAGGCGTGCATGCCACCGCAGGGACCTGGCCCACTCACCGACGGCCAAGGCTCCACAGTCCTCTTGCCAGCCTGCTGGGAGGGGTCCTGCAAATGGGGCATGACGGATGTCAGAAGCGTAGGATCAGGGGGGGTGCCCGAAACGCCATGGGCTCAGAGCCACAAGTACAAGCAGACGACCCATCAGGAACAGCCATGTCGGCAAGGGGCCAGTCCGGCACCCACCATCGATCCGGTTTCCCTGGAGCCACACGCGCTGAAGGTGGGGCAGGGAGGCCCAGGATTGAGGTATGGTGCCGCTCAGGTCGTTATGGGCCAGGTTTATGGTTGTCAGTTGCAAGGGCATGGCTGCCGGGAGGGGGCCGACCTGTGCAGGAGCATGGGCGGCGCCAGTGACGAGCGAGGGGAAGGTGGAAGGGGTAAGGGATGATTCACAGGGCTTCAAAGACAATACCTCGGCTTCCTTGGGTGCTCGACGTGGTGTCTATGCACTGCATTCAGACGCCTCAGGTCCGACATCCCTAAGTATATTTGCACAACAGGCGCTCCTTGCCAACCCCTCCCAGCGCACCAGCTCATTATTTCGCAGGTCCAGGACTCTGAGCTCGCTCAATGAGAACATGTTGGACGGAAATTGCATTCTCAAGCCTGCTCCTGGCAGAGTGAGCTCCACTACCTTGCCCTTCTCACAGGAGACCCCTGGCCAGGAACACTCCCCAACTCCGCACGTGGGCTGGGGACAAATCTTTGTACCCCGGCTCGAGAGACTCAACATCTGCATTAGGACACTTTCAGTACCTGCAAGACACAGAATTGGAAGGAGGTCTAGTGTGTCTCCATGGATAGTATTGAGCGAGCTCGCAAGCATGCTCGTATACCACGTACTTGGAGCGAAATGCTCGCGGTTGACATAGCTGCCGGAGACTTGACTTAGCTCGAACAGCGCTCCGACCAGGAGCGCCACGAGCCTTTGCATGGATGAAGTGGGACCACGTCGTACCAGAATACTGTGCATGATGGGTTTGGGGATCTCTTGTTTCCGCGTGCACGCGGGTCCATTCGACTGGGAAGGCAGAGCACTCAGCAGCCTCGCTGCGGGGTGAGACCACACAGGCTTACGCGGCAACCCCATGACGAGGTACCATGGAGCATCTCTCAGGACATTCAGACTCGCCAGACCATTGGAGCTCTGAATTCATTATTACCTGATTGGAAGGCGCCAAGCGGGCGGCTCTTTACCTCCCGACTTTATTCCTCGCTCCGACACCCCTCGGAAAGATCTCAGAGTCTAGACATCTTCCTCGATGTCCCCCAAAGCTCCCCCTCGAGACTAATCTGCACGCCCTCCTGTGCAATTTGAGACTTTCTCCGGCGACAATTGTGTGGCCACCCCCCGCAATATCCCAGTCAGGAATCCAGCGTGCCCCGATTCGCTCCCCATGTGGCTTCCTGCGGCTCCCCGGATCCGACGGCACCCGCTCGATCAACAGGCCGGTACCTCACGGTCATGTACGCTGCGACGGCGCGGCATGCCTGTGCCGCAGGCGCATACCGCATCAAGCTCAGTCTCGTTGAAGGGCACGGGAGGCAGGCATCACTCCCGGCCGACTCTGCACACGAGGACGCTGATGTTGTCCTCACTGCCACGCAGGTAGGCCTCCGTCGCCAGCTTGCGGGCCGCCACCTCTGGGCTGGTGGACTTCCGCGCCATCTTCGCGGCGTCCTCGTTGGACATGACATCCCAGAGGCCGTCGGAGCCGAGCACAACCCACGTCACGGCGTCTGTGGTGGGGAGGGGGTGGGGGGATGTTACCCAAGGCGGAGGGGACAACAGTCTGGCCGTGGCGCGGCAAGGGGGGAGGGTCGTAGGGGGGCACCGCCCCGATAAATTGCCTGGCCACACCTGCCTTCCTGGAGGGGCACCAACCCTCAGCACCCCAACCCCATCCCATTAACCAGGTCATGCTGGACAGCAGGGTCGCCAGGCTCACCCTCGCTGAGGATGTCCTCCCGGATCTCAGGGTGCGGGATGATGAACTCCTTCATCAGCCGGTTGCCAAAGGAGCGCGACACGGCCAGCACGCCACCCACCCGCCAGGTGCCTGCCCAGACGACGCTGCCACCCGAGCCCTCTATCCGAATCTTCTCGTCAGAGCGGTTGGGCTTGTGATCACGCGACAGCATGACAGCTGCGCCGCGAAAGGGAGGTGGGGGTGGGGACGTTTGGAGGATGGGGATGGGTGGGGGGGTGGACACTGGAAATGCACGGGAGCGCAAGTACCAGAGGGCATGGGTCCAGGTGCGGTGCCGTCAGATAATAGCCTACACATCCAGACACCCCTCTGCACCAAACAATTCCTGAGAGCACCCACCTTGCCGACCGTCGTGCATGACTGCCCTCGAGTCACCCACATGCGCCGTGATCAATCGCTGACCCACTACCATGCTGAACAGCTGGAAAGGAGGAGGGGGAGCGGACAAAGTCGGATCCCTTGCTGAGAAGCAGAGCTCCAGGTCCCAGCCTGCAGGCCCAGCGGGATGACAACGAAGAACCACCCTGCCAGGGCACAATTGCGCCGAGAGGAGGCCACCCCTCATTCCAGCCCTTGGTCCCAGTGCTTGGCACTCAGAACCCCATTCCCCCCTTCCCAAGCTCTCACTGCGGTCGTGCCGTCGTCGTTTGTGATGTGCTTGTCATCCTTCAGGTACCTCTGGTCAGTGTTGATGAACCCCTCCTCTGTTGAAGAGGCAGGATGGTGAAATTGGCACAGTGAACAGCTGCGGGCAGTCCTGCAGTCCAAGCGGTAAATGCAAGTCCCAAGGCTCGTTCCAGAAACCCTGGAACGCACATCAACGCCCTCACATCCACGCGACTCACCCACTGCCTTGAAGAGGTCGCTATGAAAACTGTCGTGGTTCAGTATGTTGTGGGGCAGGTTGTCACACACGTAGGCGGAGGCGGCAGGGCCCCCATGACCTGCCAGGGGGAAAGTGGGTTTACGGATAGCTAACCGGTGCTGGGGGTGCCGTGGCACACAGCAGCCTTGTAGAGGGGCACACTCGTCCCTGCTCCATCTCAAAGTCCCCTACAGAGCGCCCCTCTCACCGTCGAAGACCCCAAAACAGCCCACTTCCGTGCCATCCTTGTTGAGAAACTCGCAGAACACACAGTCCTCCTGTGTGGACCGCTTCCCTTGCATGCTGGCCCAGCCGGCCTGGACCTGGTTGTCGGACCTGAGGTGCGGGGCAGGGGCGGGCCTTCCTGGGACGGGATGGGGCGAAAACCCTTCCAAAGTATGGAGGGGCCCATACCTCGGCGGGTCCCGAACCCACGGCATCGCACCTTGCGACGCTCCCGGACTTGAGTCCATACTTCCTTTCGAGCTTATCTTGGACCTTGGTTTGGGAGCATTTGGCCTCGAACATCTGTTTGAAGGCCTCCATCCCACCCGGTCCGTGTCGGACACCGACCCAGGGGAGAACTACCGTGGCGTCGCAGCAGGTGCCGTCTTCATCTCACGCCCGCTAGATCAAACTGTCGAAGGATTTTGCGTCGGCCGCCCGACATTGCCCGAGAATAGGCAGTGCAGTTCCGTCCCATCTTGGCTGACGTCAGCATCCCTGGTTTCGTGAGCCGGTTGCGAGCTGGTTCGGCCCTCCTCCAAGGTCCCCTGGGGCCGACCAAGGCTGTCACAAGAGCGGGGAGGTTCCTGGTGCATTTGCCAGTCCACCCTCGAGGGATGTCAGCTAGATCAATCAAGACCATCCAAACCCCGAGGGAAATGCAACGGGCTGGAGGTCCGCAAGGAGAGGCACAGCAAGGGGCAAGCGCAACCGAGGTACACGGAGAGGAGCAAGGGGCAGGCAACAAGGCGACAATAAATGCTGGTCCTGGTGAGGCAAGAGAGCAGGGGGCGGCAAGGCGGAGCAGCGACTGGATCAAGATGTCGACCCCAGTGGGTCGGCGGCTGGGGGCCCACAGTGATCGCCGGGCATGTGCTTGCCCTCGAGGGAGACAGATTGGCAAAGGGGCAAGGGTCCAGAGGGATGTGAGGGCCCGGCCGCGAGAGCGCCGCGCCCAGCATGGGTCCACGGCACTTGGGCGACGCCGCTGTTGAGCTCCAGCAGACGCGCCAGACTCCCGGTGTTGGACAGGGCGGGTGGGGTGCCCCCCAGCGACGCCAGGCCCACACCATCCCTCCGTCCCTCTCACCCCCCTCCGCACCTCCAGCGGCTCAGTGGGAGGTCTTGCCGCAGACGCCGCCAAACACCCAGAGGGCGTGGTGCAGGAAGGCGTGCCAGGTCATGGTCCCACCCTGGAGCAGCAGGATGGCGGTGGAGATGCCCATGGCTGCGGCCATGATCCAGACGATGAGGGCGCGGGAGCCCGACTTGGCGCTGAGCCAGAAGACCAGGCCCTGGCCCAGGGCTGTGAACACGAGACCCAAGGCGGCCAGGGCCAGGCCGTAGTCCAGGGGCACGGCGCCGAGGGAGACGAACACCACCGAGGCGGAGACGGAGGTGAAGAGGATCATGGTGGCGGAGGTGGCGGCGGTGACGTCCGGCAGCACGCCCATCTCCAGCATGAGCGGCCCCTTGACGATGCCGCCGCCCACGCCAAACACGCCGGCCGCCAGGCCCGCAAAGGTGCACAGCGCGGGGAAGAGGAGGGTACTGCGCGCGTCCCACTGCACGTCGCCCTCCTGGTACTGGTGCCCTCGCGCGGCCAGGCGCTCCGCGCGGCGCAGGAGGTAGGCCCTCGCCGCCAGCATGACGGTGAGGGTGAGGGGGAGCAGCGCGCCCACCACCGCCCAGTAGGCGGGGGAGGGGCAGCGGAAGCGGGTCTTGGCCAGGTCCGAGGCCACCACGCAGGCCAGCATGAGGAAGAGCACGGCCAGCTTCAGGCCGGGGACCTCCACGCGGTAGTGCGCCAGTGCGCGGCGGGCCAGGCGCTTGACGCGCTCGCGCCGGCGTGGGCGCTGCGCCGGCGGCAGCAGCGGGGCGCTCGCGCCGTCGGTCGCCGCCAGGTCGGCGGCCGAGGGCGCGGCAGACGTCGGGGCCGAGCCGTCGCTGGCCGACCCGCCGTCCTCCGCCGCCACCGCCGCGGCCGCCACCGAGTCATGCAGGTCGCCGCCGCCGGCGTCTAGCTCGGCGTGCGCGGCGCGGAGGGCCCTGTCGGCCTTGGCGTCCCGCGCCGACAACGAGCGTGCCTTGACCACCAGCTTGTAGGTGATGAAGGTGAGGAGCAGGCCCAGGCTGATGGTGGTCAGCCAGGGAGGCAGCACATGCTGCGGGGATTGGGGTGGGGGGTGGGGGGGTGGGAAGGGGTCAGAAGGATGCTCTATATCGGAGGTGGGGCCAAGGACGCTGAGGAAACGGCAGCCTGGTTTGGCGTCAGAGCCAGCCGGTCCATCACCACATCACCCCCGACCATCCTCCTCACGTTGACATAGGTGCCGAGGATGGCGCCCAGGATGGTGGACGGTTCCATGACCAGGATGAGGTCCCAGTCGATGAGCGGCGCGTCGCGGAGCGGGTGCCGCCGCCCGATGTTGATGGCCAGGTTGGTTAGGGTGCCCCCCACGATGGTCACATTGGACAGCGCCACCGCGCTGTAGGTGTCAAACCCTGGTGAGACAGGAATGGGACGGGGGGAGGAGAGCGTTGGGAAATGAAGGCTGGGTGCAGGGCAGGTTCAATGGGCAGGAGTGTCGAGAATGTGGGACACTTGTCATGGAGCCATGAGCGGGAGTGCTGTCCACCCCCGCTCATGGGCCTCAACAACAGAAGCTCACTCAGAACGATGAGGTACAATGGCACCAGGATGCCGCCGCCGCCCAGGCCGCCAGATGCCGCCAGGGCCAGGGCCAGGGAGGCCAGGGTCAGGCCGATGATGTCACGTAGGTTCAGTGGGAAGAGGTCCTTGTGGGGGTCCCGCCGGTGGAACGGGGCCGTAAGGCCCAAGGGGCCCTCCTCCCCGAACAGGGGGGCTGGGCACAGGGCGCCCCCCAGGAAACAGAGTGTCATGTCGGAGGTGTGCAGGCCACGAGCGCAGGGCTGCCATTCATGGGGGGCGTCCAGGTCGAGGAGGTCTGCACTGGCGTTCAGCGACGGGGCCAGCCTGGCAGCCACCCCAGCCCAGGTTGAGGCTGCCAGGAGACACACCAGACACGACCGCCATGGCGTCCCATGACTGCCCATCACTCGGTCGAGGAGGGTTTGGGGGATGAGACCCCTGCCAGCGGCTTGCGCTGCCGCTCGGGTGGGTGACTAGGGTTGCTCCCAGAGACGGTGGCACTGGCCTGCTCGAGGGATGCAGAAGAGGACAAGGCGAATGCATGGACAGTCACAGTTAAATCTAGATACTTGCGTGGATGGATATGACTCGCAATTGGACGGCAGTCATCACGCTCGTGTGCCAGCAAATTGCATTTGTGCCGACCAATGCGATGGGCATTCCCGTACAGCGCGCTGACGTCGATGTCAGCGAGTTGTTCGGCACGAGTTTGCGATCTTGTAGTGAGAGGGGATTGTTTGAGAACGGCGTCTCCAATTCTGAGGGCATGCTACCTTGGTTGGGCGTCTTGTTTCGCCAAATGAGGGGGATTTTACAATGGGAGACCAGGTTGGCATGCTTAATGGCAGGTGGGGATGCGGCTAGGTGCCCCTCGGGCGAATCATGCGCAACTCCGATTCTACCGGGATGGGGCACAAAACGGCATGCAGCAAGTGTATAATACAATGCTAATCATCTTTGGCTTTCGAGGGCCTCAAGGACCGGGAGAGGGCCCATGACGCTTCCACACGCTGCCTACGTGCCATGCGTCCGCTTTAGGATCTACATCCGCCCGTCTCGAGCTTCACCCGGCACCAAAGGAAACGCCTCGATGAGGATACAGGTCCATACCAGCATGCAGTGCGTAAAGATCAAAGGGGCCCGCATGCCCAGGAGGCTACAGTATCACGAAGCACATCTGGGCTGACACCAGTCCCCTCCACCTCCATGGCGCCCAGCTCCTCCTGGAACGAGGCATAGAACCTGGAGATGAAGGCCTCGGTGTCTGCAGCGCTGGTTGCTTGACCCTCTGCTTGGTCTGAGTGCATGTGCTGACTCAGCATGCATTGCACACGCAGGGCCGCCTGGCTGAGTCGCCAAAGGCCCAGGGCGTCATGGTGCAGACTGCAGGCCACATTTTCCAGCTCTCGAACCGCTTCCAAGGCAGCAGGACCCCCTGCCTGGTGCAGGGTGCTGCCGCCCTGGATCCAAGCGCGTAGTTCTTGCGCCACCGCCCCCGCTGCCCTGAAAGGGCCCTGGCCGGGGCTGTCATTGCTGTCTGCCACTCGAGCAAGGGCCAGGAGTCTGGATTCCAGACTACCTGAGGGTTCAGTGACCCTCAAGCTGTCACTGTGGGTGGACTTTCCAGAGATCAAAGGTTCTTCAGACCCTGCAAAGAAGCCAGGTTGGAGGTGGGACGGGCTATGGAGCGTCTGGCCATATGCACAAGTGCAAGTCCAGAGGGAGCTGGTAATCGTTTCCGGCAGCTCACCCTGAGACCTCTTCTGTTTTTTTAATCTCGGTCTAGGGCTGTTGATGGTTCCACCTGCAGAGCCTTGCGCCTGCTTCTGCGGAACAGGGAAAACAAGGAGGTTCTATGGGCATGGCAAAATCCCTTGCCCACAGTTTCAGTTATAGCCCACCCGAGGGGCTCCGCGCACCTCAGCCGAGGCATCGGAGGCTGCGAGTCGCCTGCTGATGTCGGCGAGAGCATTGGATTCTGCGAATTTTTCCCTAGCCATGAAGCGGGATGTCGTGGAAGACCGCTGTGTGCAACTAGAAATCAACGGAGGTCTGCCAAGTACAGCAGGGATATGGACAATCTGCTGGAGCAGGACGGTTGAATTTATGCTTATTGGTCGTGAAACTCAAACACTTATCGGAATGTGGTGAGAGAGGCGTCTCACGCATTTCGACCCAATGCTTGTCAACCCTGCGCGCGCTGGGACGGTTTCATCGACAGCAGAGCACTTGGCCCCACCACGTCCCATCCATCTCGAGCACAGGGCGCTTGCCACCCCGTGTTCCCCTGTCCATGCCATGAGCAAGGAGGACTCTCAGGACAGGAGGAGCAGCGGCGCACTCAATGATTCATTCCACTGGCACCGCAAGGAGCATGATGGATGAAAAGCACTGGATGTTGTAGCGCGGGTCCACCCCCTTGTTACCCCCTGGGGTGAAGTCCCGTGGCGACGGGAGGTTGGTGTCCACCACCCTTGCCCAGCGCTGGCCCGGGGGGGGCAACGGGAGGTCCACATCCACGGAGAAGCCGTGGGCGTTGAACGCGGCATAGATGTCACCTCCCCCTTGGCCCCTGGATTGAGGAGGGTCAGGTAAGACTGGCTCAGCGCTGAAGGTGACACACCCAGCGGCGCCTGCCCATGTTTATTTGGGCGTGCAGGTGCCAGAGAGTACAAAGGCCGCAGAGCAGCAAGCACGGCAAGCCTCTGCACGACTCAGAGATTCCCGGTCTATGCTTCCATGCTTGCTGAAAGGAGCTGACAACAACATGCAAGTGGGGTGTCCAGACCCGCTCCCAACCTCCCCAACCCCCCACCCACCTGTCATGCAGGGTGAAGGCAAGGAAGCGCGACTCTGGGTCCTCCCAGCTGGATTCGTGCCAAGTCACGTCCTGTGGACCCAGGAACTCGTCCCGCCCCAGCAGGGGGTGACCTGTCCGGAAGTGGATGAGGCCGGCGTAGAACCTGGGAGGATGGCAAGGAGGTGGTGTGGGAGGCTGATTCGCTTGGAGTGCTTTGAGGATGCCAAGGTGGTATGCCGTGTGTGGCCATTCCTGTCCAAGCAAGTGCCCAGCGAGCCTCCCGACAGGGACGGGAGGCATTCGACTAGAGCAGCAGCGCCAGGCAGCTGCATTTTGGTATCACACCAGTCCATGGCATGAAGAATAACACCTCCATTCTTGGCAAGTCCGCAAACACAGATGGCACTCATCATGCGGCCAGACGACACACCTGAACCACCCGCTCTGCTTGGCCTCCTCCAGCTTCTCCCAGTCATAGTGCGTGAGCTCGGTGTCGTGCCCGTAGTAGTTGTTGTTGCCGTGCCGCGTCTGCGCGTATTCATCCCCTGCAAGCACCAGACGAATTTGGAATACTTAGTCTCAAGGAGGCTTCTTGAAGGAGTGAGAGGTCGGCAGACCGTTCCCTTTCCGTTGAATCCCCCATTGCTGATGCACTTCCTGCCAGCCTGGCGTGAAGTAGCTGCATCTCCTAGTCCTCCAATTTCCCTTCTCATCCCCTTTTCACAGGCAAGCCAAACCCCACCTGCGAGGATCATAGGGGTGCCCTGCGAGAGCATGAGGGCGAGGTGCAGGTTCCGCATCTGGCGCGCCCGTAGCGCCAACACGCCGGGGTCACTCGTCTCCCCCTCCACGCCGCAGTTCCAGCTGAAATTGTCGTTGGTGCCGTCGCCTATGTGGAAGGAAGCACAGAGGCGTGGGTGCATGGGTGAAGGGATGACACAGCATGTGGCGGGGTTGCCTACTGAGCTTCGCTGACCCCACAGCCCCGTCTTGTGTGGCTGACTCCCTCCCACGGCCGACAGAGCCAAAGAGGTGGTCTCACGGTTGAATTCGCCATTGGCGTCGTTGTGCTTCTCGTTGTAGGCCACTGAGTCTGCCAGGGTGAATCCATCATGCGCAATCACAAAGTTGATGGAGTCTGAGGCTTTCCTGCAGGGTGCGGGGGAGGAGGGCGTGGCGCAGCAAAGGCAAGGGAGCTGGACTCGGACCCACAGCCAGAGGAACGGGGGAAGCCACGCAACTCCCCCAGTCACCCACCGCTTGTTGTAGTTGTAGAGGTCCGAGGAGCCAGCCAGGCGGGTCGCAAACTTCTGCTTGAAGCCGGCATCCCCCCTGTTGAGGTGGGAAACAGAGGGATGCTGGTCAGGAGGCGTTGATGGGGCGTGGAAACATCACTGGTACTGCGTGAGGTGGGAGCAGGGCGCTCATGGTACTTGCGATGCCGGGATGCTGAGGTTCAAGTGAGCACTGCAGTCCGCTACAGAGCCTGAGACAACCAAACTCTACTCGCTTGCTCCCGCCCAGAGCACCCTCACTTGATGAACCGGCGCACGTCGTCCCGATACTGGCCGTTCCACTCTTTCCAGCTGTCCCAGTTTGGGAAGGAGCCCACCATGTAGAGGCCGAGGTCCCAGGGCTCCGCAATCAGCTTCACCTGCACTCGTGCCAGGGAGGCAGGGAGCTAAAACCTCTGCATTTCCTGTTCAGCTACTTTCCCTGGTCGAGATCAGGTTAGCATCGTCGACGGCTCTCCAGGAGGCAGGGTGGCACAGGTATTCAGAGCATGCCTGGCCCACCACTGGTCCACCGCCGCCCCACCTTGGAGAGCATGGGGTCCTTGCTCATGGCCTCGATGGCGGGGGGGGTGGCGAGGGGCTCCCCGTCCTGACCCCGGCACAGGCAGGGGGCGAGGTCGAAGCGGAAGCCGTCGACATGGTACTCCTCCACCCACCAGCGCAGCGAGGTGAGGATCTGGTCCTGGACCAGAGGGTGGTTGGCCGCCACCGTGTTCCCACACCCGGAGAAGTTGAGGATGGCGTGGGAGGCGGGGTCCTGCTGGTAGTACACCCCAGCATTGATCCCACGCCAGGACAGCAGGTACGGGTCGTCGTCGCCGCCTGCATTGAGGGTGGAAAGGAGGGGTGTGGCGAGTGGTGGAGTGAAGCTGCTGGGGACTGGGATAGCAATTCTGACACAAGTTCCACCTTGGGAAAGACAGCGTCTCTGAGCAAGCGGGTTGCCCTGGACCATCTGCTTCTGACTGGGGACCTGAGTCTGGCGGCGATGGCGGGCCTCCTCATGGGACCATCCCACGGCCCCGCACAGCAACCAAGCCCCACCTTCTGCGGTGTGGTTGTAGACCACATCCACAATGACCTGGATGCCCGCGGCATGCAGAGCCTTCACCGTCTCCTTCAGCTCCCGATCGGCTGCCAGTGGGCCGCCGCCATCTGCAGGTCAGCGGCAACAGAGGAGGAAGCGGTGCTTGCTGAGGCCAGGTGGACATTGGCGACGATTATGCACGCGATGCTCTGCATGCACGCCAGTGCTGTAGAAAGCAACCGTGTGACTGACACCAAGGGTGGCTGACCAGCAGGTTAGCCCTGCTCTTCAACCCCCAAGAAGTTCCATGTGGAGCAATCGCCAGACCTGCCGCAAAGCGACTCATGGGGGCAAAGAAGCTGAGGTGGGAGTAGCCCCAGACGTTCACCATGTGGTCCCTTGGGTTGGGGCTGCGGTGGAGTAGTGTGTTCAGGGTGGTGCGAGGTGTAAGCTGCCAAAATTCTAGGTCAACAGCTCTCTGCATCAGAAGTGGAGGCACCCAGATACCTTTCCCTGTAAGACAGCGAGACCCAAGACTACGGGCCTGAGTTCTGGACCAACATCCCACGCTCAAGTCACACCTGCGCTGGAACTCAAGCTCGTCATACTCAAAGAGTGGCAGGAGCTCCACCGCATTGATGCCCAGCTCCTTGAGGTGTGGGATCTATGGGAATTGGAAGGAATGGAGCATGGTGCTCTGACAGAGGGGCGCAGGCACCAGTCCTTGACCCTGGAGTCCAGGGTCTGCGTGAGCACGAGCAAGTGTCCTGTCAAAGGCCCTTGCCTCTCAACGGGAAAGCGTGAGCTCAACCCCCACACTCAAGAACGCACCTTGTCCTTCAGTCCCAGGAACCCTCCACGCTCCCCTTCCGGGAGCCCGCTGGTGGGGGAGGCCGTGAAGCAGCGCAGCGGCAGCTCGTAGATGACCAGGTCTTTGGTGGCGATGTCTGGGCGGCCGGTCTCCTCCCCGGGGCCCCAGTCAAAGGGCTCGGCCTCGAAGTCAAAGGTCCCGCGGAAGAGGGACCCCAGCCTCTCCTGGAACCCCTCTCTTTCGTCCCGCTGCCCAAAGCGGGCCCGGCCTGCCACCAGCCTGGCATAGGGGTCCAGCAGGACACGAGTGTCGTCCCAGCGGTAGGGCGAGTCGGGACCCTCCGCCCCGGACACCCTGAAGCCATACAGGATGCCGGACAGGGGGAGGCCGTGGACGAGGCCGTGCCAGACGTCGCCTGGTGGGGGTGGGGGTGGTCGTAAGCATGCGGGTGGCGGTGGGATTCCTGGCCACAGCACTCAAGACCAGGCTCAGGCAAGCATCATTCACCGATGTCCCAATCAGCGAAACAACCCGAGCTGCGAAGTAGCGGATGGGAGGTGCAGCATTCCCGACCCGCACCCGTATTGTGCAGCTTCAGCTCCTGAAGGGGGCTGTTGTCGGCATTATAGAGACACAGGGTGACCGCTGTGGCATGAGGAGCTGCCAATGCAAAGTTGACGCCCCCCTCTGCTGGGGAAGCACCCAGAGGCGATGCACTGCCTGTATAGGGCATGGGAATGAAGGGGAGAGGAACTTGAGGGAGCAGCCATAGGGATTCACATCCGCTTTGCAGCATATCTGCTTCATTACCTCCCCTCTGTCCCATCCCCCTCGCGAGGGCTGACCTGGCTCGAGCTCCAGCGGTTTGGGGGTGGCAGTCTTCTTGGCAGGTTTACTGGTCACAGGGGTGGCTTTGCCTGCGCCCACCCTTGGATGGCCCTTGCCCCGGCTCGCCGTGCGCGACGCCTGGATGGCTTGGGTTTAGAGGTGATTGGAGGGCCCTCCATTGGCACTGGATCAACCACATGCAACCCCGGTTAAATCACACTCACCAGGGTTCGTTCGGCGAATCTGACCCGTGGTTGAATGTTCTGGCGATGAGTTGCTGATGAAATGGGGGTTCGGTAGGCCCGAGATGTGCCGCATGCACCGAGTTGCATGTTGAAGGAGCGAGGACCTGGTCTTGACCTGACGACAAACGAAGAGAGCTGGGGCACAAGCTGGCGATCGACCGTTCAAGCAGAGTCGAAGCTGTCAGACAAGATCTACTTACATGAGATCGTGATTCAGGAGCATTGGTGGAGGGCGATCAAACTGTCCCCTGGCAGGGAGGGTGGGTATTCCACCTGCGATCCAGCTCCACGATCTCTCCGCGCGCGGAAACCCCCATGGTCGAGCCGGCGGGGGCCGAGAGTGGCGCCCTGCATGGTGCTGGTGTCCAGACCCAGAGGAGAGGAGGCTGTAGCACCAGACGCGAGATACCATATATTTACCGACATATAAGTCCGTGCTCCTCGGCTGAAGAGATTGCTCCCGCGCTGCTCCAGGGCGAGCACATGCCCGCGACAGTCTTAGGGTCGTCTAGGATTATATCCCCTCAATGAGCCCCAAAAGAGCCAGTACGGGTGCAAGAAAGCCAGCTAAGAATGAAGAGCGCCCTCCCTCTGAGGTGGATGTCTCCGAGCTGGTGCTGAGCAGCGGGAGCGATACTGAGGAGGAGGACGTGGAGGCCTTCTCTGGCGACTCGGACTCCGAGGCCGATGTCGAGCACGAGATAGACCATGCAGTCAAGGACTACGTCGGTGCCCTCACGAGGAACGTCGGCAATGGGTGAGGTTCCTGGAGCAGCCGGGGACAGCATGCATGACAGTTCTGGAGATAGTTGCTAAGGGTCGGCCCATTCCCCTGCGCTGACCCATGCACCCTGCGCTGTAAACCCTCCCCATTCCCCACTTCAGGGCTGGCCAGCCGCCGACAGTAGACGCTTCAGAGGAAGATGAGGGGAGGGAGGAGGCTGACGAGGCCGGGTTTGTGACCTCTGAGAGTGAGACGGGCACAGATGGAGAGATGGGCGAGGAGGAGCCAGCCTCCCCCCGGCCCCAGGACGACCCCGCCTCCGACTCCTCCGAGGACGAGCGCCCCGGTCGCAACACGGTGGGGAATGTGCCCCTCGAGTGGTACGACGCCGAGGAACACATCGGGTACGACAAGGATGGGATGAAGCTGGTTAAGAAGGGGAGGAAGGACAAGCTGGACACCCTGCTGGCACGGAACGACTCCACCAAGGCGAGGCTGGCGGGGGAGCTTGGGTCGGGGCATGTGGGATGCATGGGGATGCTTGACTGATGGCACGGGCAGCACAGCAGAGGATCAGCGGCATGACCGGGGACCCAGGGGGCATGCCGCCCCGGAGGCTGTCAACCTCAGGGCTCACACATTGTGACACATTCCTCTCACCCTCCCTTGGTCCTGACCACAGTTCCTGAGGACGGTGTATGATGACTACAACGACGAGGAGATAGTCCTGTCCAAGGCTGAGATGCGCATGATCAACCGCATCCGCACGGGTAGGGTGGGGTTGGGGAGGGTGTCGCTGCAGAGTTTGGGGGCATGGTCCCAACTCCCTGGCCCGGGACAGGGCACTGGAGCCTGTGTCCTCAGAGTGCGCTCAGAAGCCCTGCTCTTCGTGCTTCACGGCATGGTCACAGCCCCTCTCAACCCCCCAGCCTGCACCCCCATCTCCCTTACCCTCATCACGCACCTCGCTCCCGCTCCCCCCGGCAGGCCAGTTCCCGCACCTGGAGGTCAACCCCTTCCCCGAGGAGAACGACTGGTTCACGCGGGACACGGAGGTCATGCCCCTGACCGGCGCCCCTGAGCCCAAGCGCCGCTTCGTCCCCTCCAAGTGGGAGGAGAAGAAGGTGGTGAAGCTGGTGCGTGCCATCCGCAGGGGCTGGCTCAAGCTGGGCGCGCCGCCAGCGGAGGAGGCGGACAAGCCCTACCTCATGTGGCAGGACGACGGCCAGGCCAGCAGCAGGACCGGGACGGGGCTGGCCTACATCCCCGCGCCCAAGCCGCGCCTGCCGGGCCACGCCGAGTCATACAACCCGCCCAAGGAGTACCTGCCCACTGAGGTGGGTTGCTTAGGGGGGGTGGGGGGAGGATGCACTTGTGCTCGTTTGTGTGTTTGTGATTCCCTTTGTGTGTGGTGGGGGGAGGGGTGAGAGTTGTCGCACGGCTGCTGCTGCCTGCGGTTCCCCATCACCCCCCACCCCACCTGAACCAACAGAATCCAACCAGAAGGGTCGTCCCCTTTGCCACCGACCCACCTCCACACAACCCTTTCCCACCTTTCCTCCCACCCACCATGCTCAGGAGGAGCTGGCGGCCGTGGCCATGCAGCCGGAGGAGGAGCGCCCCGCCTTTGTGCCCACCGCCTTCCCCTCCCTGCGCGCGGTGCCCGCCTACGCGGCCTTCATTAAGGAGCGCTTCGAGCGCTGCCTGGACCTGTACCTGTGCCCTCGCGGGCGGCGCAAGCGCGCGCCCGTCAAGGACCCCAGCGTGCTGGTCCCGCACCTGCCCAAGCCGCGCGACCTGCAGCCCTTTCCCTCGGCAGAGGGCCTGCGCTTCCTGGGCCACGCCGCAGCCGTCACGGGGCTGGCCCCCGACGCCAGCGGCGCGTGGCTGGCCTCCTCCTCCCGCGACGGCAGCGTGCGGCTGTGGGAGGCGCGCACCGGCCGCTGCGCGGCGCGCTGGGACCTGGGCGAGCTGCAGGGCGCCGAGCTGGGGCGGGGCGTGGCCGGGCTGGCCTGGTGCCCCGACCCCGCGCTGCGCCTGCTGGGTGTGGCCTGCGGGGAGGGCGTGCTCCTGCTGCCCGTGCCCCAGGCCGGCAGCGCCGCGCAGGCGGCGGCCACCGCCGAGCGGCTGGCCGCCGCGCTGGCCGCCGGCGGCGCCGGCGAGCGCGCCTGGCGGCGCAGGGGACCCGAGGGCGCGGTGCTGCTCCCGCACGCCGCGCGCGTGACGGCGCTGACCTGGCACGCGCGCGGGGACTACCTGGCGGCGGTCTCCGCGGCCTCGCCCAGCCAGGCGGTGCTGGTGCACCAGCTGAGCAAGGGCGCGACGCAGGCCCCCTTCCGCAAGACGCGCGGCAGGCCCGTGCACGTGCTCTTCCACCCGACCAAGCCCCTCTTCTTCCTGGCCACGCAGCAGCAGGTGTGTGTGTGTGGTGGGGGTGGGGGGGGGTGCGCGGAGGGACGCGA